ATTCAGCGACATGAGGAAGTCCGAGTCCTGCGCATTCTGAATAAGCAATGGCTTGCGGTTCCCAGTATCCTCATCCTCGTCCTCATTGACGTTGACATCTTTCCGATGCCGCGTCTTTTGTCGGGTGATCCCCTTATGACCGTCTCCGAAGGAAGTATCCAACTGCAGCTGCGGCAACGACGGAGCAGCGTCCGTAGAGCCACCGCTTGGTCCGCCATTGTGACGAGTGTTACGGTGAAGGGATATCTCCATGGTGGGAACTTCGGATTCATCTCCACCTTCGCCGATCAATTCTGGCACCTTGTCGCTGAATTTGACCTTCAATGTTTTCCCGTTGCGCTTCTTCTGGGGTTTAGGGAAGTTTACAGAAGAGTAGAGTTCAGTAGCGGAGGCGGGGTGCGTGGTGGGAGAGGTATTCGAGAGCTCCTGGGACGACGGGAATCGCTGGGACACATCTAAGCGGGGCGTTGGCAGCCCTCTCGAGGCTGCAGCTGCGGACGGCGCTCCGTACGATACGGATTTGGAGCGAGCAGGGGCTAGGAAGGCTTCGATCTGCTGATCATCGGGACCTTTGTTGCGTCTGTCCTTGGAGAATAACTTCTCCCTCCAATGAGCCTTCTTCGGCGGCTTCCGCTCGGTATTATTATGATCAAGAAAGGAAAAGGGGTCGTCGGCCGACATCTTGACCGTTGTACAAGAAAGTTATGTCTGAATAGGGGCAAGGCACTGCTCTAGAGCATTGCAGTACCGCAGTACGGGGTCGGATAGTATGCTGGACGCCGAACGGAAGAAACGCCTCCCCGTACTTTTTTCCCCGCGCTATTTGTCCCTTCGCGAACGCTCGGGCGAACTAAAGTGGATGCGATACGGACGGTTCGGGGATGCGAAGACGATCGAGTTCGGACGGCAGCACTGACACAATGACCCAGAACGGTCTAGTCAAAGAATAGATAGCAGCTTGTCGGAAAGGAAATCAGGAGAAGAGGGGAGGGGAGGAAAGAAGAGGGAAAGAGAGAGCGAGAGAGCGCGCGAGAGAGAGAGAGAAGGGTGATCCGGAGGTAAAGGAGAGGGCGGGGAGGAAGCGAGAGCGAGAGACGGAGAGGAAATAGGACACCGGCACTAGGGTAGATGATCGCAAGGGAATAAATTGCCCCAGGTGCAATACAAAGGACAGCGCGATTCCCTTTGGCTGTTTGGTGGAGTCGGCAACGGGCGATCTACCAAGACCAATCAATTAGACGACCATTCAGAGACGGCGGCTATGAAGAGGGGGGGCCATGCGAACGACTTCAGAGTTCAGGGGGGGGGAACAGTGGGCATTTTAGCTAGGGATCTAAACAGACCTAGTCGGGATGGACAACTGCACGCGAGAGAATAAACCAATTTCACTCCCCCAATGGAGGCGAGGGGACGGTGGGGATGTCTGGAGCAGGAACGACAGGCGCCAAATGGAATGGTTGCCAAGCTGGACCAGCAGCTGTCGCAGGGAAAAGATTTCCTGGAGAACGAATGATCGGAGGGAAGAATGGAGAGAACGAGAGAACGAAAAAATAAAAAGAAAAAGAAAAGAAAAGAAAAATGGACGAGGCGAAGGAAAGCTGCAGGAGGGGGAGAGAAAGGAAGAGGAAGAGGAAGTGGACTGGGAGTGGTACGTATTAAACGTCGCCGACCGAGGGAGAGACGGCTTGGGTCGACCGTGGTTCTCCGCAATAATCAAAGCAGGCAAATAACGGAATGATGCTACGAATCACTCCGTTGCCCTTAATCACTTAAGAATGTCTTGAATATTCCTCCGTAAGTCTGTCATCTGCCCTATCGACGCGTGACTCGGCAGTCTTGGTATAGTATAGTAGGCATAGTATACCTAGTAAGGAATCAATTAGGGTCTACGGCACGTGGGCAATATCAGAGATCATTTGAAGGCTGGTGTTTTGTGTCCTCATTCCTCACTCCTATCTTGTCCAATACTGCTGTATACAGCACTTACTCTGTATAGACCTGCCTCCATGCTCCCGGCAGAGCACAAACAACGGCCGGATCGTTTGCATGTTTCCAGAGGACTACATCAACTACATAGTACTCCTACGGACAGCTAAATATAACCGGAGCGAAATGATTATTCTCAATCGGGGTGCCTGAACCAATGAATGGTGAAACCCGCCCCACTCTCGCTCATTGTGAAACGCCGCTAGTCCCGTCCGGGCCAACCCTGCTGATTGCCGGTGGGGCGCTGACGACTCATTTCTTTCCATTTGATTTCTTGCGTTTGTTCCCAGTGTATATCCAGTTGGTATACACTTCTACAGTTCTATCTACACAGATAGGAGGGGAATATAATCACTGACAATCCTGATAATACTCTTCCCATTGTCGGTTTCGATCTCCAATGCTTTGTCTCACCCGCTCCCTCGGAGAATACCCTGAGAATCAAAATAAACAAAGGATTCGATCCGCTCATGAACCGCCTGATTACGTGGGAGACGCTGGATGGCCAACCTCCTGGAATTCAACCCCCCCGGGCTGGCGAATCCCGCGCGCGTGAAAAAGCCAATGATGCCATGATCTGCTTGATCAATGCTGGCTGGAGTTAAATTTAAAAGGGGGAGGGAAAACGAGAACAGGGGCTTACACCGTATGGAAGACCCTCATATATTATTCAGTTGATATTCATTGCACAGTACGGAGTACTCTGGGCTAATGCAAAGAGCTCTGAATCGAGCTCGTTTCAGGATATCTACGAGCCGTCGGGTACTCCACGCTCCGCCTTCGCTGGCGTCCCAATTTCCCATTCCTGAAACATGGGAATCTGGACGTTGGGTGTTTGGAGTTCTGACACCAAAGCTTGACGCGAGCTTCTTCCTATCCCTGGACAGCGCGAGCTGATGCAATGTTGATCTCTACCTGTCTGGTTCGAGTCCATACACGGTACGGGGCACCATACTACGGAGTATCATACTAGTAATCTAAAGGACCCTAATTATGGACCACCGGGCCATCTGCTCCGTACAATCTACATGCACCACACAATAATATTATTATTTATACCTACCGGTGGGAATTGCTGCTTGCAAAGGACACCAATCTGAGGCAGGGTACCGGGCTGGCCGGCTTTCCTCTTTCATCTATCCGGCGGCGTCTCACCAGAAGCGCCACTGTGCAGGCGAGCATCCGGCATGTCATCGCGTAGTCTAGAGCGCTAGACTCGAGCCAAGTTTTTATGCAGCTACACTTGTGTACACCGTTGTCGTTCATTGCATACTCCGTACATACGCTGTAGTTACTTCAGTACACAGTGAACATGTGCCTGTATGAATGGTGTTTCTCTCTAATCATGTCTTCCGTTGTTATATATAGATGCTTCGTATAGTTGATGTTGTGCAGGTTTATACTGTGAAGGTCCGATCGGAAGATCATTCCATCCAATCCCTCGACAAGGGATTCTAGTATTCTTATCTGATAGTTAATCAAGCATTAGCTACTCCGTTTCTTAGTCGCTTTCTCTCCTCTGTACATAACCTGCTTTCCCTGGAACCTCTCCTAACCCAAGGGTGAGGAATCTCAAATATATATCCGGCAGGCGGGACGGCTAGCAGTAGGACAAGGGCCCTGTGGTTATTGTTGATCGAGCTAGTTCGCCCGCCAGTTAATCTACAACCACTAACACTAACAGTCTAACTAACAATAAATAAACAAGGTACAAAACAAGCCTTGAGATCATCCCGGTTCAAGGGTCTCTTACCCACCCGTCATGAAGCCGGTCGGGGATCTCTGCCTGTTCGTGTCGCTCTGGTCGCACGGCACAAACTCTCCTCTCGAACCTGGCCAGAGTTGGGGTCAGATTGCATCTGACTGGACGATGATACGAGCAGGACTGACAACTAGCATGCATCCTTTGCCCCGTCGACCTTTGACCCGTCGAGGGCGACTCCGTATAACTTCCTAGGGAGGAGTATTTCACGCAAGGTCGGATTCCGGGCGTTTTCCACCAGCATAGGCATTCGTTAAACCAGTGCAGGTTTTTCTCCGATATGTAGTAGCATCCAGAAGGGGATTTCGATTATGAGATCGAATATTCGGAGTAGAGTAACGGACCAACGGCCTAGCAGTAGTTAGTGAGCGCTAGTTCGATCTGCAGAGTATCCCGACTCCGTAGTTGGGTCACTTTATCATGTCTGCCTAGTGGAAACTGGAACGAGTCCACGAGAGATTCTGAATAATGATCAGAGAGCGAAAAACCTCACGAGAGAGAGAGAGAGCCAGAAATCAGAGTCCAATGGATCATACGAGATCCGACGGTGTAGGAGAAGAGTGACATGGCTGAGACATCTCCAACGACTGGTTGAGTTGGTGTTGTTTACTTTTCCTTAGCGTTTCCAAGTTTAGCAGCGGAACAAAGTGAGCAAACAAGGCGCAGCTTTAGGTCGTTCCTCTTTTTCTTTTCCTTTTTCACTTTCGATTCTCCTGTGTGTTTGGACTTGTTCTTCTGCTCGGTCTGACGGCCTCCCTTATTGTTCCACCGGTCTGACTGGCTTTTCGATCCACCACTAACAAACCTCCCGTTTGGGCCCCAACAAGCCTGAATCCCGGTCTCTTCGCCCACCCTCTCCTTCGCCTCTCCTCCCTCTTTCCCTCCCTCCTTTCCGAACTCCCTCCCATCCTTTCCTCCCCCGCCATCCCTCTCCCTCCGAAGTTATGGTTCGCATCCCCTACGTTACCATTTCGGGGTAGGTCGAGGAGTCATTTCCTCCCCTTTTCGCATTCCTAACCGTCGGTCGATTTCTTGATCCGACGAACATTCGCTTTTCTCCTCTCCTCCCTCTCCTCCGACCGTTCGTTCCGTCTATCTGCGAGGATCGCGTCTTGTTTCCTTACGGGCTTCATCCGATTCGACGGACCGACCGAGATTTCCGGGAACGACCTGTGCACAACGTGGATTAAATCGCTCGAAGAGGGGGCTGACCTCCCCGCGGAGGTCATCCGATCAATACTCGGCGGCCGTGATGGGTGTTGAACACCGCGACGCGCGATGGCATGACAGTCCGGACTCGACGACGGAAGCTTGCGGCGAACCGGGGACATGGAGTCAGAGCTTGCGACCACCGCGACGGCGGCGACCGGCTTCGATGGGCCGTGGAGTAGCGTGGATGTGGATGCTGGTGGTGATGGTCTCGGTCCTGGTGACTTCGACCGGCGCCGTGCTGTTGGATTTCGAGAACTGCCTAGGGAAGTCCGTCATCGAGTCGAGCCCGCTCCAGCTACAATTCGTCCCGCTGGACGTCGCAGTCCACTTTGATCTGGTCAATCCGCTACACGCCCTGAACATGACGGTCTACGGCAACGTTTCAGGGACCGCCGATCGGCGGGCGTCGTACCCATCTGCCGATGATCCCCAATGGACCAATCCAAACGAGACCGTGGGTAAGATCCTGGATCTGGATACCACGAACAACAAATATTCCACCTTGTTGACGGCCGTCAACGTCGTCAGCTTTTCTCCCTACAGCGATGCGTCTCGCTTCTGCAATTCCGTCATCCAAGGGGACTGTCCGTTGACGCCGGTGTTTAACGCGAACGCGTGAGTGAATCTTCGTCTCTTCTGATGGACAGCTACTGACAAGTACATTGTGTGATCATCCAGGAGCGACCTGAGTGCCTTGCGAGCCATCTCCTTCCAGCATGACATGCTGTCATCCTATCACTTCTCCACTCTCTCGTCTACTCTCACCATCAAATCCGGCGATGCCGATGCTACAATACTTGGATGCGTGTCGGTCGACGTCACCCCCGACCTGGGATCGTCGCTGAAGAGCGCTTTGGCATATGTGCCCCTGGTGATTCTCATCCTGGTAGGGGTCGCTACTGTAACTGCGGCAATCTTCAGTCCCTGGGGTACGACGGACCCTTTCCACTGGACCAGCAATTACGGCCGCGACGAGGATGTGCTACGACTGGTGACGCCCGGGTTTGGGGATTGCCTCCAATACCTACAGTTTGCCGTGCTGACGGGCGCTCTATCCCTGAACTACCCCGGCTATTATCAACCCGTAGTTAGTCAAGTGGCTTGGTCGGCGCTCATGTTCAACCAGAGCTTTTTGGACTCCGGCAAAGAGCGCAATCCCGTCTCGGATGGGGTCTACAGTGTGAACGCGACTGATGGTCTGGACCGAATGGAGCACTACGTTGGAATGGCGTCTCCTCGGGACCTGTGGCCCAACATGATGGTGTGGCTGCTCGTCATCGTGGTCATCATCATGCTTCTCATCCAGCTGGCTTTTGCCTTTCGCTGGCTGCACCGCGAGATTGCGAGTATCCCCGAGGAAGACCTTCGTGCCAAGAACATGCCGTTCACCGTGGGCAATGTGATCCGGATCGTGTTCAACTACCTCTTTCTACCGCTCATCTCGCTCTCTTTCTACCAGCTGGTCATCGCCAGCAAATCCCCAGCCTATTGTGTGGCTCTTGCCGTTGTAGTCATCCTGATATTGATAGCCTTTTCTATCTGGACGATCCGGCTGATCGCGAGTACGCGCCCTAAATCTTACCTCTTCGATGACCTACCTACCGTGCTGTTGTATGGCCCCTTGTACAACACCTTTTGTGACGACGCGGCTGCCTACGCGGTGGTTCCGATCTTCATTTCGTTCGCCCGCGGCGTTGCCATCGGCGCGCTGCAGCCGTCCGGAATCGCCCAGATCGTGCTCCTGGCCATTTGCGAAGTCGTATCGCTTCTCACTCTTCTTGCCTTCCGCCCTTTCGCCTCGCCCACCTCTATGAATTTATACCATGCCTGCTTCACTGTGGTTCGGTTCCTCACGATTTTGCTCAGCGTTGTTTTTGTTCCCTCCTTGCAGGTCCCGCAGGTTGCGCGAGGATGGATCGGATACGTGATTCTGCTGCTCCACGCCCTGGTTCTCGTCTTTGGATTTTTCCTGAATGCCTTGCAAACCTTGATCGAAGTCATTGCACGACTGGCTGGTGCCGGTGGTAATGAAGGTGGCGTTACCCGTGGCGGTCTCACAAAGGTTTGTTGATACCCTCCTGTTTTCTTCCTTTCCCTTTGTAGATAGTGGACTGTGCTAATGAGTTTCTCTAGGTGTTCGGTATGCGCCAACTCTCGCGGCGGGTGCCAAGGCGTGATGCAGGAACTCGTCAAAGCATGGGCTCCGAGGCTGCGATGCTGGGCCACGCAGACGATCGATTATCCTCTCAATTCGACGGATCACGACCCCGGAGTCTGTCGGGTAGCTCGGCTTTGCTCCTCAACCGGGCGACTGCCAGCGACGGCAGAACCAGCGCGTTTTACGAGTCCGCGAGCGCTCACGGCGGAACGCACAGCCGGGCTAACAGCAGCGGCATCTTTGCACCGTCGACGCCTGGCGGCCACACGACTTTCCAGGGCGCGGGCTACCACACGCCCGGCAGTAACTCTCCCAAGAGCGGGCCTATATTCGCCATGCATCCGCAGGACCCTTATTACCGACCCCCAAGACCCCGTCGGAAGGGGACAGAAGGGAGCATGGGCGAAAAGAGTAGTCGCGGTCAGCGTGTGGCCAGCTATGCCGACGACGACGATATAATCGAAGGCCCGTCGATTTCGGGAAGAGCCACCCCGGTGCCGGCTTATATTCCGGCGCCCAAGGATGATCTGGATTATGACGATCCTCGGCAGTCACAGAAAGACTACGCCGTTCGTGAAGTGGACTTTTACTATCGGGTGCGCGGCCCTCCGTTATCACAGTCCGGCACGCGCAAGTTGAAAACGGGCCCGGCAGACCCGACGGGCCCTGTTTCGTCTGCGACGGGATTTTTCAGGAACCTGTTCCAAGGCAAGACAAAGGAGAAAGGAAAAGGATTTGAAGTTGTCCGGAGTTCACGGGCTCCGCCTCCGGGTCTCTTCCCCGAACCAGAGTACAATGAACCGTACTCTGACGAGCCTGGAGATCGCACCGCCTCCGGTGCCGTCGGTGCCGGGACTGGTGCAGCCAGTGCTGCCGGTGGACATAAGCGCCAGAACTCGGAAGGGGAGTCGGTATATCGTAGCTCGGACGACGAGCAGGACGACGAGGATTCCGAGGAGGAGCACCACCGACCAACAAATGTTGCTCCACTCAGTTTGCCGCAGGTTGATGCGGGCGGTGCTATTGAGCTTCCGAGCCGTTTGGGCTCGCGCCGTAGCTCTCGGCCTCCGTCCCTGATGTTGGAGACACCTGCAAACCCCGGGCAACGGCATGAGTCTGCGCGCTCAATAGACTTGGGAGACGAGCATATGTCTCAGAAATCCCTTCCGGCCGTACAAGAGGTAGCGACGGGGGATCCTAGAGATTTCCATGACTACGGAGAGCCCATCTTCCCCCCGAACCAACTCCATCCTTCTTCGTCGGGCACCGGCCGGTTGCCCTTCAGTGCGAATAGTTCGCCGTCCCGAGACCGCAATTTCTCGATTGCCTCCACAACGGCGTCCACCTCTTCCAGCCGGCACCATGCACACGAGGGCCACAGTCAGGGCCGGGTGGAACGACCGTCGAGCATGGGGTACGTTGCGCAACATCGCACTCGCGACTATATCCACGAGGCCAGCCCGGACGAGCCCTCCTTCACGGGAAGCGCGGCCGAGCTTGTCGACGAGCCTCACCATCACTCCGAGGAAGGACGATAAACTGTCGTCCCATCCTTTGCGAATTGTCTCTTCCTATGCAATACACCCGGTGGCACTTTTTACTTTTTGTTGCATTCCGTTGGTTCTTGATCCGGCAGCGTGATTGATTTCCGGCGCCTTCATTCCCATTCGATTCTGTATCTTGATATCAAACTTACGAATTTCCTTTTTAATCGGAAAAGTGTGCGCCGTGGCGTTTGTGATATACGGTTGGATCTTGTTACATATGTACGTGTACATAGGGCCGATGGCTCGTCTTCGTCATCGGTTGATAATCAATTATCTGATATACATGAGGACCTGTGGAATGGGTTATAGTAGTTAAAGTAGCTAAAATGAGCAAGTAGATAGATACAGAGTAGAATATTTATATCTCGGACGGAACTATGTGAGTGGCGACTTGATGTCACCTCAAGAGGGAGGAAAACAGGAGAACTTCCTCACGAGGAAAGCACAAATCCTCTGACATGGACAGTTGAACAGTCAACGGTCATCGAGTCGCGATCAGCCGGACTTCCAGAGTGATTTCCACGTCGAGTACGAGTCGCTGCAGGGATCACGCGGGGTCTGGTGCGCCTCTTTTCGTGTGGCGGCAAATCCTCGGCTTCGACCGGCCCTGCAGTCCTGTTTAACCTTTGCTAGATCGTTGGGAACTAGAAATAATTTTGAAAAAAAAAGGGGAGAGAAAGGAAAAGAAAAGAAAAAGAAGAAAAAAAGAACCAGTCAAATTGGTGTGAGAGGGAGAACCGGAGTGTCACGAGACCGGCACCTTTTCTCTCTTCTTTCTCTCTCTCTTTCCCTTCTGTCTTCTCTCTCTCTCCTCTCGCACGGCCGTCTCTCTCCCTCCTATCGCCCTGTTGATAAGGCCTGGTCTTGTCCTCTTTGGACAGAGTGACGGCGCCATTTCGATCTCGCCTCTTGTCTAGTGTGTTACACGCTTTTCACCCTCCATTCTCACCGCTCCTTATCTCGCCGATCCTCCGTGATCATCTCCCCCCTCAAACTAGTTATCACTCCGACCTCTCTGTATCGCGACCCAATTCCCCGAATCCTTCCGCCCTGGCACCACCACGCCACCCAGTCAATGACGGCCCGTCCTCCAAACGCCGGAGATTGATCTCCTCTACTGCCCTAGGAAGAAGATCTCTCGCTGCGACCGATCCAACTTCCAGGTTCATGTCGTCCTTGTCGAGTTCCGTCTCCTCAGCCTCGTCCAATCCTCCCGCCACCCGCGCCCATCAGGTCTTCGCCGCCCCCGAACGTCCCCCGACCAGACCCCATGCGAATTCCTACAGCGTCGTAGGGGCCAGCGAGGCGGGTCCTTCTTCGTCCCATTCTTCGGAACGACGTGCGGAGAGAAGGCGGTCCACCCTCTCTGGCTCCGACCGCAAGAGACGACTGGTACATGATGGCGAGGCCTGGCTGAGACGCGCGCAATCCGGAGACGGCGTGGAAGCCGGACCTAGTAGGAGACTGTCGGATTCGAATAGCAGGTCTATTTCGAGCGGATCCTCGCATACTAGACGTGATGCCCACCAGCCCGGCGCGTCGTACGCTACGGCCATCGACTTGTCATCGTCCTCACCGCCGCGGCAGCAGCACCACTCGCCGACAGGCGAGCGGCGTAGTTCGTGGTCTCGCACGGGAAATAACTTTTTGGAATATATACGTCCGCGCTGGCAGCCTGACACGGAGGTGACGGAATGTCCCATCTGCGAACAACCCTTCAGTTTCTGGTACCGCAAACACCACTGTCGAAAGTGTGGGCGGGTAGTGTGCTCGTCATGCTCACCGCACCGGATCACCATTCCGCGGCAATTTATCGTCCGGCCGCCAGGTTCGCAGCGCTCGTCCGTGGCGCCCTTGGTTCCACCCCGCGCTGCTCAGCTCTTGGACGCGGACCTCAACCCCAACGCTGCCATCAACCCGGCTCTGGGAGGCGGCGAGGAGGTGCGACTTTGTAACCCGTGTGTGCCTGATCCTAACCCCGATCCTCCCCGTGGATACACCACCCTCCGATCTTGTCCAGGCCAAACGAATCAGTCCCGGCATCGATCTTACCACTCGATGTCGATTCCTAGTAGACCGTCTTATACTGCAACTGTGAGTACTGGATCTCGAAAGAATACTCGACCTCCAGGTGGAACGAGCAACTAACCGACAGCAGCATGACAACTTCTCTTCCCGGCCTGGCCGCCGAACGGTAGGATCGAATGACTATTCATCAACCTTTGCCAGCTTAGGAGGTTCGCTTGGATCTCAGTTGCCGGAGCGTTCGATGAATTACGGGTCCATGTCGGGTCGGCTGCCCCCTTTGATAGGGGCGCCTCCGCATGCAGTTTACGCTCCGCACCACTCGGGAATCCCTCAGCCTGCGCCGTCGTTGTACGGCCACCATTCCACCTCGCATGGTAGTCGCCGCGTCCACGAGCGCGATCTCTGTCCGATCTGCGACCACGAACTTCCTCCCCTGGGCGCCGACGGGAACGAGACTCTCCGGGAAGCCCACATCCGGGGGTGTATCCAGAGTCACGGCCGACAGACGCGCTCGCCGTCGCAAAGCGGTAGTCCGGTCTCGCAGCCCGCGTTGCCGGTGCGCATGCTGGCGTTCACGGCGACGGAGAAGGATTGTCTGGGCCACGACGGGTCCACGCAGGAATGTACCATCTGTATGGAGGATTACGAAGTTGGCCAGGCGCTGGTGCGTCTGGAATGTCTGTGCAAGTTCCATAAGCGATGCATCGTGGAATGGTTTGAGCGGAAGAAGGAGTGTCCCGTGCATAAGGTCTCATGAGCTTGGACTCGTATTTGGTTTCACTTTTGGGTACTCTCACTGGATATTGAGTAAATGGCGTTGAACCTGCTGGTCTTTTGTTTTTCTCCGGCATTTCTATTTCATGGGGGATCGTTTTTGTTTAGAATCGTTTAAGCGGGGGGTTTTACTCATGTCTGCGTTGACGCGGAATTTGCCCGTTGCAATCTGCCAATTTGCTGTGGGTGTGGTGGTTCAGTTACGTCGGTCGGTCTCTACTCTAGTTCGGGTTAAGAATTCAGAAAAAGAAAACCACTCCGGATGAATATACAATCATGTATATTTAGTATATTCATAGTGTCGAACAGAACCGCCATTCAGGCTGCCACACCCCAAACGGGAAGGTGGTCAGGCCGCGAAGGATCCGTCGGTCACCTGCTTTTTCCTCCTCTTTTCCCTTTTCTTTTCTTTTTCTTCCTCTCTTTCTCGCTGATGCAGGACGAATGCACCGTTTCTTCCCCCCAAAGCTTGGGTTTTTATCATCGATGACAATTCCCCGCTTCATCGGACCCGTCAACGTCAGAACCCGCTTTTCCCATTCCTCGCTGCGTGGTTAACCTCCGGATCACCGTCTGATCGGTCATCGGTCCCCGACCCGACCGTCTCTCCGACTCTCAGGGCCTCCTCCACCCTCCGGAGACACGGCCTTTGCGCCCTCTTCTGGTAAGCCGAAGGAATCCGTCTCCCTGTCTGCATCTGATCTATTCCTTTTTCGTGTGCCCGCTGGTCTTGTCGTTGTCTTGGTATGCAGTATGCACCGCTGGCTGGACTGGTTGGATTTTCTCATTCCTGGTGATGCGACCTGGTCGGATCAGCCGAGCTGACATCTCCGCCCCCGCAGCCGATGGAGATCGATCCGCGCCTGCGCGACGGTCACTCTGATGCGCCCGCCTTGTCGCAGTCGCAGTCGCATTCTCATCCCCATTCCCATGCCTATGCTGCCGCTCCCTCCCCACCCACCAGGCATGCCAACCTCAGCGCCTCCTCGTCCCGCACTACTAGCGAATATCCCGACCCGCCGTCCCACTTCTCCGGCGAACATGTCCATTCCGCCGCCGCCTCTGCGACTACCAATGATGTGAACTACTACGGCGCGTCGTCCGCCCACTCGTTGTATCAGGGAGGTCCGTCGGGAGCGGAGCCGGTCGATCCGAACGATCCGTATGCCGATTTGAAGCGTCCGCGCGCCTGCGAGGCTTGTCGGCAGCTGAAGGTCCGGTGTGAGCCTGACGTGAATAATCCGAATGGTTCGTGTAAGCGCTGCGCTAAGGCGAGACGGTCCTGTGTCGTCACGGTGCCGACCCGTAAGCGCCAGAAGAAAACGGATAGTCGGGTCGCGGAGCTGGAGAGGAAGATTGATGCTTTGACCGCTAGTTTGCAGGCGTCGCATGGGCAGGATCCCTTGCAGCAACAGACGCCGGTGGCGCCGGTGGAGTTGCCGCGCGAGGAACATGCGGGGAGGAGGTGGTTGGGTCCGACGACGCAGGTTGCTGGCTCGGCGACGGAAGATCCGCATATGGTTTTGTCTGGGATGAAACGGCATTATGGCGGAGAGATCAAGGATGCGCGGAACGAGTCGATCCTCGGGCATGGGCATGCGAGTCCTGGCTCGGATCATGTAGACCGTGGGAGCCAATGGCGATCTCCTTCGAAACTGGCGCCTAGGCCAGAGACGAGCGACTTCGTGGACGTGATCGACCGGGGCCTCGTGAGTGTGGAAGTCGCCTCGGAAGCGTTCAATCGATATGTCAACCAAATGGCCAACAGCATCCCGATGGTCGTCTTCCCCTTGGGCACCACGATGACCGACGTCCGCCGGTCCAAACCCCTCCTTCTCCACGCCATAATTGCCGCCGCCATCGGTCCCATCCAGCCCGATCTGCACCTCCCCCTAGTCAACGACTTCTACAAAGTCATCGCAGACCGCATCATCGTGCGCGGCGAGAAGTCTCTCGAAATCATGCAGGGTCTGCTCGTCACTTGCAATTGGTACGCTCCGCCGGATAACTTTGAAGAGTTGAAATTCTACCAGCTCAGCCATCTGGCCCTGACGGTGGGCATTGATATCGGCATGTATCGGAAGGTTGGGGCGAGGAATAAACATTTCAGTCTGGTTAAGGATCTGATGCAGAAGAAGACGCCGGGTCAGGATCCGGATTCGCCTGAGGCGAGACGTGCTTGGTTGGGTTGTTATTTTGTTGCTGTGCAGTATGTCTCTTCTTCCATCTGGGTTAAGGTATGACGTTAACAGTGACAGGGTGTCTACTTCCTTGCGACGGCCCATTCTAGTCCGTTGGAGCTCGTACATGGATGAATGTGTGGAGGTTCTCGAGAGATCGCCCGACGCCCTTCCCACGGATAAAGTGATGGTCCACTGGGCTAAACTGGCACATATCATCGAGGAGATTAATATGCAGTTTGTGGGCGATGAAACCACTGCTAATATTGCCTTTGCCGACCCGAAGTTTCAGTATACGCTCAAGGTTTTCGAAAAGCAGCTGGAGCAGTGGCGGAGGGAGGCGCGGCCTTATGATTCTCCCATGCTCAAACAAGCCGAATGTATTGTCGATCTGTACATGCATGAAGGGGCCATGCACATGGAAGTGAACGATGAGCCGAAGACGGAAGACTATTCGAGTCCCACCAGTGCAGCTCACATGAACGCGCTGAGTATCTGTCTCACGGCTATTCATCAGGCATTGGACACGATTTGTGCCATCGACGGGAAGGATCTCATCGCCTTACCTGTGGTTGCTCTGGCTCGCACGTCTTTCGCCGTCGTGGCTCTCATCAAGTTATTTTCGTTGGTGTCTGCTCCAGAAACACGCATCGGACAGGTCATCGACCCGTCTAGTCTCCGGGTGGAATATTACATCGACAAAGTGATCCAACACTACCACCATGCCGGCGAGCTTCCCGGGGGCCGCACCCCGAATAAATTCTGCGTGGTGCTCCGCATGCTTCGCAGCTGGTTTGCGAAGCGAAAGGACCAAATCCCTGCTCTTCAGGAAGGGTTGGGCGGGAAGCGCAGCGTTGTGTTATCGCAAGACGGGCCAGATGAACAGAACCAAGTATGTCTTTCGTCAGGTTCAATCTATACAGCAGCTAACAATCACAGTCTAAACCCGGCACTACTCCCCTCCATCTCCTCAGCGAAGTCGCCATGGGCGAACCGAAAAATCACGCTCATCTCGCCTACGGCAGAGGCCAAACCCCATATACCCCTCAAACATCTGATTCCCTTACCCAGTCTCAATCATCCACCCTCCTCCCTCAATCTCTCGACCCCTCCACCACTACAACCACCTCCTCCTCTGAACCCTGGACCCAATACCCCTCCACCACACCAAGACAATACTACAATAACCCCCATTTCACATCTCCCTACCAAGACCTCCCCCCTTCTTCATCATCCTATCCAGACCCTAACACCCACAACCCTAACAATCCTAATAATAACCTCGACCTCTCCGGCACCGGTCCCTCAACAACAACACCCACACCAGGCTTCTTTCTTCCTGAACTTGGCCTGCAAGTTGGAGGTGATCCGGATAATCTGTTCGCGTTGGAGGGTATGTTCGGGTATGGGGTGTTCAATTTTCCGGCTGATTTTAACGGCACGGGAGGGGAGGGGATGGGGTTTTATTGATCCTTTCATTGATTCTGAGTTGGAAATTGGATTGAGTTATGGAGTGGGGTGGGTTGGTTGGATTGGTAGGGTTGTATGTAAATATGGTGGACTTATAAGGAGGAGTTATATATGTATATTATTTGATTTCGATCAGTGTCTGTAAATACTTTTCGTTGTAGATTTTGGAAGGAATAGATAGGTATAAGCGCTGGGCAGATACACAAGATACAGTACATAGTGGAGGCACAAGAAAACTCGCCTTTTTATTCAGTTTCGGTTTCGGTTTGATTCTCAGTTTGATTCTCGGTTTTTATGTCTAACTAATATGGGATGTCTGTGTCCAGATCCAGATCCAGATATGTATATGTGGATATAGGTTTGGTAATTATATACAGCACATTATACAACAGACTACAGTGTTTACTTTGTTCCGTAGTAGCCTGGTCTCGGTATATATAGCTGATGGCACGGGGACTAACTAGCTAGCTAGCTAGGTACATGAGGTATCGTATTGCCTGCTTGATATTGTCTGATATACATACGGTAAGTTAATAGATCGATGAAGAGTTATATCGCTAGGGTGATGTATTGTTTCTTCGATAGGTAAGAGGTGAAGAGGTAGGAGAATACGGAGCAAGTATATGACAAATCTGAATCGAATCTAAACCTACTCATCTCTATTGTGAAAAGTAACTAGCTAACATGTTGTTGTGTCATGTGTTTTAGTTAACTGCAGCTATCTTACCTGGCAGATCAGGTAAATCTCAGCAATTGTCTGAACACAATAAGATTCAATCCGGGCGTGTGGCGGTGTTAGGGGCTATGGTGGTGATATATCAAGAATTAAGGGTATTTTCTATGGATGAAGTGTTCTGTATACCCCTCCTGGATTTACCTTTTCATGTATCTGAGTTATCTGCTATCTTTTGGTGGGGATTATACCCTCGAGAAGCACTTGAGAATGAGGAGGGAAATATTTAATTTATAGCAGACTTAGTAGTAGACTAAACACAACAAGCAAAACCAAACAAACAAACAGTCATCCGTATACGTATACAAAAGGAAAGATACAAAAAGTGATATTCAGAAAACAACCCAAAGAATCCAGAGAAAAATGGAAGGAAAACAAACACTCGCTAGAAGATACATGGGTATCTATAATGCGTTTGAAATTGTCGTCGTTCCGTAAGAAGGCATTTCTCCATGATGATTAGCAGGCGAGATCCGTCGCTGCAACAAAGGTTCATGTTCCCAATCTCGTGCTGAGATCCCCTCGGATAAGACGCCTTGTTCTAGATTTCCATCCGGACCGGACCCCCCCGGACCTGTGGTAGCCATGTTTCGGGCCTTCTGCCAGACGAACACGACCAACGCGAAACCAACGACGAAGGTCGACCCGGTGAGAACGATGTTCACGGGGATCGGGTTCCGTTCGAACGTCTTGAACGTGACGGCGTCGAGCCCTGCCTGGGCGAAATTGCCGAGTCCAGCGAGACAGATGATCAGCCCGTAGACCTTGCCGAAGGTCTGAAAGCCGAAGACTTTGGCCGCGTAGTCGGACACTAAAGTGTAGTAGAAAGGACGGTAGATAACGAAAAGAACGATGTTCGCATATCCGGCCTGCAGGCTATCTGGGATGCACCCCAGGATACCGATGACGGTGGCCGTCGTGGCGAGGACAAGGAGAACGAACGGGGTACTGGCGGTGTCGATGATGGTGCCAATAAAGGGGATGGAGAGGAGGCCACCGATGGGGAGCAGGAAGTCGAAGGATTCATTGAGGCGGCGGGCGGCGTCGCGCGAGCCGAAGAGGTATTCATATTGCTGGCGCAGAGAGGCAACAAAGTAGTTGATCCGGAGCATCTGGAGGACCGTGAATAGCGTGATGAGTACGAACCATGGGGACCGGATCTGTTGCAGGGCGGAGCGGCCGTGCAATGCGCCCCAGACGCCACCGGCGGTATGCGTGTTGGAATGCTGCGACTGCTGCTGCTGCTGGCGCAGACGGGTCTGTGCGGAGCCGTTGGCGTCCTCGGCGGGAGCGGTGCCGAGGATCGGGTCTGCGATGATGGAGGCGGCGTCATCGTCGCCGTCGGCCAGGAGGTCTTGAATCTTACTGACGATGCTTCGGCGACGAACGCGACGGTCGTTGCGCTGCCGTTCACCCTCGTTGCGGTCTTGGATCGCAGCGTCAACCCGGTCGTTCAGTTCTGCGGAGATATGCACCTCAGCCTGCTGAACAAGTTCCCCCGCGGTCTTGTACGAGGTGGCTGGCATGATAGTTAATTGCACAACTAGTATGAACAATGGCACAACCAAGTATGCCAGGAAGAATTTCTGCGATGTGAAATGTCCATCGCTGGCCTCATTTGTCAGGCGGAAGATTAAGAAGAGAGCGCTGGACGCGTCAAATGCACCCGTCAGCGACGATAATATAAGTCCCGAGTGTGTAGGGAAGGTGTTGGACAGCTGAAACGAGGAAATGAACACAAATGGGCCGCCTAAGGAAAGAGCGAGATAGCCAGGAATGTAGGCATCGAAAGGCACGGTAGAAGCTAGACTAAGAAGCAGAGATCCCAGAATGAGAAAAGCGCATCCCAATACGCCACATACACGCGGACCATAGGTATCCAAAATGGTGCCCACAGGCAAGGCTGAAACGTTAGTTGCGACAGCCGCAATAGTGAACATCAGATTCAGACTGTTTAATTAGTTGACAGCACCATCTGATCGATCGGAAGAACGCACCGGATTTCCTGTCCATAGCATACGGCCTGGCCCCCTTCCAGCTCTTCGGTAGAGCACTGATTACGATAGACGCCTTCTTTGAGAAAAACCGGTTTGATCGCGGCGAATCCGAAGACAATCCCCGCAGAGAAGAAGCAGTACAGTATCGCGATACAAACCTGCACTGAGGGAACATCAGTCGCGTTACAGCTACCAAAGTCACATTAAGCTTACAGATTCGCCGAGTGCGCCCAACCTCGAATGCTCCAGTGGTTTCCAAGCCATTCCAATCCAGGGGTTTAGCCTCTGGGATCGGCTCGGCTCTCTCGGGTTGAATCTCTTGCTCTGGCGCAGGGACATTCAGCGGCTCTCTTCGCGTGGAGATTCTGTCGGCATTGGCCTCATCTACGGAGGGCTCGTTCCAGCCGGGTCCAGCGTAGGGGTTGAAATTCAAGCGATGCCGGAAGGAATGATGACTATACGTCGAAGGAAACGAGGACGATAGGGAGGGTTCGGGGAGGTCGTGGTATGCTAGCTCATCGTCATCAGACTCATCTCCAGGAGATTGTTCGCGAGGTCGACGACGGAAAGAAGCGGGATTTTGCACCCACGACTCTAGATAGGAGAGACGGTTGAGAGACATGCCGGCGACGAATGCCGTCGAAGGATGAAAAGTGAGAGGCTGTCAGAATGAAGTTCCCTGAGCAGCTCCGACGAGTCTTGTATCACGTCAAGGAAGACCCCAAGCTCCAATCGGGAGCGCCCCTGGTCTTCTTACAAGGTACTGGTGCGGGGAAGGAATGGTACAGACAGGGAAGAATGACGGAGATGGAATTGAATGTCGATGGTAAGCTAGAATAAAAATGCTAGATAGGAGGCCGATGGAGATGACATGGCCGGCATCATGAGCCAAGATGATGGAATCTCATTTTCCGATGGAATTCAACAACGCGGGTGGCTGGGAGGATGCAGGAAGAAGCGGCGGCGACTCGACGACAGCGCGGAGATCGGTGCACGTGACTTCTCTTTTCTCCCCGGAGTTGAGTCAGCAGTCCCTGGCGGCCTGGAAATCTTGGCAGCAACGGATGCCTGAGAAGTGGGCAGAAGTTGGCGGTGAGCCTCTTCTCTCTGTTTCTCTCGATGTTCTGCTTTCTCTTCTCTTCCAATTCCATACGATGACGACCCCTCGTATCTCCGTCCAACGCCACAACGACCAGATCTCCGTTCGTTATGACCAAGCTCCTATCCAAGTGGCTGGAAGAGATCCTCAACCTGATCTTTCTGGCTCCATGCCGAACGGACTCTGTCCGATACTGAACCAACGGGACAGGGTCACCCGTCTTTAGCTTATCGGCCCATAGCTGACTTACGGACTGTTGTGCCATTGGGCAGAGTCTCTAATATGCTCAGCAACTGTGATCCACCAGAGACCTCGAGTCGATGTTCTGCAGTCTCCGAAGCCGAGTCCGACGTCTTCACAGCGGCGGATGGAGTGATGACCATTCTGTCGGGGTTTGTCCGCCGTTGGCGGACTGCCATCTTAAGTTGAGCCGTGGTTCTGGTGGTTTGCAGGTTCGGAGAAGCTCACTTTATTTTATTTTTATTTTCTTTATCCTTTTTACTATCATTTTCATTCTCATATTTTTCTTTTCTTTCCGTGTCTTTGCCTCTTTGTATTTCCCCTCCGGATCCGACTCTGGTACACTATTCCTAATTGGATTTGGGCAACCTTTTAGGCGCGTTGCGAGTACATCAGAAAGTAGTTGACTGACCTGCGCTGTGAAGATCTTTGCTCTCTCTGGCTACAGCCGCCACCGTCCTGCGCCCTTGACATTGTTGGTCCCTGGCTGCACGACAGAAGACAGAGCCAAGATCCTTAGGCCAAGATACTGACCTTCTACTCCGTAATGATGTTGCATGCCACCCAAAACGCTAGCTAGGGCACACGCCGGCAAGAGTGCTCACCACTCGAAAAGGACTAGACACTCACGCTACTCCGAGTACATCAATCACATGGGACCTCTTAGCGGGTCCGGATGAAGTGAAAGATGGCCTATGGGAGGGTGGACTTGGCCATTAATAAAGCAGGTTTCAAGACAGATCAACTTTGACTAGCAGGGGGGCCGGCCGGCCGCAATGGGCAACCGTGGGTTTACCACCGCTCGACGCGCATAAAAGTGGATGCGTGAGAAATAAAAACACAAAAAAGAAAATCACGAAAAAAAAAAGGAAACAAAAGGCAAAATAAACCGAAACAGAGAGATTGATTAATAACGGGAAAGTCCACGGCTTGGCTTGTCCCTCCATTCACCAAAATCTTCAGGCGATCAAAGGCAACGTGTGAACACCGCTAAGGCCCTTTACGGGGATGGTTTAGTGTCAGGCTCTAATCAGTCAGGGACCATGCATGAAAGACGAATCATAAAAACAGATAACATAAACATAATGACAAAGCCCAAGGGAGTTAAGCGTGAAGACCCGGCCCGGCGACCGTCTCCTGGAGACTTGCCAGAGGCCCAGAGGCCCAGAGTGCCCATTATTGACAATCAGGCATTCAAATTATGACCCCAGGAAGGAAAAGCACCCAAGGAGAGGGGGGATGGTGAGAACTGCCGGCCCTCCCAAGTCCAATAAGAAGACTCTGGTTCGCATGGCCTCACATTTAACTCATCCCAAATTTGCCACTTCTAGAAGGGATCAGAGGGCGGGTCTGTCAATCGCACGCGCTCGCCGGGCACGAAGAGAAACAATTTAACACCCAGGGCTCCGTATCCCTGAAGCTTGAGTCGATTGGCTATCCCGTTTCAAGAAGGGGATGGGATGAGCGGATTATCAATTGTGGCTCCGACTTAAGCTGCCACGGTGCCACCATACCTCTTCTATCCTATTGCTGTCGGATGGAACAGCCCTGCTTCGGTGCCTCTGTGCTAGAGTCTCCAGTCTCGTCTCCAGTCTCTAGCCCCTGGAGCCTGAAAGTCTGGATTGCCGCCAAGAATTACGATCTTCTGGCTGTCTTCATCTTGTTTATCAGTGGTGCTGTTTATTATTTTTTCTGGGTTTTCAGGTGTCTTCTTTTTTTCTTAGCTTGTTTAATGGTTATTTTTTTCTAATTCTTATTTCCACTTTTCCTTATTTTATTTTTATTAGAGTCGCAAGTCACCTCCGATGCTAGTCTGCCACTGATCAAGCCCTCTTGACCTCCACTCTGAATGAACCATCCGTCCGGTTGGGCATTTTAACCGTTTAACATTATTTTCGTTCCATCGCCTTCGCTGTTGCTGTCACCAAAGCGGTCACCTTTAGCTGCATATTAGTCGGGGTTAATTCTCCTCCTCTGTCCTCCTCTTCCTTCCTTTTTCCCTTCCCTTTCCCCCTTCTCCCACTTCTTGTTTTCTGTCTATTGGGGTTCAACCTCCGGTTTTTCTCGTATCATCTTGATAATCAGTTGCATCTCTTCCTTCACCAGTGGCGTTGATGCTTTCATCGATGATCCATGGCTGTTAGAATTGACAGCAGCGGAAGTACTTGACGACACCGTGATGAGGGGATGGTAAGTAGTAAAATTGCCCTGACTCTCGTTGACTTCTTTCTGGTTTTTGTCTGTTCCTGCGGTATAGTCAGCATCTTATCTAATACCCTTCTCTTCCTCTTGTCTTAGTCTCACTTGCCGTCAGCGCCATCTGAAATGTAAATCCCCATCAAGAAAACCAACAATCCCTCTCCCCCATCTCCCCCATCTCCACCAAATATCCTCTTTATTTGACGTTTAACCTTCCCCTAACATTCAGGATATAGGTGACAAAACTGGAACTGAATGCCTACGTTGTCAACGATCGGGACGGCAGTGTATTCCTGCGCCCGCGAAGCCGGAAGAAGTCACATTTCGACACGGCCAGAATCCGTCTTTACGACAAAGGGGCCCCCCTCGATACGGGGAGAGCGACTTGTCGTTTCCGGATGATCAGATCTGGGTTCACACGCCTTCGGAAGGTTTGTTTCATGATTGATGTGTTTTTCGTCATTTGTTTGTGGTCGTCCCGGACCCGCTGATACTAGGTAGTTGCCTTTGAGGACGAGACAGACCGAACAGCTGCCGACTACCACGTCGTTTCATCGGCAGCATCCCCTTCATATTTGAGAGAAGCGTCTGAAAGTCAGTCATCTACTTCTATTGCCCCTCCCCGACTCGCTGTCTCGCGAGTAGCAGTCTCGCCGGTGGACCCGGGCGCACAAAGGGGGCAGCCGGTAGCTGAATCACGAGCTGTCATGTTTAACCATCTCTATTCATCCGAAAATCTCGGTAATAACCAAAAGTTGAATGATTTTAACGAGGCCTTGCTGTTGAGGCATTTCCGGAATACCTTGGGAGCATGGGTATGGTCTCCGTCCCCTTTTTCTCTCTCGGACGGCTCAGGGAGAAGGAAAGAGAAAACAAGCTCGAAAACATGACTAACTTGAGATAGATGGATGTGTGCGATCATGAGAGGCATTTTTCTACTATGGTCGTCGAACGCGCCCCGTCGTGTGCTCTGTTGTTGTATGCCTGTCTCGCCATCGCCGCTCGGCATCTCTCTCACACCACCAACACCATCCCATCCAATGCAGCGGACGGGTATCACGAGCGCTGCATCGCCATTCTCCTCCCGGTCCTTGAAAACAGTGATTTCAAAATCAGCATCGAGATCCTCCTAGCGTCAACCGTCATACTACGATTCTTCGAGCAGTTATCCTGTGGGTCTCCTGCGTATTCCACCGTGGCCGGTTTTCTAACAAACCAAACAAAAACAGCACACACTCCATCCAGTGACCTTCAACGACACCTACTTGCCGGGTCGGTGTACATTAGTTCACACGTCGACTGCGCCATCTCTGGCGGCCTCGCGGAGGCCTCGTTCTGGGTTTTCGTGAAACAAGACATTCAGTTTGCCCTAGCGTACCGCAACCCGCTACGACTGACCATCAGTCCATTCGAAGAGAAACTCAGCCAGCGATGGCAGACCACCGTCCCGAGTGACCGGGACTGGTCGCACAAGGCGATCTGGCTATTGGCGGAAACCATCAACTATTGCTACGGGGCTACGCATCCGCTCCACATGGACACGATCGACGGCGAGGCGCTGAAGCGGAAGATTTGTGCCTGGGAGGCCGGGAAGCCGGAGAGTTTCCAGCCGTTGCATTTTTCTCCGGCGAATACGAGTATTGGAAGACCATTTCCTCTAGTCTGGTTTACTAGTTCGGCTCATGGTGAGTTTGTGGTGGGGTGTTGTTTTGTGATTAGTGTTTACCGAGTTATACTAACGTCGAGCAGCTACGGCGGTCCAGCATATTTGCATGACCAAGGCATTAATCCACCAACATGAGCTACACACGATGGGAGGGTCGGAATCCAGTCTCGATTCGAAAAGAATGTCGGTACGTTGGTATTACAGGAAACCTTGCGAAATGTTCTATACTAACGAACCCTCCGCCTCAAAGGATGAGGTGATGAAAAACTTAGGCATCATTTTCGGCATTGCTCTATCTGCCGAAGACGATCCACCCGTGCGCATAATGGCCTGCCACGCTCTCTGTGCCTGTGAGTGTAAGACAAACAATCAATAAAAAGGACCCTTGTCCTTTTTGTTTTTTCTCACTAATAACCTTATTTCCTCCTTCCCCCTTTTTCCTATTATTGTCTTGCAAATTTTTAAGTTTGCTGGTTCATTTATTTATTTTTTTTTCTTCGACAAAGGAAGAAAAAAAAAAAAAAGCTTAAGCAACCCCAACTCAAACCCAACCCCAACAAACAAACTCACGCTAATTTTCTTCTCGGGTCACACATTATAGGCGGTTCCTGGATTCGCGATCCCCTGGCGCAAAACACCCTTCTCGATCTGCTTCGTCGCACGGAGGCCGAAAACGGCTGGCCTTGGAGTTTTGCCATGCAGAAGTTCAGTCACGATTGGCATGCGTGATGACACAATCACACTCACTTCCTTCTCCCTACTACACAACCTATACTATATCTATACCTATACCTATACCTACTTCCTACTGCCTATCATCGCAGCGACTTTGCTATTACGCTATAACCAAATTACACACTACGCAGTATACGACGACCGGACAGGACACGCTGGATTCAATTTTGGTTAATACATTTTTTTTTTCTATTATCATTTGTTCCGCACTTTCCATGCATGAACACCAACCCTCCAAACAACCAAAGAGAGCCAGACAGAACAAGAGAAAAGAAGGAGACAGCAGATGAGCAACGAACCCACCCAACCGGAGTATATACCTATTCTACCCGATACGGAGGGTGGCCCGATCCAACCAGATCGATCAGCAGTTCGAGGATTGGGACGACGAGACAGAAAAAGAAAAAAATAAAAATAAATAAAATCCAAATAAAAGCAGTATCGTGTGCATGGCCCCATGACCTAATGGTGTCGAATAATCAATATTTCAAGTCACAATAGGAGACAAAAAAAAAAGCAAAGACAATTCATTCCCCATTCTCATCGACTCAACGTCAAACTTACCCTATCAAGCTATCCTTCGTGTCCCACGTTCTTCAACCCAAGGAACGAACACCTGCAAGGGCAGTGCATCGTCAATATAGTCATTTAGGAAAAAAAAATGAAAAAAAATGAAAATCACGAATCCGAATTCCGAGATTCTCCGCGGATTCAAGATCCGCAGCAAATCATCATCGATCAGTGTTCGAATCGATGATTGGAGTTGACTTTACTAGCGGTGTGGTACGCTAAGGAACTAGCGTCGAGGATTTGATAGGTCTAAGGTTAGACAGTCCACAACACTAACAGCATTTTAAGTATGCTTCAATAAAAGAAATAAGATGGGAAAATCCCAGTAAAATCACTAAGGCGGGCAGACCCGACGATCGTCGCAACGGGCTTGTAGATTAGCCTTGTTCTACTTCCCGATATCATAATCGAACAAAAGTAGACTGAGACAGTCTCTGTAAGTCTACCACAGCGTCCAGAAAGATCCCACATGGATTGTCGCCATGCGGGGCAGCCCCACGTCAGACTTGATGGGGCCGGTTCGTGTCGTGTGGGGCTCGAGAAGCCTGACATCAGAAGGATTGGCGAGGTGAAACATGACCGGGTGAGCTGGCAGTTGTCAGGGTTGTCAGTGTTACAGAAGCAGGCACGGACGGAGTAGTCTGTAGGTATTTGGTATATCCTATGCTCAGTTTCCATGCTATCTATCTATTATGCTGAGTATCAATATGCATAGATCTGAGCAATTAAGGTACGTATCTAACCCAATCGTGCAAACCTAATCCTATTCCCCAATCCTACCAGTAATTAGGTAAACGCAAGGAACGAAGATCTCTCCGGCACACAGCATGAATATCAAAAATAGTAATTATCTCCGCCAACCAGACCGGCAACAGACCGGCAACAGAACTAATGCCGGAGTCTCCAAACCGAATAACATTAAAGGAGCATGCTAGTCTACGCATCTTGATGCGCTAACTGCTTAGTTCCTGACTGTCATCCCTAAGAATAGCATCAGTATCAGGTTATTTTTTCTTCTCTTTTTTTCTTGCCCTCCACCTTTTAGTCTCCACCGTACACAGCTCCACCCCCCACCTCTCCGTACTTCTACTGGAAAAGGTTAGGGCAAGTGTTAGTCATCTGGTTGATGGAGCGTCGGGAAAACCCCCACAGGATGCGCAATCTCGGGCCAGATTCCGTCGGTCTGGCAGGCATACGTTCCTCACGTTATTTGTAAGATTTCGAACTTATTATATATCATAATGAACAAGAGAAATATAGAAAAGAGAAGGGCAAAAAATGGCAGAATTTTCAATAATGCAAAGTCTGGTAGTAAAAGCCCTCACCCAAGCATACAGTGTGTACAGTCCAACTAGTCCATCTCTACCGCACCTCATCCTGATCGTCTCGTTGAAGTCTCAAACAAATGCACCAAGATGGACCCCTACGGAGCTTTCCGTATGTAGAGAACACAGACGGTCTAGTTCAGTTCATCGGCGGTCCTCCGCTCCGTGTCTTCGTCCGAGACCTAGACTCATCAAACGCTGGTCTGTGTCAGGATAACCTTCATCTGCAGTTCTCGCATCTATCTGCCCTGTTCTGTCCATTCAGTTTCGATTTCGCGCCTTCTCTCGTGTCAGCTAGCTCATGCTCATCTATCTGCTCTCATGGACGCGCAGAGTCGCATATCATTAGGTAAGTCCGGCTGTTTGAGAGTGAGATTCTTCACGGGCTGTGTCTCGCGGCCTGCAGGTTGCGTTCCATGGAACCGCGCTCGGGGATGAGCGGTATGCGGTCTAGATATCTGGGTACGGATGTGATCCGGCGTTGCAGATTCTTGATCCTAGGTCCGGAGTATGGAGTAGACTGTAGATCGGTTGATGATGGGTTCCGTTTCCTAAGTTCCTCGGTCCTCCTACGGAGTATGTCAATCGGGTGACTCGTTGCGAGGCAGAGTGTATTAAGTGCTGCAAATGTAGAGTAAATGGGTAGATGTATGTATACATATTCTGTGGACATACTGTGTATGTTGATAGATCGAAGGAATTGGATGTTGTGAGGATGGCAAGAAGAAAGGTCCAGAACTCGGTCTACCACAACTGTCTCCGTAAAGGGTGACATGCATGGTCTGATTCCAGGATGCAATGATGTGATTGTGATTGTGACGATGTGATCCATAGCCATCAGCCACACTCCGTAGACCCAACCGGACCGGCTAGATGAAAGTCCAGATTCTGATCCTGATTCTGGCAGATGTCGACGCAGTGATAGACATGGCTAAATGACAGTGAGACAATCCGTAACTACCCAACCACTACGCAGACCGAGACTAACTACAACCTATCCGGATCCTCGACGAGTGCTGTTAAGTGGACTAGATGGTGGGTTTTAACCGCTTGTCCCGATAAGCTTGTTTATTTGATTTTGATTTTTCGCCGCTTTCCTGCCAACAAAGAAAAGAAAACCAACCACAATTCTAAGTAGCCTCCGTCCCCATGTGCTTTCTTTACCGGATCTTGTCTAGTCACTCGGGTCAGGTCAGACATCTGCCAGGGTCTTCACTGTGGGGACCTTCTCCGTTGTGGCTACAGGTACGCAGGAGCTACCGTCCTACGGAAGAATTACGATTTGTGCATATCTCTTTCCGATAGGCGATGGCCCTAAAACGACTGTACACCGTACGCACCACGGATATACAAACGGTATATGCTCCGCTCCGCGCTGGAGACCTTTTCCATGAGACAGACAGGCGGACTTACCCAGCTCGGAGTGATCTTTCAGTTGATCGCGGGCATGATCCGGACGGGGACGCACGATTCGTTTCAAGGGCTCAAGTCTCGCTCAGGATCAGGTTCTGACCCGATCGACGACTGGTCCTTCTGATGCTCATAAGTGGTGGATCGTGTTGATTGTGGCAAACTGGCCCGAACCAAACCACCTGTCCTTTTTTCTTCTTTTTCCCTCCTCGCCAAGGTGCACTTTCTACTCCATACTCTACCAAGTACTTCGTAAAGTCCCCGCAGAGGATTAGCTATGAATGATAAGTAAAGGCCTGCGCCAATACCAAGGATTAATCAGCACATCCTCCCCTGTCCCCGTCTATACCCGTCTCTCTATCGGATACTCACAGCACTAAGCAACAGCCACTTTTCTGAGTAATGGATCAGTCATTGATAACCATCAACTAGCGCAGTGCCATGCAGTGCCAGCGGGGCGGAGGACCTACCTACTCTGTCCTAGACAGTAAAGAGCGGAGTCTCCGTATACCGTAAGTGAGTGGCAGAATACCACGGAGGTTCTGGGCGAGACTAACGGGGTAAACTCGGCGAAATGGGCTTGCCTTCTCCTCTCTCTCGGATTTTCCCTCGGATGCGGGCTGTTCTGGTTTGGTTTGGTAGTGGTATGGCACGGACTTAGGAGCGTCACGTATGTACAGAGTAACTACTCTGTAGGTGGTGGGTGGATGCTCTGCGTGTCTTTCTTGTCTGCGGGTTCGTTTCATGAATCTTAGATTGGGCTTGCTTGCTTGCATGGACGGGATGGGTGGGTGTGACGTTCATGAGAAGGTGATGGAGGGATATTACTGCGCCGCTGAAGGTGAAAGCAGCCATTTCTCTTCGTGTAGATTCCCAAAATAGGAACCTTGATATACCTACTCAGGTCTATGGTCATATTTGCTTAGAGTATCCGGTTGGATGCGTACTCAGACCTGTAGGGTTGCGGTCTTTCTTGCTTTTTGTTTTCATTCCTCTCCGTCTCTGGGGGTTCATAATCTAGCATGATTAGTCGCAGTGAACTCGATCAATCGGTCATTAAGGAATGATAGTATATCGATGGTGTCTTGTAGACTATCTTCAGATGGAAAATTATGAAAGCACTTAGATAATTTTGCTCCAAAGAGATAAATCTACAGGGAAACAACCAAGGAAAATAGACTGTCTTGGTGATTTTATAAAAGAACAGACCGTATATCATGGAACTCCCAGAAGCCTACTGCATAATCGAGGAACAGAGAATACAGCGTCGATTTCTATTAGAGCCGGGATGTAAAATAGACGATTTCACCTCTACCCTCGCCCTGAGTACTCTATATAGAAACTTGATCTCTAGAAAGCCATTAAGTCTATTTCATAAATGATAAAAAAGGAACACAGTGTCTGCTTTACCATCTTCTCCTCCGAGGTTCCTTTCCAAAACATGGATCTGTATTAGACTTGTGAGGATGAATGAAAGCCCTAGAGCGTAAAAGGTGACAATGAATAAATAACTGAACGAAAATATCACGGATATCTAGACCAGGGCAGTGAGCTGGAAATAATCCATATAGAAAGAACGAGATGAGGTCTTTCATACCGATCAATAGACAAACATTCTTGTATACCATATCATCTCATACCTAAACCCCAACATCAACAAATTCGGCCATACCCAGGGACAGGATCCAGGTCCTATTAACATAGTTTACACACAGGGATCTGATTCGTGATTGTCTGCTGGAATCGTGTTCTCTATCTATATACACATTTGGAGCTTGACACATCCCTAGCGCCCTATGGGAAGTCAGTCATAAGGGTTCCGGGCTCCCCGTTGGAATATGCTCGGTTCGTAGGACAATACATTTATTTATATCACCACAGTACCAGCAAGACCTACTTCAAGAGTGTCATGGCAAAGGATGGGCTCAGTAAGTAAGCAAATGGGGAGAGAGATGTTTCAAGCATTGGGAATGCCTATCTATATGCTCTTGCTGGGTGAATAGATGGATCAGGAGTAGTTAGGAAAGGAGAAGGGGATGTAATGAGATGTACATTACAGAGACATCTTTTCTTATCAGTGACGCTTAGATTTATTTTAAATTTGATTTCATGTTTGTAGGCATTGTTATTACCCACTTATCAGTTAGTAGTCATCCACCGAGGTTTCAGTCAGTGACAGTAACAGCATAATCAGAAAGGTATATATGTAGATAAAATATTAACTGGAAGAAATCCACCATTAACAGTAGCCAAATCCACATACATAATGGTGTGTTGAAGTGTATACCAACCAAGTGGGCATGATCATTGCGCAAAATTTTCCTGGCTGTACATATTTTCATTTTGGCTCATGCATCGTGACTCATAATTCATGTGCATTCTTGTCATTTCCAAGCTTCGCCGGGGCTGACTCAATCGCTATGCTCAGAATTGACAGGGTTAGACTCTCGAACTCTCTCAAAACAGTCTTTAGGTCAGGCTGGACTAACCCATGTTTGACGAGTTTGCATTCAACCGAGCCCAAGGGAAATGAATGTCTTAACTGTTGGGGTTAGAATTTGACTCGAAAGTGTGACGTCGAAGACACTCTAGGCATTGTTTGCATCGTGTAATGGGCCCCTCGTTCGATGGAACAATGTGTTGTACAGGTTGTAGACAGGTCAAAAAGACATGAATGCCATCTCAATTTCGAACAATAGTGCTCGACCCGCTTCATCGCAGGCTGTGTCGTACCACAGGATCATCCTTAGCATGGTGCGGAGCTCAGCCCAGGTGGAAATATGGTGTTCTCGGAGCGTTTGACCCAGGACTTGCACAAACCATTCTCGTTCCGGCCGGTTGTCCGAGGCGATTCCACCCAGGGTCAAGGCCCATAAGATCAACACGAGAGCTTGAGGATGCGTCCAGGTGGGTTTGGACCGCCAGTTGTTAATGGTTCCTCTCAGGAACAGGGCTAACCGGGCCAGTGGCGAGCTCTGCGCGGGCAGAGGAAAGACGACGCCCACACTGTAGACGAGTGCTGCAAGACGACTCGCTTCGTAGACAACTCCCTGGTCAGGGAATGACGGATACGCTTCGGTCTGGATGGCCGGAGGCAGAGCCTGGAGGGTATGCTGGATCAAGTTGCGCTGGTCGGCGAGCAGTGCATTGTCACCCTTGATCGTTTTATGCAGAATCCCATCCACATTGTTCATGTACACCCGCATAGCATAGAAGAGGTTCAGTAATTCTTCCGTGAGGCCAAGCTGTCGTAGATGACCGTACTGTCGCTCCACCTCGACCGGGTCGTAGCCGAGTAACGTCTGTAGAGACATGTTCCTTCGATCGTCACTCAGGGGGATGTACGAGAAGACCGGCGGGACCAGATAGGTTGTCGCAGTTACAATGTCGGAACTTGGATTGAGTCAGTGAGATTCTCGAACTCTGTCTGGCTTCCTTACAATGATAAGATCGGGGCCAATCCGGGGAGTGTGATCTGCTCCAAGCCACCACGGAGTTTGACCATTTGAACCAATCCTTCCACGTGCACAATATTCGGCGGGAGGCTTCCGTAGACATCCAGCCATTGCAATCTTCGCATCGGCGCGTGGAATGGGGTCCGCCGCTGTAGGCGCTCGTCGTTCTCGTCGGCTGCGTTGTGTGCCATGCAGATAACGCTGAGAATCACGGCATCGCACACGGCTCGACCTGGAATGCTGACCTGTTGGTTGATCATTTTGATGGTCTCGAACTCACACAGCTGAAGCAGCTGCTGGTCCCGGGGTCGAAAGGAGTCCTTCGGGATCCAGCCATTGATCCACTGCACTCTCTGATGCGACAGGGAGCCGAAAAGAAACGCGGTAAACAACGTCGGGTCATTAAGAGAGAGAGGAAACCAATTCGAACTAGCCAGCACGCTGGAGTCATCGTTGCCGTGGCCGGGCGTTAGTCCAGGCCACAAGACATTCAGACCTACCGAGTGATTAGTTATTCGCTGAGTTGCGAGCGGTGCCTTGCACATCGAACTCACAGTATCGCTCACATGCGCTGACCAGATCGGGCGCATATTTGGAAGGAGAGGTGTGAAAAGGGTCTAGGACATTGGCACCAAAGGACTCCACATATTCTCCAGGCGGGGACGGGCTAGGACTGTCGGACATGGACAGTGATCCCCGGGCCAACTTGTTGTGGTCGAAGCTGCTATCGAATGTGCTAGCCATGGCATCGGTATGTACGGGGCAGGCACGAGCTTTCGGGGTGGTCTGGCGCGCATTCTTCTGATCGATGGTTCGAACAAGCGAGGTGCTATTGGAGGTGTTGGATTCCGGCGAGCGGGACGACGAACCCGACGGCGAAGATGAGGGAAAGAGCGTTTCCTCCGTGTCGAGATCGACGGATTTCTCATGATGTTCCTTCAATTGGGTCTCTGCGGTGTCCGATCGGTCCTTGGTCTGGTCGGAGATCCATTGTCCTACATGAGCGCGAACGAGGCGGCGGATGCGAAGTCGCTCGTTCTCGGAGGAGGGTCTGGCATTGACGAAATGAATCGCATCCTTTTTGCGCCCGGTGGCACCTTTGTTCGGCGGCATGTCAAGTTTCTTCTCCGGGCATTGCCCATCAAGAGAGGGAGTATAGAATACGGCGAAGGGACGGAGCAGATGCTGGGACCAGCATCATGCGGCCCGAGAGGAGATCTGGGAGGAGGAACAGATTGTGCAAGATCGATCGAGAAACCGGGAAGGCGACGTGGCGAAGGAAAACAATTCGCAGCCGGGGGGTTTGCGCGAAAAGAACGGGGAGCTAGGCCAGGAGAGACAAAGAAAAGAGGAGACAAGAAAACCCAGACCGAAAAGTCAGCAAGGCAAGTCGAAGCGAAGGCAGCGCAGGGGCCGAGGGGACAAGGACCAGGAGGGGGAGATGAAGAAGGAAGGAAGAACAGGAAGGAAAAGAAGGAAAGGAGGGACGGCCGGTGATAAGGTTGGGCCAAACGGGAAAGAGCGCGAGGAAAGAGGAAAGAGGAAGGAGCGAACGACGTCGGAGGCGCCGGCGGCTGCCCCGTGACCCGCGCGCTTGGCCGGTCGGGATCGCCAACGTCGGCGAAAGCTTAACGCCGGAAAGACTCGTCGAGACTGCGGAGGGTTACCACGGCCATGGATGGCTGCAGTGGCGGAAGTTTGATATCGGCGAGTTTGCGCGTCTTTATTTTGGTGTAACGATTGGGGTTGTAGGTGTTCACTGTGGGTGATTTTTTTTCTTTTTTTCTTCAGAAGATCTTCATTGGTAATCCCCTTTATCAATACCATAACATGTGATAAATGACTCGATTCGAGGTAGATAATCACTCATATTCCTGGACAGCTAAGTCAAGTGGAGGACAAATATGACAGCTCCCGTTCCACCCGTTCCAAGGCACCGGTGGCCGGCTAACCTTCCCCGAGTCGCATGCCGCATGTGACCGAGGCATCGAACTCAACTTATCCTCCGCGAGCAATCACTGTTAATGCGATCTCTTTTGACTTCCAAAATCCACCGAGAACTACAGAATTAAGGTCCAAGGTGGTAGCTAGTGGACTGGCCCAGACCCGCATTAATCTTCCAATGTCATTGGTTGATTGATTAACGCCTTGGTCACTGTCATCTAGCGGGAAACGGGGCAAGGAAAATTGAAATAATAAAGGATATGCCTGGCTGTTTGTTTACCTAGGTAAGCTTGTCAAGTTAATCCAGCTCAATCAACGCGTACTTTCCTCCCTCGCCCGTCTCCGCGTCGTGATACTGTTCCAACGCCTCCTCTACTGCCGCCATGTATCCCAACACCTTCTCTTCCTGCCATCTGCGACCCACAACCTGCACGGCCGTCGGCAGGCCAGCCATCTTCTTCGCGTCGTAGTGCTTCCAGGCTCCGCGAGAAAGGGCATGGTCGCTGCCGAGTTGCTTGAGTGCCTTCTTGTAAGGCAGAGTCAGGGCGTCTTTCTTGGCGTCGACGTGAGACACGGGCAGGACGCCCGCGGAGTAGTCGAGTAGGTTCCAGAGGAAAGTATATCCGCACGAGGATACGGCGTCGCGCATCGCCGTGTGTGGGAGTGCCGGGGTCGCATTGGCTGGGCACAGGATGAAGTCGTACCGTTGGGGCTCGGCGTCCCACCACGCGTGCCAGGTGGCGCGGAAGGACTCGCGCTGGGCGACCAGCTTCCACTGAGCAGCGGCGGTCTTGGGGCTGAAGGCGCGGATCAGCGTCGCCCAGGCCGGGTCGCGTCGGATGTATTGCACGTAGAGAGAGTACAGGTAGCGGAGGAAACGAGGGAGTTTGGCAATCAGGGTCAGTTGGTCCGCTCCGGGGTCGGAAGGCTCGAAGCTGTGACGGTGCGAGTTGAAAGTGACGCAGCCGTCGGAGTTGAGCAGCTGCGAGGCCAGATTCAGGCCGGTGAAGGGGTCCGCGGTCGCCGGAGGCGTGATCTCCGACACGGTATGTCCGGCCGCAGTCAGAGCGGCCACGGAGGTGGACACGGCGCGTTCAATAGCCGGAGTAGGAGGGATGACCCCTGCATCAACGTTAGAATCTCTCAACTCAGAGCCATAGATCAACGCCGAATGAGCCTTACCATCGCTAGCCATCAACCCAATCCGCAACTTCTTGCCCTTCGCTTCCCGTTCCTGCTCCTCCCGCCACGCGATCGGATGCACCGTATAATCATACCTCCACGGCTCCATCCCCACGATCGCCTTGGTAAAATACGTCAGATCGTTCAGTGTCCTCGCCATGGGACTGAACACGCTCGCCACGCCCTCCTGGCCCGCCATACTCGTATTCACGCCCACCTTGGGCCACCGTCCTGTACTGCACCGTAGCGAGTAAATCCCACTCCATGCCGCAGGCACCCGTACTGACCCTGCCACATCCGATCCGATCCCAATGCGACCCCCGAGCGCCAGCAACGCTGCCTCTCCGCCCGTAGACCCGCCGGGTGAGTACTCGGGGACATGGGGGTTACGACAAGCGCCCCATAGCGCGTTGGCCGACTCAAAGGAGAGGAGCGTGATCGGAAGAGCTGTCTTGGCGTATGGTACGGCCCCTAGTCATTCAAATGTCAGTACGATCCCATGTTCTCCACTCTAGTAGGGAATTAACCATGGTACTAACCCGCATCCTTCAACAACTTAACCATCACCCCATCCTCAGCGTACGGTTTCCCCGCTAACTTCGTATACCCAAGGGAGGTGTCGAACCCCTTCACTTGCACCGAATCCTTCAGGGAGACAGGCACGCCGGCCAGCGGACCCTGCAGGTTGATTTCCGACTCCGCCCAGGTTTCCGCCTCTGGAAGAAGTAGCTCCGTGATGCAGTTCGTTTTCTCCTGCGCTTGGACGGCGACTTTGCCGTACGTGTGGAGGACGTCGAGGGGGCTGAGCGAATGGTCCTGGACCGAGTGGACGAGGTTCGCGATGGGTTGGGTGAGGAGGGACTTGTCGTGACTTGTGAGGGCAGCGTGGTAGTGAGCTGGGAGGGAGGCGAAACGGGCGGCGCGTTCGTTGCGTTTGAGGGTGCTAGCATGCGTTAGTACTGATAATGTAGGTTTGTTGTTGTGATTCGAGGGATGAAATAGGAGAGGAGGACTTACCGCACGCGCCGATAGGTAAAGTAATCAAAGGGCGGCAGCATGGTGGCTTGTGGCAGCTCAATCAAGCTGAAGAGATTCTTAGCCAGCTACTTTCCAGGTGTAATCGTGACAAAGACCGAGACGAGAGGAGGAGCTCCCTTTTATTGCGGGGACAGAGACCCCGTGCGGAGAAGCGATAAGACCCGCTGATAAGCGCCGCCCAGGGTGGAGATCGCCGATTGTTCCTTGATTGTTGATTGTTATCTCTGCGATGAACCTCGATTTCAGGCAATGATATGCAGGAACAAATACGGTCGATTCCCTGTTCCTATCTATCCCTTTGGTTGAGATTGGAAGACGAAATTGAAGTAGAAATAAAGATCGAGACGCTGTACAACCGGCGACGTGGACGACACGTGACCCTGCAGTTGCCGAGAGCCGGGGATGCGAGGCCCGATCGGGCAGGTCCTTGCGGTGCAGCGGACAGAAGTCCGCTTGGATACCTGATCTCTCAGGCAGTGAATTGCCTATCAGGAAGGCAGTCACTAGATTGGGAGTTACTTGGAGAAAGAGTGTACGACCAAATCGTTTAGATAAGATATACAAGAACACGTAGGGTATTTCTATCGCCATCGCAAACCAAACTAAGGCAATAGACTCCGCACCGCAACGCTCCCAAATGAGACCAGCTCATCGGACCTGTCTGCAGTCTAGTAGGTTATCTGCAGCGTCAAATCTCACCGACCATTCTTTCCACACAAAGAACATAACCATGCCAGCCCCAGTCACTGACAATAAAACGCCATGCCTAATCAAAAACCCCCACAAATGCTACGAAGATGTATCTCCGTCCTCATCTTTATGGTCGCGCAGCCAATCATGAGATATGAAGTACCACAGAACAACGGCCACGGCGGCAATCAGCAAGCCGACCAGGACGACGAGAACCACGCCGCAGATTATCGAACGACGGCTTTTTCGTCGTTGGTTTTGGATCCATGTATCCCTGTTTCAGTTAGATTAACATTTAGAGAACAAGGGAGGAAAAGAGGTATAAGTTGATGATTTGATGGAGTACAGTGGTAAGAGGTAAAGGTTCATGGGTTAGGTGAAATAAGATACAATGAGAAAAGGCAGGTCATGACAGAACGATGCAAGGAATTTGGCAAAGCATACGAGTTATAAGTTCCGTCTTTATTCTCCGAAGACTTTGCTTCCTCGTCCATGTGAATGGCGCGCGAGAAGCGACGCCAGAAGGCGGGGTCACGAACCAGGGCCATGCTCTGGGGAGATGGATCGATAGATTCGTGGATAGGTCCGGTCGATAGTGGTAGATGGTCTTTACGCGTCGTAGACAGGTGGCAGATCTTGGATAGCTATCACTTCATTGATAATTGGGCGGAAACGAAAGGTTGTTGAAGAAGAAAGGGTATCTCGGTCGAGCAAGGGCGGAGTGGGCTCGCTACTCGACGCGTCTTGCTGGGATGAATGTATAAGCTGATAAAGAGAGGAGAGAGTGTGATTCAGAAACAAAAGAGTAGATAGTCAAGCTGATAATCGGCAGGTTAGTAGGATTCCAAAATGCAAGTTCGGGTTGCAGGATCTACTGCATCCACGGTGGCGGTTCGTCGGGTCGAAGTCGCTGTCGAAAGTCGAAACAGAGAAACTCAGAAGACAGCCTCTCTGGCAGCACTTGCTAATAATAAGACCCCAGCCACACATGTATTCACCGGAGTGGTCGACGACGGATTCCAAACAGCCGGCCGGGAATGACAATCCGATCTGGAATCCAGGGTTTCGACCAATCATCCCCCGAGTATTGCGACTCGTTGCCCGGCAATCTGGTCACGAGAATGTCAATACTACCCCAGGTATTGGACGCGCTCATGTTCTTGACGGAGGATTTGTGGGCGACATCGATATCTGGAGATCGATGAGTACTTCTGCGGAGGGGTGAGGCTGCAGAATCCCTTGCTTGGTATTTTCTCAACTCGGCCCGCGGTTCATGCAAGGTGAATATTCACTAATAACTCTGCTAACATTTAATAAGACTTCATGTTTTGTTGATTTTATTCATTATACGAGGGATACCACTGCGTGCTTTTCTGTAAAGTATATAGAACTGGAGGAAATTACTAGACATCACAATTGAAATGGAAAAAAAATATAAATTAGGTTGGATAACAAAAATAAGTGATCAACTCTTGCTGCCCTTTGAAGTAGCCAGTTCATTAATCACACCTATAATAGCTATATAGTCAAGACGCTAATAGCTTTTGACTTTTACACTTGTAAATGTATATCTAACTCCAATCACCTTTAGGGCGACAAATCATCCACCATTGACTCTCAGACTGTACTCCTTCGGCTTAACGGAAGGCGTCATCATTGCTCTTAGTATCGATGACCACAGTAGCCTTCCCAATGCTCCCCCCAGATTCAATGCCCCGGTGTGCTTCTCGAAGACCATTCAATGTCAACGGAAGTCGCTGCGTCAAATGACAAGAAATCTTGCCTGATTCCAAGAACTGCCTTAACTCTTCCAAGATCTGATGGTGAGACTCCACGTTGACACCATAAACTGGATTGGTCCCGATAAGACACCATATAAAGCTCAAAGACTTCGCCATAAACTCGGTGCCGTACATCTTTGCCTGCCCTTGCACAATCGAACAGACTTCGCCGAATGGCACGGCGACTTTGGCACAGACATCCATGTATTGGTCGGTCGAGTGGGTGATGAAGATATACTTCAGCGGAACATCGAGGTTGAGATCTTGGATCTGCTTCACCACGTCCTCCCTGTGGTTAACGACATGAGTTGCGCCCATTTTCTTGGTGAACTCCACGCTCTCGGGCCGCGACGCTGTTGTAATCACAACCGGTAGTTCAAGAACGTGTCTCGCTATCTGGCTCGCAACAGCCCCCACACCACCAGCGCCGTTGATGATAAACAGAGCTGCCTTCTCCCCCTTCTCGATCTTCAGTTGCTCAACGAGTGCCTGGTACGCGGTGACATACGTGAGCGGCATTGCGGCTGCTTCGGCCATGTCCAAGTTCCGAGGCTTATGTCCGACTGAGCGCTCATCGACTAGTTGAAGCTCGGCATTCGAACCTTGTCGAATTGGGCTGCCTGAGTAGAAGACTTCATCGCCGGGTCGGAAGATGGTGCTTTCCGGACCGGCTTTTAGGACTGTCCCTGCGCCGTCGTAGCCGAGGATTTGATATGGACGGGGAACCTTATCGTAGTAATTCGTACTAATGTTATAGGAGCCGAGATCTTGTCGCTGTGCTGCCGACAGAGACATGTATATACATACCTGGATAGTCGTCGTATTTCCCAGCCCGGACCTTCATGTCAATGGGATTCACGGAGCATGCTTCGACCCTATCATATATGTTATCAGCGTACCTACTCAGCTATTTTGAATTGAATGCGCTGTCCGTTGGCCAATTACCTAATTAATAAATCGCGACCCTTGGGTTCCCCTGGGTCCGGGACTTCCTTGGCTTTGAGGGCGTCAATGGCACCGTATTCCTCAACAACGATCGCTTTCATGGTAGCTCTAGTGATTCTTTCAAACACTGCGGAGGAATTATCGTCAGGAACCCGTGAAGGCCAAGTTTGGAGTTGAAGTAGCCCTTCGATTAGTTTGTTACCTATGATGTATGAACATCGTCATTCAGCGTATGACGCACAAATAACACACCCAGAATGAGGACGGAGATTTATCATACGTTCTTCTTCCCTCCTGTAAACTATTCTCAATAGTAGCAGTTCCTAGTTCTATATAGTAGTCTAATGGAGGCTCGCGGCAAAATCCGACATGTCTATAGTTTAACCTAAGAATGTCCCGGATGCGTGGGTACCGGGTGGAATACAGCAATCAATGCCAGTCAGGTTCCGATTGGGACAAACACCTTTTCCGAGATAATGAAATGAGAGATGCTCTATGAGAATAATTTGACCAGTAACATGTATAACTAATCTTGAGACAACTCAAAGGAGTGAAGAAACAAAAAGCTTATAAAGATCTCCGGAGCGGCCATTATATATAATCGTATAGCCGTAGGGGTTAACTCGGTATGTAAGTCAATTACTGCTAGCTGCTGGTCTCATTCACAGGAACTGTCAAGCGTGCCGGCCGTAGATGTGCGAATTCTGAGTAATCAATTAGTTATACTATTCTTGATTTTTGGTTAAGGCGAGTTAATTTGGGTTTGAGGCTGTTTAGCCTGCTAGCCTGCTTGCCTGAGGCGCCAAGAATTACCGCTTTCCGAGGTGTCGGTTCTACGGAGTACGATAGAATCTTTATAAAGCTCGGACGGAACTTATGATCAGAAATTTAATTTGCTGCCCTAAAGCCAAATAAACAACCTTCTTGTTGGAAAATGTCTACGTATCTGATGCAGTATTCTATCTCGGCTGTGCCAATAGTCCAAGCCCAAAAACATCACGAGAGAAAATCAATGCGACCGACGTTTTTACCGAATACCTGAAAGGAATCTTAACATCTGGTTAGCCTCAATGGACACGAAGCAATATGGCAACCCAAGTAATTGAGAGCAAACATAAAAGCAAACCCAGAAGATTCAGAGACCCGTCTTGAAAGGTAAAAGTTTTTTCCACATGTGTGAATTATTCATTTTCAGAGAACAAAAGGGATGAAAGGTATCATCACTGAAACTGAGAAGGCAGGGGAGGAAATAAGTATGAGTTGAACGTACCATTGTTAGTGTACAGGAGATGGTTGGTCGGTCCCTATGCTAGCTTAATGCCTCATTTGGTCTAGCTAGCGGAGGGGACTCAGTCCATCCCATATCCCTGGCAGTGCCATGAGGCCAGCCGTGCTTTGCCGACCGCTGGCGGGCGGCGTCGGCGTCGGCGTCGGCCTGGGCGGGGCCGTGTCGTGACCTGTTAGGCGCAATTGCAGGGATCCGAAGCCTACTGGCGTGGGTGAGCAAGATGGCTGAATGGCGATTGCGAACCGGCCATTTTCCTGGTCGAGAGATGTAGAATTCATGTTCAGTGGTTTGCGAACGGGCAATTTATAGGTTTCTCGGGTGGAGAGGCAGAGTAGGGCCACGGCCCTATTGCCTTGTTTTCACTGTTTTCATTCTGCGGCGGCCGATGCATGACGTCGTGGTCGTTTTCTGGATGCCTGAGGCAATGAACAGATGGCTCGGTGACGGATCGGGAAAGCAGACACCTGGGGCTGCAAACGATCGAAACTGCGAGTCAAGACCTCAGAACCAAGTATCTTCGAATAAATTAGTGGGGTCAAAGCAGTCGCCTTCTTCGGGAATTGCTCTGAGCTGTGTCCATACCCTGCAGATTTAATCCATACAGTCTGTCCCTCATCGACTATTCGGCTGTTTGAGATTACAGGCTGTGGTGTATGGATTGGCCAGGATCTGGTCAATCGTTCGTACCACTCCAATGAATACACTTTTATTGGTGCCCTCGTGAGAACCATTGGACTGTTATGACTTTCGAAACTGATTCCCGGATCTCACTAACCAAACATCGGCCCTCCATGGAAGTTATCTTTTGGGGGATGCTGACGAGCACATGGCGTTTGGTCCATCCCTACAACCAACAATATACAATGGTCTAGATCCCTTCCAGAACCCGCGACGACATGACAACCGTGTCGATTGGCTTGGTGGTGATTAACAGATGATGTCACAACCCAACCCCTGCAATCAGAACCATGAGACTCGAATCAGCCATCGAATCTCGGGAACCGTTTGTTGATTCATCGGTCGGATGGCTCGTGTCAGACTCCCTCGTCAAAGTTGCCTTGTCGCGACGCCAGCTCGTCATTCTTTTGCTCGCTTCACTGGGAGGCTTGGTTTGTGCCAGGCAACTACGCTCCATTATTGTGAGGACTGACTCGTATTGAGTAGACGATATAGGGTTGGGAGTTTTGCCTTCGCTGCTGGTACGTTTCTATTAACGTCGATTTGGATCTTGAATTTGAACCGATAATAAAAATAGATTGATTTGAGTCAGTGACCGCGCAGAAGCAGGGACGCATGAGAATCACCCTGTTATGTCTCAGACCTTACTACGATGAGCTTATTTTCTTGTTTTGCATGACTATTGAGAATGTGCCCTCGAGACTACAAATCCTCGACATCCCCAATCTATATCTTTCGCGACGATGTTAGCCAAGACACGCTGTGGTCCATCGCTTGTTCGAGCAAAAGGATCGCGCAGTCTCACGCAGCTGGGCTCACCAATCAATTCCAAAGATGCTAGAAGTATCCCCCGATTGATTTTAACTCGATCAATATGAATGCCAGAGAAGATGCGACAGTGCGAGAAGCCGCAATTGGGTCTGCTCCTCCGTCCAAATAGCCGCCGGGCGAGGCGCTAAGGAAGCACGACAGTTGTGAGCTGCTCATATTCGCTCATGCATCGTGGTCACCGCGGGGCTCTGGAGTCTCTTTGTCCTTGTCACTGTCACAGCTCTGTCAACCTCCAATTCATCCGGGCGCCTCAGCCGGAAAATGCTCACCCGTAAACCCTACGATGATGTTGCTTGGGCAATAAGCACCCAGATCTGGGAGGACTGGCCTGAACTGCTTCGCACCGACGATGACGTCTACAACGACATTGGTGTCATTCTCTCTGAGCAATTCAGCGACCTTGAATGGACTGTTTTCGAATTCCTGAACACAGGCGGTTTCAATACCTGCTTCAAGATGGAGTTCACGAACAACTACGGCGCTGTTATCCGGTTCCCAGTGCCCGGCGCTGTCATGCTTCCGGAAGAGAAAGTTCTCAATGAAGTCTGGGTCATGCAATATGTCTCGGAGAAAACTTCAGACAAGATCCCAATCCCCATGCCTTCGGTGGTTCGTTGGACGGAGACGAAAGAGAGTCCCTCAGACTTGGGTCCCTTCATTATTATGGACTATGTCAACCACACTGGAAGTATGGGTGATTTGCTTGAGAGTCCTGTGCGCGAAATAGGAGAACCTCCAGTACTCAACCCGGAGCTGAAACCGGCTAGGCTGCAAGCGCTCTACGGAGAACTAGCGAAGATTGTGCTTTCGTTATCGACACTCTCCTTTAATCGGATCGGATCCATTGCTAAGAATGGCGATTTTACGTGGGATGTGCTGCATCGACCTCTGTCCTACTCCATGAACGAAATCGTGCAACTGGGGACCCTACCCCGATCGCAACTCCCGACAACAACGTACGAAAAAGCATCCTCGTACTTTGAGGCTCTTGCAGAATTGCACCTTCAACACCTCATCAGTCAGAGAAACGAGGCGGATATCTCGCCGGATGTCGACGTAGATGCTCTAGCGGATACCTTCCGGCGCAAGTTCGTGGCGAGATTTCTCTTCCGGAAACTCGTTCGGGACAAGGAGTCCAGAAAGCAATTCATCTTCCATGATGACGGTCCCTTTCCTATCTGGTGTGACGACTTCCGACCCAAAAATGTTCTAGTCGATGAAAATCAATGTATCACTGGAGTCGTGGATTGGGAGTTTACATATACCGCTCCGGTCGAATTTTCGCATGCCCCGCCTTGGTGGCTTCTTCTTAGGAAGCCGGAGGATTGGCCGAACGGACTTGATGACTGGTGTGTTGAGTATGGGAAAGCGCTGGAAACCTTTCTGGTGGCGATGGCAAAATGCGAAGACGAGGCGATCCAGAAGGGGCTGCTAGTTGAAGGACAGCGGCTTTCTGGTCGGATGCGAGACAGTTGGCGAAGTGGTGACTTTTGGATCATGTATGCTGCGAGGAATAATTTTGCTTTTGACGCGATATATTGGGAGAAGGTTGACGGGCGGTTCTTTGGCTCGACTATATGTGAAGATGGTGATGTTTGTGATATTTGGCGGAAGAGACTTCATCTTTTGCAACCTGGAGAGAGGAGGCTCATGGAGGAGTATGTGGATCTGAAACTTAAGGATAGGAATACATGGCGTCTCGTTTGGGATGCAGATGAGTCTACCGTGGAGTGGATCGAAAGATTGAGGAAGAAGAAGGAGAGGGAAGAGAGAGAGGAGAAACCGCTCGAAGAGGATCAAATGTGAAGGTGTGGTGTCGGTCGCCAGAGCACTAAACAAAACTGAATGAATAGATCGAGACGAGTAAGAATCTGTATCGAGACGAGTCAATTTTGAAGAGTAAGCGATGGACCTCACCATGACAGTTTATTGAATAGCTATTTCAATGGACAATGGACTCAACCGTTGTTGCGAGTCGTTGAGTCAGTTCAAGTACTGAATAAAGAGCTTGAGTAAGTTTTAGGGGTAAAGCTAGCCATACTATTCGTCATTCTTTGTGGCCGTACCATCTCATATCTGGGAATTAGGGAAGCAGCGAATTAGTTCATGGCTTGTAATGGACGACGTCTCAAGGGAGAAGGTGTTCCTGTTGATTGATATCTGCTCAGGGGTACTGTAGAGCTTTGCGTAGGAACGCGTGGTATTGCCCAGATCTGCCATTTCACAGGATATGGGAATTCTGGAATGTTAAAGACTGCAGCGCTGATTTCGCCGTAGGCAGAGGGTGATGAATTTGCGAGTTACATTTCGATCGAGTCAAGGTAGCTCTGCTTATATATCACCGACATTGGAACCACGGGATAAAAATTGAGGTAAATGGGCTTGTCAGATAGAGAACATGGCACTTGCCCTAGGAGCGTCAAAGAAGAATGTCTTGGGATCTCTGAATAATGAATGGAAGGTTGGAGGAAGTAGATACCCGGAATTGTCGACGAATAGCCGGCTTGTCGTTAAAAAAGGTAAAAGGTCGTCTTAGATAAAAACACGTACGGCAAGGCCTCTCTATAAGACTGAGAAATTTCGAAAGCAAAGTATGAGATGGGAATTTCCGCGGACGTCTCGATAACCCCCAGATGTGTCCAGGGGGGATACCCATTCCAAGACCGGCCAACAATGCAACGGTGGGCAGCAATCACTTCACACTGGGGATTTCAGCTTCACTGGAAAAACAGAAGGATCACAGAGACCAACGGACCGCTTTGAAGCAACCTTCTGCGGTTAGCATTACAAGCCACCAATTTCCCATCCCCTGAATCTGCATGTAGCCATACATAGTACAGATGGCCTATCTCAGCTGCGCCAGCTCGTTGCCAGAGACCGGAAAGATGATGTGCAAATCAAAACAAACTCGGTCGAATGGGCTGACTTGAGCGCCCGTGCTCCGCCGTGATCCACAAGGAACGGCACGTTATTTTCGAATTTACTACCGAACACCTCACTTTCCGCGAGGCTACCTGATATGCAGCCATAAATCGTAATGGCCTGAGAGTAGACCTGCTCGGAGACTCGCAATGCTTCGGTAAAGAGCCTCAGCGGAGACCCGAGATAAGGGAAGATTGACTGGGGTAGTGCGTAGGGAATATGGAGCCTTCTGAAGGGCTTGTCTGGCTTGGAAATGAACATTAACTTCCCCCAGAACCTCAGCTGTGATAGATAGAGTCATAATTTGAAGTCGACTAGCCGAGAAACTGGAGTAGTTTGGGTGACTGTGTACACCGCTAGAGTCAAATAAATACTTAGGTGGCGTATGTTATGAGTTACTAATAATAACTAGTGCTTTTAGGATGGTAAACAGCCCAAACTTCTCCGGATGAGAAGCCCCTTTGATATGTGTGATCCCGTCATCTCCCCATATAGATCATTCGTTAGAGACCTTGATGAATGCCACAGTCGACATAATTTAGATTGCAGATATACTAACTGTTGACATGCCAGGGATCTTACAATTTCCATGTTCCTTCGGAAGAAGGCGAAGGGGATTATGCAGGCTATTCGGCTTGTAGGCGACTCAAGCTATTCTGGGCTGTGCTTTGGAGTAGACTGTCAAATTTCTATCTGAATTATGATGGATTGTCCTTGGCTTGTTTGGTGGCGGCAGTGCAGGGAGCACAAACGGAATAGGGCGGATGAGGACCACTCCGTTCATGAATGGAAGATTCCGTGCGTACACCTTGTGAATAGGGATAACTTGGCAAACGAGTCTATGTGATAGATAGTATAGACTATACTATACTATAGCTTTTTCAAACAAACAAAGCAGCACAGCCTGGCAGAAACCCGGGGCTCCACTGCAGTAGATTAGCCAAGCCTTTGGCCATCAACCGGAACATGAAATAGCTTTGGTGCTTAACATTTATCATAAACTACGACACGAAAACGAAAGGATTGGATTACTGGCGTAAAAGTGATTTTACCATCGCTGGGGTTGGCCTGAAAGCTTCTTTGCAGGGGGTTGTTCCTTCTGGTTGAAAAACCGCCAACAACAACCCCTGTCGAGGCCTCGAGACTGGAGTCATGTTAAGTCATACTCCTTTTGACAGTGGTTTAACGCTAAGGGTTCGTGCTAAAGCCACTAGAAGTGACTAGTCCACGGATCCAGGATACCAACAGCCCTACGGTGTACACACCCCCCGCAGCAGTGGTCGCTCTTTTCACAGCCCCCAACCTCGTTGATCGGCTCAAAACATCTCGCGTATTTTCTATTATGACCATGTGGAACCGGTTGAGCATTTCGGCATCTCGATCGTAGAAAAGCAATCGTCCGTTTTTTCCTGTGATTAACCAGTACTGATCCACAGTGGTATTCATGGTTGTCAGTGGCTCCCTACTCATGATGGCCTTCAGACAGCCCCTTTTATCCGCGTGCAATGCCCAGACTTCATTTGTGCCATTGCACTATATGGTCTCTCTCTTTAACTTGCCATGACTAGCTTAAGAGCTTTTCCGCCGAAACAGAGCAATGCGCCACGCCAATCCGTGGACTTGAACGGCCTCTGCCCGTTGGTGATCGCCCGAGGTGGCTACAACAGTCTAATTAGAGTCTCCATATTAGTATACCAAGATATGTACCAATCCAGGTATCCACGCAGTGTTGCTAAAAGGATGGATATCCACCGAAATACCCTGCCATAGCCTCATGACTTCGTTGGTCGAGGATGCCAGGAAGGATATAAGAGCCCATGATATCTTGATGGGAGGTGCTGTGTTTTGATTCATCCAGACAATTCATGCATCCGCTGCAAAAAGTTGTGTTTCACAATGTTCTTGAAGATTTCCGTTCTTTTAGCCCTCACAGAGGCGCTCTCAGTCATTGCTGCCCCTAGTACCGCCTCAAAAGAACCATGTGCCTTGGTCACTCAGCAAGTTGAAGAAAGCGCTGCCCTGAACGGAAGTAAGCATCGAACGAAGTCGATTTGAGTCGAGTTCAGAGGCTAACCATACTCTAGCCGTCCCTTACGTTTCGCCCTATCTGGCTCATCAATGTCTTCTCTCGCTGCCATTTGATCCTCGCCGCGCTGCCGCTTTTGTGACTGAGGTCAAGAAGAACTTGCAGTGGCATTCAACTATCGACACGCTCAAGAGTAAGGCATTGTTACCCCCCTTATATGGTAGGCCTTGACACTAAAGTTCTCAACAGACCCTCCTTCCGGGTATTTGTCTCCTGCCGTCGACTTGTTGGGAGAGCTGGACCACCTGCACCAAAAGGCCCTGAAGCAAGAGTTCAGTAGCCAGTTTGAGTTTGATACAGCTCTTCAGCGACTACTGGCATCTGCCAACGATGGACATCTGGTATACAGTGGCTGCTCTCAGAGAATTTTCCAATTCACTGTCCCAACTCAGATTGCCTCGGTTTCTTCGGATGGATTGGAAATCCCAGAAATCTACGACTTCAGTACGTTCTTTTTCGGGTGTTATTATTATTCTTTTCACGAAAGAGCTCTGGCTAATACTTTGCATAGGCGATGTCTATTTGCTTGCCGAGCATTCTGACCTTGTCTCTCCAATTGTCTCAATCAACGGCGAGAAGGCAGAGAGTTACCTCAAAAATATCTCTCACCACCAAGCCTATCAGGATCCGGATGCCCGGTATAATAAGGTTTTTGACTCACTTACCCGGTACCCAGAGAATATGAATATGCTTGGGTCTTGGAGCGCCGATCCGGCATTCCTGGCAGGTCATGTCGAATTTGACGTCAAATGGGCCAATGGAACCGGAAAGAAGGTACACGTGCAATCAATGCCAACTGCCAAGTACAGATTCAACTATACCGACAGTCGAACTCTCTTTCAAGACTACTGTATTATCCCGCCGGATTCATTCGGCCAGGAGGGTGATGCAGAGGCAGACCTGACAACCGCCGCTGCCTGGCCTGCCTTGCCTGCCTCACCGTTCCTGCCCAAGGCGGTCATGCGGGATCCGTATAACCTGATATCTGGCTATTTCCCGGAGGACCCGGAATGGAAAGATCTGGCCGTGCTCTTGGTCCCCTCTTTTGCCACAAGCGAAAAGGGCAACGATGAACCGCTGGCGTTTGCAAACAGCGCGACCCAGTTCATCCAGGAGGCCAAGAAGGCTGGGAAGAAGAAGCTCATCATTGATCTATCAAACAACGGCGGAGGTTTCATTGCGAGCGGAATGGACCTGTTCAAACTCTTCTTCCCCGACAAGGATATTTACACCGCAGCTCGTCTCCGCGCCCATGAGGCTCTTAACCTTTATGGAAAGGCTATGAGCAAGCTCCCGCAAGGCTCTGAGCTGGCGGGTAGATTTCCCTTCACAATCCCAAACCTGGTTACTCCCAACCAGACCTATACCTTCCAGTCCTGGGAGGAGTTCTACGGTCCCCATAAGCTGGCGCAATCCAACCAGACTAGTTTGTTCTCCAATCTCAAACTGAGCGCCTCGAATTGGTATTCAGTCATTCGCGGCTATGGCATTGTCAAGCAGAATGAGACTTCCTCTCCTTTCGCTGCGGAAGATATCCTTCTGGTAACTTCCATCCCTTGAAAACCTGTATTTCTTCTACCCGTCGTTGCTAACATTCTCTCTCAATATAGCTCACTGACGGCCTCTGCACATCCACGTGCACCATCTTCTCCGAGCTGATGAAAACCGTCGGCGGTGTCAAGAGTATCACCTTTGGCGGTCGTCCCCAGCAGGGACCTATGCAGGCTATCGGCGGCTCCAAGGGCTGCGCTGTTGGTACAGCGCGAAGCCTCTTTCAACTCCGGGAGGCCGCCAACAGGGCTGCCCTCCAGGCCGAAGCGGATGGTAAGCCAGTGCTCTCTCACCAGGAGCACGCCCGCCTGAACGCTTCCATACCCGATCGCTTCTCCCTGAAATTCAATACGTTGGCGTTTAACATTCAGAATGCCTACCGTGAAGGCGACGACGAAATGCCGCTGCAGTTCCTCTACGAGGCTGCTGACTGCCGTCTCTTCTATACCCCGGATAACCTCGTTCTTCCTGCCACCACTTGGATATCGGCTGCAAATGCTTTTTGGGGGAATGGCGCTTGTATTTCCGGCTCTTACTCTACTTCTAAACGGGCTGGGAGGTTTGTTTAGACTATGTTGGTTGTTTGAGAGACTTCTGGCTGTAAGCCAGATTATCTTGGCCTCACATTACTCTTCTTGGATTGTTATTCATTCTTACCTTGCTTGGGTTTTGATTTAAACCGCTTTGACTTTAGAGACTACCTTTTATATATGATACACGTGTATTGATATAGGATGGAAGATGATTACTTCATGCATACTTGCTTCTTCTAGTATTACAACTGCCTCGGTCGCTAATAACGGTTGCTTTATTTGCCTCTGACAGATATTGTATTAATATAGAATCGAATACGAAAGTACGTTATGTTGGAAGGTATCACCTGGTATCATTTCAGCCTTGGTGTCAGCCAAATGCTGGTTTTTCGAATATTTGGGTCGGCCGCAGTTGGCCACAGGGAATAGACTTCGTTAGCTTGATATATTAGCTTCTATAAAACTCAATTATGTTTGTTTCAGAACCTCTTTGTTCTTTGCATTTGATCTATCCGTACTATTTGAAATCATTTTCTCCTGTTGGTTCAGGGCTCTATTTTGTTGTACCCACAAATTGGGACTGTCACTGAAGCCTAGGAAACGGTGGGGCTGGTGTTGTGGGTGGGCCCATGGAGACAAAAAGGGATCGATAAGGACTGGGATAGTGGATATAGCACTAGCACGGAGTCATGAACAGAGTACGGAGTGGTGCGCGGTAAGCACCAATTATTACTTCAAGTCGGAAGACCGGAACTGTACTTTCTTTTGCCCTTAAATACCTAGCGCCGTAGGGATGTATTCCGAATCATAGCCACCCCCCTCACCCAACTCATTCTGGATGTCCCTCTATGGTTTGATTGTGTATTAAAAGCCCTTCGCATTCCCGGCTTCCTCATCTCGTCCAAATCTCATCCGCGACCCTCCCCGGCCATTGCAACCACAGCCCCCCACCATGACGAAGCCAATCACGGTCTGGTTGACACGTACGTCCCTTCCAACAGGTTGCTTGCTCCGGACTGGCTTACCTCGTGTCCCTCTTTCCCTCCAAGTGCCACAGGCAAACTAATGTATAGCCACGATGACTATATCTAGCTCCCGGCCCAAACTCATGGAAGGTGCGTGTGGTGATAGAGCGATCTCGAGGCGTTACTGCTAATGCTGTTACAGGTCATCACTGTCATGAAAGAACTGGGAGTGCCCTATGAGATTCACTCGTTTAGATTCGAAGACGTGAAGAAGCCGCCATTCACCAACCTTAACCCCAACGGGCGCGTTCCAGGTTCGTTATCTCTGCAGTGGGAACATTTGATGGATGACCAGGGCTGACTGCAAACCCGGGCGTTACCTTCGTTCTTGGAACAGCGATTGTCGATCCTAACACCGACTTGGTCCTTTGGGAGTCAGGTGCCATACTGCAGTATCTTGAGGAGGTCTACGATACCAAGCACAAGCTTACCTACACCTCCCTAAAGGAGAAACATCAGTTGAATCAGTGGCTTCACTTTCAGATGAGTGGACAAGGCCCTTACTTCGGGCAATGTGGATGGTAAGATAGCCCTTGTACACCGGAACAGAAAGACCAAGGAAACCAGCTACTCACCCAAGAATTCGCCGCGTAATAGGTTCAACGTGCTCCACCCCGAGAACCTGCCTTCTGCCATCGAACGGTATGTCAATGAGGTCCACCGCATTTTGGGGGTCCTGAATACCGCACTGGAAGGCCGGACATGGCTTGTCGGCGATAAATGCACTTTTGCCGACTTGGCCTTCTTGCCTTGGAATTCCAGACTGAATAACACGCTGCTGACCCCGGAGGGTGAGGATCCTCTGGCGCCGTACCCGAATGTGCAGGCGTGGCAGAGGCGTATGGAATCGCGCGAGTCATGGCAGGAGGCTATTCGGGAAAGGGAAAAGCTTATGGAAGAACAGGGGTTAACTGTCATTGGAATGCCCAAGGGGGTTAATAACATCAAGGAATTTGAGGAGGTGATGGCGAAAGAGGCCGAGGGGCAGTGAGCAGGAGAATTGACGTAATCGCTATGTCAAGCACGGTTCTATGGGGCCTCAGAATGACTTTTTATTTTATCCTTTTCTTTAGTTCTTTGATAGGATCAATTTTCTAAGATTTGTTTGTCCCTGTAGAGCATCGCACATTCCATATGTTCTGGGTTTCAGTGGCAGCGCATATCTGACACTGCCTCGGACGCAATTAGATACTGATCAAACGGCAAGTCCTCAATGGCTCCCTGATGCATGGATATTGATCCTCTTCGTCCGCCGAACAAGTCCGGCGCCAGGGAAGCTGCGGACTCCGTGAACCCAAAACTCTGATAGGGCTTTAATTGTGCCACGTAAATAACAGGAGACGAAAAAGAACCTCTGGTAGCTTGGAGGGAGTTATGAGAACAAAGAAAAAAATTAGTAGTGCACTGGTAAGCCAAGCTAACAAAGCCAAGGCTTGTGGCTATGGTTGCATTCGTGTCTCGCTTGTCCCACCCCTGTGCGCCAGTTGTTTTCCCAATCTTTTCCCCTTGCCCGAGATAGGTGGCTGAGGGGCTTGAAAAACTGTCCTAGCATTGACTCTCTACCGGCAGCAATCGACAGGCCGCCCCACACGGGGTGATGACTTTTATTACTCACAGGGAGGCGGAAAACGACCAAGATGACATTGGATGCATACGGGAGACGGGCAGAGTTTGACTAGGCGGTGTTACTAGTGGGTTTCCAACTAGCATCTTTGAGCTCTCTTGGGTCAGTACTCACATTCATGAATTGATCATGTTTGTACAGCACTAATATTACGGGATAGGCCTTTTCGACCCTTTTCATGGTTTCTGGGCCACCAAAACCAGCCGAAACTGCATTTCTCAGCGACGTGAAAGACTATTTGCAGAAGACTCTCGAGAGTCAAAACGGCGTGGCAGGGTTTGCATCAGGTGGTTTAGCCGATGCTGGTGACACCGCAAGGGCATTGATGACCCTTGAATTCTTCGGCGTTGATGTCGACTTCGTCCCCATGATCGAGTATTTCAGGTCGGGACTGTGCTTCAAAACCTCCGACCTCGAGCGGAACCCAAGCTTCAGTGCAAATTGCAACGTCCTTTGGTGGCATCACGAAATGCTCAGAAGTATGTTGACGAGATCGAACGGGTTACGACATACCTGCTAGAAATATGGAAAGCAAGGAACGTCAAGGACAAATGGAACTTTCTCCTCGCTATTCAACAATGCTTTTTTCTCTTGCAGTCATTCGCCGGTTGCAACGATATGATAAGGGGCACCATGTCTCGCTGGCTTTGGAGAAGCAGCTCATGGAGATCGCTGAGTTCGAGCGCAGCTGTATGCAGCCGGCTTTGGATCGTTTGGGCAATGTTACTAAATCACCGGATAGTTTTAGAATGTTGAGGGTGTACGTCGATGTTACGGATATGTTCGGTCAGGTTTATGTCTTGCGGAATATGACGGGGCGGATACATCAGGATAATCCATCATGAGTGCTCAGTACTATTTTCATAGCCGTTCTTCTGAAATGTCATTTGCCCCTTTGTCTTTGACTTCCCGAAAAGGTCCGATTTCTGATTGGACACTTTGCAACAGCATAAACATTACACGATGTGAAGTTTTCTCCATTGGATTAGTAGTGCCGCTACTATTACAGTTTTATCAAAGCTTGAAACGAGCTCTGTCGGGTAGTATAACCGATAAGCATGTCCGAATTTCTGAGATTGGCTGTCTTAACTAATTGGTTTGCCAGTCCACAGTTTAGGTAAGTAGACAAAGTTGGTTCTGGAGTGGCGAGCCATAGAGCCTCTAGGTGTGAATGAAAGGTAGATCCTTATCTATCCCGACTTATGCTAGCTAGCAATCCAACAATGTATAGCTACATATATTGTTCTATACGATCCCACACAACTTCAAACTTTTTAGGTGGTCTATACTATCGCGTCTCACGATCCATCTTCCGAATCAATTCTGCAAAATGTTCCACTTCCGAGCGCACCCATGGCATTGCATGGTGATAGTCTATTTCGTAGAGAGTCGCGCTGGACGGGTCGTAGTATGTGGTGAGTTGGTGCTGGCCGAGAGGTAGGAACATGTCTTTTAGACCGTGCACGTGGAGGGTTGGGAGGGTGATGAGGGTGGTTGTGGGGTGTTGGTTTTCTTTTGAATAATTATTGTTAGCAGGTGATGTTAAGGTGTTTGGTGTCGAGGACAGAGGAGTTTGAATACAGCCAAGGCACAAGGCACACGGCATATGACATATGGGGAAAGAGTATAACTCACCCGACTCCATCGGCATCCCCCCACCCATACACAAGATCCCGAATCGAATATTCCGTCGCGATGCGCGCCCCGACTTCCTATTCCCCGTCTGCACATCCAACAATACCCCTCCCGCCGGCCTCGTCCCCTGACTGAACCCCATCACCCCCACCCACTCGCCGCCAGGTCCCTTGGTGTCCATGAGCCTATAGATCCGCTCGATGCCGTCCTCCTCGCCGTCGCCGAAGCCGCTGCCATCTGAAACCTCGATCCCCGATGGGTCGGTGGTGAACCATGAGCGGAAAGGCCCGTCGTTGCGGAATGCGGGGAGTACGCCGGGGCCCGGGCCGCGCTCGAACGGGCCGTCGAAGAAGACGAATTCGTATTCCGAGAGCAGTTCCGAGAGTTGTGCGGATTGGATCGAGAAGATGGTCGAATTGGAGCCGCCGCCGTGGAAGCAGGCGATTCGGGGTCGGGACATTTTTTTGGAAGATGTTTAGGGTTGGGACGGTCTCGTGGTCTGGGAATAAATCATTGAGGGGTAAAAAAGAGAAAAGGTGGCCGGTAGATAAGACGGTGTTTGCTCCGTTTGTCTGCGTTGGAGGGGCGGAGTGGGTCACATGAGCTGAGGTCAGCCCTAATTGTATCCCTGCAGATTCAGTGAGGTGATACGGAGAACATCTATCGTGTAGAGTGCATTCTACGATCTATGAGGAGTGTACAGTACTTTTGACTGGTTGCTAGTCTGCAGTAGCACTCTGGTGTGTTCCTTTACCCGGAATCCTAGCCGATCCGTGGATCTGAGCTCTCTCTCTTCCCCACATCTTCCCTCTAATCCACTTCTCGTCTCCATCTCCGGATATAAAAACGAGGACCCCGCGTCTGCCGAGGCACTCTCCGGATTTCCCATTTCCTCCATCCTCAGGACCCAGAACACTCCCTCCAAATTTACAATGAGGATCCTAATAACCGGCGGCTCCGGCAAAGCCGGCCAATCGCTCATCACCCACCTCCTCTCCCAAAACCATTCCTTGCTCAACCTCGACCTCGCCCCTCTTCCCCCACCGCTGGCCTCGAAAGTCCACACCCTCCGCCTCGACCTCACCGACGCCGGCCAAGTCTTCTCCGCCATGCACTCGCATTTCACGTTCTCCGAACCCTTCCACGAACCCACCACCGCCGTCCCAGACGCCGTGATCCATCTCGCCGGGTACGCGCGCAACATGATGGTCCCTGACAATGAGACGTTTCGCGGAAACGTCCTCTCTACGTATAATATCCTCGAGGCGGCCTGTCGTGCGGGAGTCAGGAAGATCGTTCTCGCGGGGTCGATCTGCACGTATGGCGTGACGTATGCGGATGGGGATGTGGACTTCCCGTCGTTTCCGGTAGATGAGACTGCCGATACGAATCCCATGGATGTGTATGGGATGTCGAAGGTTGCGAGTGAGAATGTTGCGAGGAGCTTTGCGAGACGGTTCGGTGCTGATGTTTATGTTTTACGGCTGGGGGCGATCGTTACTCCGGATGAGTTTCAGGGGAGATTTTGCGAGTATGTGAAGGAGCCGGAGAAGTTCAAGGTTCACGGGTGGTCATATACTGATGCGGGCGATATGGGGGGCATGTTTGAGGCGTGTTTGAAGACGGATGGGCTGGGGTTTCAGGTATTCAATGCGGTTAATGACGAGATTACGAATGATGTCCAGACAGGGGAGTTTTTGCGGACGCATTGTCCGGCTGTGCCGGTGACGAGGGAGTTGGTGGGGAGGGAGGCACCGATCAGTAATCAGAAGATGAGAGATCTGTTGGGGTTTCGGCAGGGGGTGTCGTGGAGGGAGAGGTTTGTTAGGGAGTAGGTTGGATTTGGAGGCGTTGTATATATTTGGTTGTGAATTGTGGATGGTGTCTTGGTGGGAACATGTATATAATATATATGATAAGATGCTTACAAACTTGCATCAAAATTAGCTTTTGATCAACGCAAGCTGCTGTGTAGGAAGAGTCGGATTTGCAGGAGACGAGAGCCCGGTATTCAGCTATTGTGGTTTCATAGGTTGACAGGGGTGAAGGATGGGACTGAAACGTGTGTCAATATTCGATTCTTGGCGTACGCTGACTTGCCATGGTTGAGCCTCATGAAATGAGTAGTAAGGATTTGTGCAATTGTAGACGTATCAGAGATATAACAGTGGGACCCCTACCATCTCAGCAGTTGGTGGTCGGGGAAAAAAGGGGGGTTGCTAACAGAGATACGCGAAATTTGTGAACCTAGGGATTGATTTCCATGAATTAATATTAACTGCAGACCCTGCTTCTGGAAGGAAGAAAGGGAAACGATAGGAAATTGTTTGAAGAGACGATAATAAATTTGTAGAAGGGCCAAAAATGGTTTATTGACTTTTTGTGCATCCTGATAAAAATGAAATTCACGGCAAGACATCTTAAAATGTCAAGATGCATTGGCATTGTGAGCGTTTGAAAATGTGAATAAATAGTCCTACTTGACGTCAATTAAATATCGCAGTCAAGAACTTACCATCAAAGACTTACATAGGGTGTGAGAATGATAGAAAATAGAAATATATTCATGAGAGCTGATAGTTCGAGATGAAAAACGAGGGTCTTTTGATTTATAGTGAACCAACACACAATGGACCAGGAAGCAGCAAGAGCTTAAGTATAACATACCTCCGATTGCTATATTTTTTCGAGTATCTGGAACGGGTCGTTGGGGACCCGCACGATGGGACCGGATTCGGAGAAAAGAAGGACAGTGTAATTCGTGGCAATCGAAAAGAAATCATGACGGCGTCGGGGGATTTGCTATACGAATAGAAAAGGGATTGTAATAATATATCTGCTAATTTGCTAACCCACAGTTTGTGTTTGGCAGTGAGATAGCAAATGAATCGAGAGGTGAGAGATAGGTAGCAGCTTGATTTATGTCTGTGCGGCTGCCGACATTCTCGATAGATTGAAATTGCGGTGATTGAACCGCCTCAGGTGAAGAGCAGATTTGCGGGATTTGGCACTGTCCGGGATATGATCGTCAAATGAAGAAAGACGAGTTATGCTGAAGGTGTATTTGAAACAGAAGCGAACATATGATATGATCGTGGAAAGCTCCTGTAAGCTTGCTCCGCCTGTATATAGCCGCATGTGGTTGGCCACGAATATCCTCAAATGTGCTCAATCCCGCGCAGGTGCTTTATGCACGCTACATGCTTACCTTTTTTGGATGCTCAATGTTAAGTGCTGGACGACTGGTTACTGGCACGCGATCAAAAATACAATTATTCTGTTTCTTCCTTTAAAATCACCCCATCCCTCTTGAGGTCCTCGATAACCATAACGCAACATGGATATAAACATGGAACTGCACCATCACCACCAACACACAAGAACCACCGACATTTCCAGTCCAACCACCAGTTCCAACTCTCACCATGAATCGTCCATGTCAATGTCGATGTCGATGCCGACCGTCTTCACAACCAGCACACAAGTAACGATCCTCTTCACCGGCTGGACCACCACCTCCATCCCGTCCTACGTCCTCACTCTCCTATTCCTCTTCCTCCTAGCTATCCTCAACCGCTTTCTCACAGCTTGGAAATCCCAACTGGAGCGATCATGGAAAAATGACAATCGACAACCCTCACCGACTCATACCGTGACCCTTAGCGCTGTCCCACGCAGGGCCGGCTCTCGAATCGCAAAGGAAAGACTAAGCCCGTTGCCGCGGTATATGCGGATCGATGAAGAAGAACGCCTTGATCATTTCCCTCAGGAGCACGAAAATACTGAAGAATCAGATGATGCGACAGCCTCTTCGTTAAGTAGGCTCCGAAAGGCCTTCCCAACGCAGAAACGATGGCAGGCGAGTCGAGCATGGAGTATTCGTCAAGATGGGCCTTTCTCGGTCTTGGAGTTTGTCAAGGCGGGGATTGGGTATTTTTTGTACGTGGCTGGCCCTCTCCTTGTTTCTTTCCTCGGCTGCTCTCTGAGTAGCATCTTATGCTAATTGATCATGGTGCAGGATGCTCGCCGTCATGACCTTCAACGTGGGCGTTTTCTGCGCCGTTCTTGCCGGCATCTTCGTCGGCGAGTTAGGATTAGGTCGTTATCTAGGAACGGAGCCAGGGTGGGAGGACGGGGCATGCCATGGAGGATGAACCAACCATATCCCTGCAATGTAGACTGTTTGCATACGGAGTACACTTACTGGTCAACCGAAGAACTAAGCCTTTCTTGTTTGTGTAATTCCGCCCTTCCCCACGCCAAGTCCGTGCCTGACGAGCCGTCAATTTCTTCCACCACTGGTATCCAATTATCCAAATGGCGTGTCTCCACCCCCGCAAATTCGCGGTAATGTAGGCCGAGTCGGGGTATTGTTTGCTTCCTTCTCCACTGTTTTCTGAGGTATAAATAGTGCGGCGAGTTCAGGGTTGGAGGGTGTTGTTCACAGAGAAAGACAGAGTGGGTAACTGTTCATGATGTATTCTCTCTCTGCATTGGGTGCTTTGGCCCTATTCAGCGCTGGTACTGTCCAGGCGAAGCCGTTTCTTCAGAAAATCAATGACACCGCACACGTTATTGGAAATGATCTCTGGAATGTGACGATCGGACGACAGTACGGCGTGAAGCTGTTCTACAAGGATACGGATCTGGTCGGTAATGCTTGGGGCCACTACGTTAGCTATAGTACTTCCCCATCACTCTTACCTTTGCCTTGGCCCCAAACCAAACAGACCACCTAATTAACATGGCAAAAGATGGCGCCCAATCCGACCTCAACTGGACATCCGCCAGCATCCACCACCGCGGCCCCAACTACCTCGACGTGAAATTCACCGCCCTCGAAGGCGACTTCCACTGGGTGATCTTCGACCAACTCGCCGGCGCATACCAATACTTCGTGAACCACGACCTTCCCACTCTCGGCGAATTCCGAACCCTCTGGCGTCTCGACAACGGATCCTTCCCGAACGGCCGCACAAACATCAAGGACAGCCCACTCCCCGACCTCGCCGAGTATCCTGTCTCCACGAAGGTGCAGGACGAGACGTGGCAGCGCGCCGACGGGTCTTATATCACCAAGTACGACTTTAGTGCGTGGGTTCGGGATTTGGACTTTTATGGTGTCTATGGAGAGGAGTTCGGGTCGTGGTATATTAATCCTGGGAAAGACTATTATAACGGGAATCACCTGAAGCAGGAACTTACTGTGCATCGCGAGAGCGCGACCGGTGATGCTGTTCAGTTGAATATGATTCATGGGACGCATTTTCAGGTCTCTGCGGTGGATGAGTTCCCCGATGGGAAGGTTTGGGGGCCGTGGTTGTGGTATTTGGTAAGTTCTTTTTACACCTTTCCGTACTGTACTGTTCCTTTTCCTGTTTTATCTTCATGCTTATGGACGAGAATATGAATGGAGCTAACCATAGCAGAACGATGGCTCAAAATCCGACGCTGCAGCCCGAGCCAGGAAAGAGGAACAAGCTTGGCCCTACAAGTGGTTCAAGGATGAGGCCTATCACACCCGCGGCTCCGTGTCCGGACGACTGCTCCTCTCCGACGGCCGACCTGCCGCCGGCGCGTCTGTGTTCCTGGGCGATAACAACCCCAGCAAGACGGCGCTAGACATGGGCTCGGATTACTACTACACCGAGAAAACAGACAGCCAAGGCCGCTTTACCTTCAAGCATGTACGTGCGGGCGACTATGGACTGCAAGCGTGGTCGGACGGGGGCAAGATCCGGGACGTGACGACGTCGTTCCTGCAGAACGGTGTGACGGTGAAGAAGGACAAGCAAACCCAGCTAGGCAAGTTGCAGTGGAAGATTTCTGAGCGGAAGAGGCTCTTCCAGGTGGGTGATTTTGATCGAAAGTCTTTGGGTTTCAAGCATGGTGGGGCGCCGTATCAGCATGCTCTTGTTGAGGAGTGTCCTGAGGATCTGGTCTATACCGTTGGCAAGAGCAAGACCTCGGACTGGTGTTTTGGGCAGTCGGCGAAGGGCACTTGGAGTATTAAGTTCCCGGTCGATAAGAAGAACGCGAAAGCGTCTGCGTTGTTGACTGTCTCTTTGGCCGGGTATTCATCCGGTACCAAGTCGCGGATTCTTTTGAATGGAGACGCGGACAGCCCGATCGGAAACCTGACGACTCTGCCGAATGATCCGGGCATGTATCGTTCTGCGACCACGGCGGGAGAGTGGCGGTTGTTCGAATTTGACGTGCCAGAGGGGAAGCTGCGCGAGGGATGGAACACGGTAGACTTTGAGGTGACGGAGTCGACGAAGTGGAGAGGATTCATGTGGGATAGCATTGTTTTCGAGGTTTGAGTCAATAGATATTTGCGGCAGATGAATGCAAATGGTGGTCTGAAGATGTGTCTAGACTTTCAGTTTCGGAGTGCCTAGGTTCATTGTGGAGTCAAGCCCTGATAATTCTCATGGTCAAGACTGTGGAAATCCAATCCAAGTCAATGAGATTGCAAGTCTATCTTCTCATATCTGCATCTATCGTGGAGGACAGTAACAGAGGGGTATCCTTGATCGGCAAAGTAAATTCTGGCTCTCGGTAACCCGGACGTTGGCAGCCAACGTGGCGGAATGAGGGTGCCGTTTAACCAAATCCTAGTCGCAGAATGTTATAGGACGGACAAGTCGACGGATTTCCCACATATCATTGCATTTAGCCAACTCGATGACGCCATTCGTGAGACCTACTATCCGTCCCGCAGAGACGCATCAAAGTGGGTATATCCCACCCGTTTCAGCAGGCCAAGCTACCCCCAGAGTACATTCCAAGACCAACAGTTGAGCGTGGTATCTGGCCGGTTTCTCTCGGCACAGGTAGGATGGAAACGGCATCATGCAGCCCAGACGAGACATTTTCCGACCGAGTGATGCTTCGGCCATCGAGACGATCGTCCCGGTCGATGCGACCGAAGTGGATTCGGCCACGGAAGAGCACTCGGCAGTACAAGCTCATCAGTGACATCAAGCGTATAGGGATCGTCACGATCGGAAGAGATGATCGTTCTAAGCACCTGTACCTGACTCCGTATGGCGGTTACGATACCGATGCCAATGCCGATACGGAGCGCATCGGGGTGCTGATTCGGAGACTGGATCGGAGCGAATGCATCTCAACGGAGGAGACGATTCGGACCGGTGCTGAAAAGAGGCTTTTATGAGGCGTAACAAGGGCTTCGGAGGCGTTGAATTCTCAGATTGGATTCGACACCACCGACGTAGAAGGCGCCATACTAGGATGACTATGGCTAGCTGGTGAGATTGGCGTCGGAGGCATACCGACGATATCGGAATTCGGGCAAACGCGTACGGCGGACGACGACCGAATCGCGCACTAGCGACGTGCGAGGTAATCGAGTGAAGCAGACCGCAACAGCTGGGTTTTCCTCGTGGACAGACCTGGATGAGTACACGTCATGGAAGACCCAGTTGAAATCAGAACGCGGGAGGAGAGTCCGGGGATGTCAGGGTGCACGGGCATCTTCTCTCGGGATGCCATTGCCAGGGTCCAGTCCAGACCTCTCGGCGAAGTTCGCTTAAATGTATTTAACCAGGACGGAGAATTGAGCTGACTCCATCCCAGAGCATGGGCGTTCCTTGGTTCGCCAGTGGAAAAGAACCGGGTCTGCCCGAGACGCGGAGAATCACGTGGAAACACTGCTATCTATTGGTGGAAAAATCGCGGAGAGGAGCTTTGTCAGCCATCAACTGATGCCTCAGGTGTTTTCCTTGTCTTCTCAGGCAGTCAGGCTCTCCCGGTCACTGGGCATCGCAAGCCCTGATTGATGCTCCAGCTGGATGTTCTAACCGTACATTCTCTCAAAGGATCACTATAACTAGTCCATGCGGTCTTGCAATTTCCCTTAAATGCAACCGGGCAGGGTCTCATCTACTCGGTTAATTCAACATTCATCCGCCTCTCCCTAACACCTAACTGGGAAAATCTCCGTCCAGAATGAACCGACTGGACAAGAGGGTGCACTCTCCCCACTCATGACGCATTGGCGCTCCTCCCCCAGAGTCCTTGATTTGCTCGTTTCCCCATCCTCCCCATGTCTCCCCGGACCTCCACATTCCCTCCAAGCCGATCCTTGCTCGTTCCAGTGGTGCCGCCGGCCGAACGCCATACGTGTCTTGCACCACCCCGGAATCCGGCTGCTCTCAAACGGGCGCGGATGCCAAGTTCAGCCATGCGATCCCGTATGAGCGTTCGTCGTATAAAAGATCGCTCGCTTGGAGCTCCCCTGGCGCCGACTTTTTTTGTTCTTGCGATCAGCCCGATCTTGTGAGGTAGAGCTGCCACCATGTATCGGATTACGAATATTTACGGTAGGTTTGACAGTCTTGCACAATCTTGATCGGTCGTGCTCATGCAATACAGTCCTTGCTGCCTTTGGCACCATTGGCGGTGCTCTCTTCGGTTTCGATGTCAGGTACGTTTGATGTCTCTTTTTGCCAGGGAAATGCTGACTCGTGTAGTTCCATGAGTGCCTGGATCGGCACGCAACAGTACCTCGACTATTTCAACCATCCCGACTCGAATCTCCAGGGTGGTGTAAGTTCTGGCATTCTTTCTTTTATCCTGCATAATTTCGCGCTGACCGAATCAGATCACCGCGTCTATGTCTGCGGGTTCTTTCGCCGGTGCTATCGGAGCCGGTTGGCTATCCGATCACCTCGGTCGACGCATGTCCCTCATGGTTGCCTGTATTGTCTGGATCATCGGTGCCGTTATCCAATGTAGCGCACACAGCGTGGCGCACTTAGTCGCTGGCCGAGTCATTAGCGGTCTTTCCGGTACGGAAGAGGCGTCCTTCCCCTGTCAATGTGGCTTGCGCTAACCCTATCCTCAAGTCGGTGTCACTTCGTCCCAGGTTTGCGTCTACCTCGCCGAGTTGGCTCCCGCCCGCATTCGTGGTCGTATCGTCGGTATTCAGCAATGGGCTATCGAGTGGGGTATCCTGATCATGTACCTCATTTCCTACGGTTGTGGACAGGGCCTTGCTGGCGCTTCCTCGTTCCGTGTCGCTTGGGGTATCCAGGCCATTCCTGGTCTGATCTTGTTGCTTGCGCTGCCATTCTTCCCTGAGTCGCCCCGTTGGTTGGCCGGAAAGGAGCGATGGGAGGAGGCTCACGATACCCTGGCTTCGCTGCATGGACACGGCGACCGCAACAACCCCGTCGTTCAGTTGGAGTTCGAGGAGGTGCAGGAGGCTGTCCGTGTGGCTCACGAGTCGAAGGATGTCACCTTCCTCGCCCTCTTCGGACCCAATATGTGGAAGCGAACTCTGTGCGGTGTTAGTGTGCAGGTCTGGCAGCAGCTGCTGGGAGGTAACGTCGCTATGTACTATGTCGTGTACATTTTCCAGATGGCCAACATGGTGAGTTGCTTTTCGATTTCGACACATAGACGAAATGTCCAGCTAACCCAGACACAGTCCGGTGACACGGCCCTTTACTCGTCCGCCATCCAATACGTTATCTTCCTCGTCACTACCGGTGTCATCCTCCCCTACATTGATCGCATCGGTCGTCGACTCCTTCTTCTTAGCGGCTCCATCCTCTGCCTGGCCCTCCACTTCGCTATTGCCGGTATCATGGCCACATACGGCCACCCCGTCGACTCGATCGACGGCAACGAGAACCTGCGATGGTCTATTGGAGGCGCCCCCGGAAAGGGTGTCATTGCATGCTCCTACATCTTCGTTGGTGTTTACGGCTTCACCTGGGTATGCCCTTCCTTCCATCCCCCACCACACGTAACGATTCAAAAACCACATCTAACGTATTTGATTCCAATAGGCCCCCACCGCATGGGTGTACGCCTCCGAAGTCTTCCCGCTCAAATACCGCGCCAAGGGCGTCGGTCTCTCCGCCGCAGGAAACTGGATCTTCAACTTCGCCCTAGCCTACTTCGTCGCGCCCGCATTCACCAACATCCAATGGAAGACATACATTATCTTCGGTGTCTTCTGTACCGTGATGACCTTCCACGTATTCTTCTTGTATCCGGAGACGTCGAACCGCTCGCTGGAGGAAATTGATGCGATGTTTGACTCCAATATTAGTGCCTGGAAGACGGCCACGACGAAGGATACCTTCACGGCGGAGGTTGAGAGGAGGCAGCATAGTGTGGCTGAGGAGAAAGCGGTTGAGGCGAGTCATCAGGAGATGGCTTAATTTCATCTTTTTGGTGTCTGTGGATCTGGGGATTTGTATAGTGATGATGTGATCTTATGAAGATGGAGTAGTTTGGGATAGAGCTGCGTCCGCTTTTTGTATAGTGTAATGCATTTGAGATGATGTTGACGAGTTATACTTTTCCAATTTGTTCGCTGTAAGATATGCTTTGTCTGAGCGTACTGTTATTGGCTGTAGGAGTCAATTGGTGCTCGATAGTAAAACTATCTCCCAAGTCAAGTGACACGAGTTTGCTCGGAATTCTTTAAACAAATGTTCACGTCGCCACTTTCTGGCTCCTAGAACTAAGCATGGCAGCCCTTCATCTATATCTGAATGCTGGGTCGTAAATCCATGGTCCATGTATGTGTTCAAGGCTTGATTGGTGCTTATGATTGATACTATAGGAATTAACTACCTCCTTCACTGATAACACTTGCTATTCATCATGGTTCTATAAATGTCCCTCTTCATATGCACTTCCATAGTTCAAACCGTGTAAAGTATACATGATATATCGAAGATAAAATATCGGGACTCTTATCTTAATATACTCTAATAATCACTCCCGGTCGACCCATAAACATGGACCCCCCTCTCCAAAACCTCAATCTCATCCCCAACACTAACAACCAAACCCCGTCCCTGCCTCTCCGCCTCCTTCAACCCCGAATCCTCCGGCACACAATGCATTCCCAGATACCCCAGCGCGGATGCATTCCCCGTCTCGACCGTGCGATGCGCCACCAGCGTCGTGCTGGGCTGAGGCTTTCCTTTTTTCCGTCCCGCAGGGGCCACGTCGGTGTCGAAGACTCCGGTGTCGGGGTTCACGTTGGGCATGGTACATCGCGAGGTACGACATACTACTGAGAGGGTTGGGGATACGTCGGCGTATCTGTCGGCTTGTGGTGAACTGGTCTGTCGTTTGGGGATGATGCGGTACCGTTTCCATGTCTCTTCGTCGTAGGCCACGGATCCGGTGGTCCAGATGTTAGCGCGGAAGCGCAGCGCGTTGAGGGGCTGGTTCTCGGGTGGTAACAATGCCGAGACGGCATGCACGGAGGATACACTGTTGATATTGACCGGTTGCTGGTCAGTGTATCCGTGGACAGCTCGCGAGCCGATATGTTCCAGCGGAGCGAGGTTCTTGGTCGTTGGTAGTAGCGTGTCCGGCGTGCATCTTAGTAATGCGAGAGGCTGGGAGTCTGGGATGCGAAGGAACCGTTTCAGCTTCGGAAGCGCAGTTACAATGCCGGGGAGGGCAGAGATGTTGAGTCCTGAGGCGGTGCGACCGTGGATTCCAAATTCCTGGAGGCTGATGTCGTATGAGGAAACTTGTTTTGGGGTTGGGTGCAGGGGAACGATGAATGAGATCTCCGGGGTCGGGTTGAGATTGCCGGTGTGAACAAAAGAGTCGAGTCGGTCGATCCAGCGCAAGGGGTGACTGTCAATATCTGGGTCTGGGAAGGTGACAACTAAGCAGCCACCTGCTTGTACGAGCGGGTCGTTCGGATCGCTCGATCCATGGGGAGTCCATAGGTAGGTTTGGATTAGCGACATGGTCGGTTTGGTGCGCTGACTGATGAATTTCCATTCCGGAGGAGAACCGGGGGATGCAGTTTCTGTGGCCAGGGCAAAGCATCGATCGTATAGGAATCCGGTCTTAGTCAGGAGCGCACGATCCAGCTCGATCGGTCCGCATGATTTGATAGGATGGATGTAGATGGATTTGATTCGGATGGGCTCTTTTGGTACCGCGTTGGTGTCCTCTGGAATCGCATATTTGCTGTCGTACTGGTCGGTCATGTTACTATTTGACGGACTGATGCCTTGCAGCTTCAGGTGTTTGAGCTGTCTGCGGATGGTCGATGCATTGCTGGATTGGAGTACAATGGTTAGGCCGCAGCCGAGTAGGATGAGAAGAGCGGTGGTGCCATAGAGAAGAACAGTCGGGGTGAGGCTGTTCAGCAAACTCTGCGCCACTTGTAGGAGCATTGTTGCTATGGTCAGGTCCTCGTTGGACGATATATTAAGACGCTCAGACGGTCTAATTTCTTGATGATCAGCAATCGGCTCAGCAGATATATGACATGCTTCCCAAGCTTTTCCGCGGCAAAAGCCCTTGCTTATGAGCAGGAGATTGCGTGATTTACGAAGGCATCCTGCAGGAATCTTCCAGTCTTTTACCTACCGGGCTTTCCGAGATCTAATAAGCGCGATTGTACCCTTCACACATGAGTCACCGCTCTTGTATCAACAGAGACTAGGGACTGGTGATACATGAATTGGTAGGTAGACGTCAAGAATGTCTCACAATGTGATGCTCAGTATTCTTCAGATTTTGACTGAGCATAAAAAGGGGTTAGGGAAATCATGAACTTGTGAGGAAGGACGAAAAGAAGAGTCGACGCCGGAGAGGAAAAGATATCTTGCCCGAGGAAAACGGGCGGTGGGTCTCTCTGCCCCAGGCAGCCATCCATCCGCTTCGAGAAGTTGCGGGGAGTGGATCCCGTGATGGTGCGTTTTAGTGGACTCTTCGGCCAGCGATTGGTAGCTGAAGGTTGGACGTATCTACGGAGTATTGTCTATAACTATTGCTAGCAGAAAGTGTGTTAATAAGGAAGTTACAGGGGACTTATCCTGTCTTGATTTGCACAAATTGTACGTGAGTATCTAAACATGGAATTTGTGTCGTTGTGAATTCCAACACTGCCTAGATTGGATCGTCTCTTGAGGCATGCGCAATATCTTCAATATTTGATCGTTCTGCCAGAGTCCCAAAGATATCAATGCGAAGGTGGACTCAGTGGAGCTGATGACCGGGTATTGCGGGACGTGCGGGACTAGTATGCATATTTACGTTATTTGACGGAGGGCGGCTATATCTATAGACATGTATGATGTATGAAGAAGACCTTCTAGAATAAGGGCCAATACAACAGAGACTGCCAGACATCCAAGTTTCTGGATACCTTGGAGAGATGTGAATCAGGTCACGGCTAATCAAACCTGAATAACAACCCTGAAAGCATGCCACAGCAGCCTTCGGGATCAAATTCCGGATGCTAGCACACCACCCTCGCTTGATCTTCCATACCCTAGTGGGGTTGACTGACATCTGACGTCGGTGCTTGTTCTTTCTTACCTAGCTCTTTACCAATCAAGTTCTGGTCGAGTCGGTGGGAGAACATACTTCTTAATTCTTTCAAGTAGTAACAGAAGAAATACATCACTTGCTTGTTCTCGGCGGGTATCGGGAATGACCGCCTATCAGGAAGCTGCTCTCTTGGAAGAGGCCCGGCACCATCTTCGTGATAACGTACTCACTACAGCTACTAACCAGAGGCATAGTTCATCTTTTTCACTACCTTCACTATACCTCTATATTTCCTTCTTTCTTCCTTTCAACCCCTTACCTTCTACACCTCTGGCTTCGCCTATCCCCACCTTCGTCTCTCTCCCCACAACTGCCTACCAACCCTTCGTTTCCTTCTTTTTCCATTAATAAATCCAGCTATTGTATCTCACTTTATCCAGGAATGGTTTGCGTGAAAATGAGTCCTTACAAGGTTATCTCTAACTATGCTGATCCTCGCTTTCCTCCTGAGTGGGGCAAAGCCCATTACCTCTCTTCCCTAGCACGGATTTTGTTCCAAAGTCGCTCCGCCAAATCAACCAGGAATGGAACAGAAATATCGCTAACCCGCAAGACGCAACATCGAGCTATCGAAAAGACGTAAACAGGCCCATATCGCTGTTAACAATACTATGAAACAAGCGCTAGCAGACACCAATGCTGCTACTATAATAGCGCTCGTACGAACGTGGTCGTTCCTCGCTATCATGTGAAGTCGAGGCTAGGACGATGGCTAGTGGACTAGATCTGTTTCAGAATGACGGCGATTGATTATCCTCCGTACGGTTCAAACGTTTAATCTTAAGCCATGATGTGTGTGGGCTTTCCACTCAGATCATTCCATCGCATAAAATTCTCTCGAGAGATTCAACATCGCACGTGGTATCTATGTTAGTTAACGAACCCCTAGCCGGCCCCCAGAATCTAAGCGAGGACCATATTCCGGAAACGTCAAATCCGTCCTGCCCCAATACGAGCTTATTTGGCCCCCTTTTCGTCCTTTCGCACTACCCTACTCATTTCGGCGCGATCGCCCCCAGACTGGTGGTTTCAAAGTTCGTCAAGCTCCAAGGCTGACGCTATTTCGGGTATGGAGTGACGGAGCGACGGGATGATCGCCCGGTGGATCGACCTTCCGTGATCGTTCTCATTGGAGGCGGACTTGAAGGTATCCATATCCCCGATGTGGAATGGTGCGTCAGATGCTTGGGCTAGGCTTGTTCTATGGGCGCGAGGGGTACGATGGAAAGGTATAAATACGTCAGTGGTTCGCTGTGTTCATGGAAAGTATCCAAGATTCGGTTCACTGCTCATTGATTGACTGTCACTGACAGCATGCGTTACGCTACTCTCGCTGCTCTGCTCTCCACCGGCCTGGTGTCGGCATACGATGTGCCTGACAATCTGAGACGAATTTATGAGAATCATAAGGTACCCCCCACTTACCTGGTTCTGCTTTCCAAGGTGCCAAGTTAACAGTTTAGTCTGGCAATTGTGACAATAAACTCGCCGGCGGCTTCACCGACGGCATCAACGGCGAAAACAGCTTCTCCTACTGCGGCGACATTGACGGCGCTATCTTCCTGCACAGCTCCAGCAACGGTGGCCAATACGATAACATGGACGTGGACTGCGATGGGGCCAACAACACCGATGGTGACTGCGCCAATGATCAGACTGGTCAGAGCCAGACTGCCTTCATGGATTCCTTGAGCCAATATGGCATTGATGACTTGGACGCGAATGTTCATCCGTATGTCGTGTTTGGTAACACGGATTTCGATCCTCAAGAGTATGGCATGGAGCCCCTGAGTGTGATGGCTGTTGTTTGTGGTGATCAGCTGGTAGGTCATTTCCCTGTGTAAGTTGTGATGTGAGACAAGACACTGACTTGTGTTAGTACTACGGTATCTGGGGTGACACCAACGGTGAAGATTCCACCGGTGAGGCATCCATCTCTCTGGCACAGCTGTGCTACCCTGATGATGGCATTACCGGTGACAATGGTCATGGTGACGACGATGTCCTCTACATCGGTTTCACCGGTAAGGATGCTGTTCCTGGCGACGAGGCTGACTGGACCACCGATGACACCGAGACCTTCGAGGAAAGTATCAAGGAGCTTGGTGACAAGCTGGTCGCTGGTCTTCGAGACTAAATGTCCGGTTCGCCGTGCATGCCATATCTGTCACATCTATTGTTGACTTGTGCCATATTATAATATTGTACATGTACATATTGTCTTTTTCTGTTGCTGCGTCTTGCTTATCCGCTTATCCAGAACTGGGGCATATTGAACCACACCTGTTGCTTCTAGAACCTCCTAGTAGTTAATAAATTGACCTCACCCAATCACTTACAAGTTCATTTACTTTGGTATTGAATCTTTTTCCATATCTAGTTTAGCAGTTTCACGTTTCGAAATCCAGGCGTACTGAAGTTCTCCTGAGTGATTTAGCCCTGATAGTTGCATTCGAATAAACACCTTGCTCTTTCGCAGCTTGCTCGCCTTTGGCCCCGGTAACTTCAATTCTTATTTTCAGTCTATTAATTCGGCGAGGTTCATCGTATGTGCAAACTACCGCATGAATGTAACGCAAATGTTAGTTCAAACGACGGAAGAAACCCCCAAGAAGGCACAAATTAGATGCATAGGACTCAAAAGGGGACTATCTCCTGGTCTACCTCATATGCCCAACTTCTTGAAACTTCCTCATTTGCTGCGGTGACATTACGGGTTTTTCGCTCGTCGATTTCGGGTACATTGGCAACTGGCACAGTTTATATGACTAGCCAGTATGATAAAGGTCCGATACAATGAAGGTTGTAGTGTCGTCTTGGCCTTTTTATTTTTTTATTTTTTATTTTTATTTTTATTTTTCACTATGTATCTTGTCATCGTTTTCTATCCACTTCGATCACTCAAGGCAATTCACAGGAAGGTGGACTTATTGTTGGTGCGGTTTCGGGCAGTTCTTGAATCGCCAGGCTGCTGCAGATTTCGGTCCAGAGATGTCCACGGTTCAACCCGGTTTGATGCGGGCTCAGTTGCGTTTTTGCGGTCCCTAATGTCAGTTCTGCTTATAAAAAGACCTAAAGAAAAAGACAGCAAGCGCTCCGGTACCTCAGGATACTCAAAGATGGTGCATAAGAAGACAGATCAATGAACATAAATAATTATGCGGACATAATGAGCACATTTCCTACGCGTAAACAAACGCGAATGCTTGGCGTGCTGCCTCAGGCATGCAGGCACCGACAGAAGAGGGCCGGGAAGGCGGTGAGAGGAGGTGGATAATGCCGAACCGTGTTTTGAGTGCCTTGCTGCCTTGTTTGTCTGTTTTTTTCTCAACAATTCTACAGACGGTGTGTAATCATCTTAAATTTATTACCGTTAGCATATAAGTGTTGCTGTTACATTACACTCATTTCCTATAAGGCTGTCAGTGTAGAATGAATGTTTGGTAGTTTTGTAGAACTGTATTCATTTTTTTGGCTTTTGAAAGTGCGGAAGATATATTTGCTGGATGCCCCATGGTTTTAAAGACAAAGGATTCGGAGGTAACACATTTCTTACTGAGTAGAATAAGATTTTCGGAAAGCGCTCAAGTTTGAGATATCCAGGGCGCTTCATCAGCTTTTCTCTCCATGGATATGATTGAGATTGACCGGGATCACGTACACACACACTTCGTCAAATCCAAAGAGACCAATCTGTAGTCTAGCTATAAGACAGTGAACACAACATGAACGAATTGAACAGCTTAAACTGATGTCGGCTCATCTAGTAGCTTACTATTATCTCTCTGATGCTGCGGAAATTAACAGAGATGGAAAGAACTTTAGCCATTGGCTATTGTGCGCACGGAGCTGCCAATGTATAGATTCGGACGTGGCCATCTTCACGACACCGACCCTTGAATCTAGTGCTATTTGAAAAAGTTGCACAAAGCTATAAAGAATTGAGTTATCATTTACCACATATTCACTCTATCTCCCCCAAAATGCAGGGTCCGTACAGTAGGTTCGGTCCCACGTGTAAGAGTGATTAGACCATAGATAAATACTCTGAACACGAACCTCTGTTCCCCAATCAAAGGACTCAGTGGCTATGTGGTAGGACAGGGCGATGGTACGATGTAACATTGCCAGATAAGCAATGCAGTAGGTTCATCTAGACTTGTATAGAATTGAATCCTCCTGGATATAGTGCGGCTAGGCCGGGCAGAGGTGTTTGCAAGATATCACCATGATATCCGGACATAACCGATGGTACGCGACGGAGGCTCATGTGCACATGAGCTTTGGTATTCTATTAGCTGGTTGAGTTCCACCATCAGTAAGGTGGCTGATGACACCCATGGGGGCATTATTGTGATATCTTATCAAGGTTACATCTCCGCTGGATAAGTTAGATTAGTTTCGCGCGACGGAGCTAAGACAAGAACAATAATCCTGGATCAGAGATATTCAACACTCATCTCTGCATAAACTAGCAAAGAGATTGGGAGTTCTGTGCATAGCTGGGGGATGGGGAAAGGGGGTTCTGAATGAAAAATCAAGTAGAAAAGTCCTTCAATATTGAAGTGCCTACGACACCATTTCACGAAATACTTTATTGTTGAATGTTGAATTCAAGAGCTATCAAAGTTTCCAAGAAGGCGCGTAGCACACCAATATGGGGAGGAACAAGAAATACGGAGAGCCGTGTTATCATGATGTCAAATGTAACATGGAACCACAGACCTCCTGTCACGAATGATGGCACATTTCGCCATCAGCTAGGTACGCTCCAAGTTTCCGTTGGCTCGTCAGGGGCGAGAAAGCCACCTTAGATAGTGGCTGATAACAAATAACGCTCCGCAATTGGTAGACATGGGACGTCCAGAAAATGGTGGTTATCTCCAGCCTTTGAGAACCCGCAACGCTAAGCCTCCGGACAAGATGTCTTATCGCATGGCAATCCCGCCAAGAAAGCCTTCTTGCCACGAGCTGGTCTTGAGTATGTGTGGTATATGATTTAATTTCCTCAGTGCTCGCTGTCGCTCCTTTACTCTCCTTTTTCCCCTACCTGTCTCTTTCGACTCTCAACCTACCCTCTCTAAGTGACAGCCAGTCAGCATGGCTGCATTCGACTCTTCGAGCCACAAGACGACCGAAAAGACAGTGGAGCCGACTGCTTCAGGTTGGGTTTCCGATGTCGACCATGGAGCTGAAACGGAGTTGCATCGGACGCTGTCCACCCGGCATATCACCATGATTGCCCTGGGTTCTTCCATTGGTATGGGTCTCTGGCTGGGCAGTGGCACGTCGCTGGCCAACGGAGGCCCTGCTGCCATATTCATCGGTTATATCCTCTCTGGTACCATGATCTGGGCGGTCAGTCACTCCATTGGCGAGATGGCTGTCATGTATCCTCTCCCGTCGGCTTTTGTGCAGTGGACTTCCATGTTTGTCGACCCCTCGGCGGCGTTCGCGCTGGGATGGTCATATTGGTTTAATTACTTCATTGTCATTGCAAATGAGCTGCAGGTTGGTACTTTTACTCATATGCCATGACCTGTGTTAATTGGAGCTAGGCTGTGAATACTGTCTTGACCTTCTGGACGGATAAAGTGCATGTCGCGGCGTGGATTAGTATATTCTGGGTGGTGATTATCCTCATCAACGTGGTCGGCGTCAAGTTCTTCGGCGAAATCGAGGTGATCTCATCGACAATCAAGTTCTCGTGGATCATTGTCGTCATCATATCGCTCATCGGTGAGTTCAGCCTTGTTCGTTGCCTCAACATTAGCCCTAACATCACCCAGTCGTATCCGCAGGAGGCGCTCCCGCCGAAGGCCCCATCGGGTTCCGATACTGGAACTCCGAGCCATTTACCAATGGCTTCAAAGGGTTCCTCTCCGTGATGCCGACCTGCATCTTCGCCATGTCCGGATCCGAGAACTGCGCTCTCGTCGCCGCCGAAACCACCAACCCGCGCAAATCGGTCCCGCGCGCAGTGGGCTCGATGTGGTTGCGTCTGTCGCTGTTCTACGTCTTGGGTTCGCTCATGATCACTATCACAGTGGACCCCATGAACGAGGATCTATTCGGTGCTTCAGGTGTCAACGCTTCTCCCTTCGTTATCGCCTACCGGAACGCCGGGTTAGCTCCTCTGGCTCATATCATGAACGCTGTCATCTTTATCTCTGTCGTGTCAACCGGAAGTATCTCCGGGTATGGTGGAGCTCGTACACTCATGGGTATGGCTCATCTTAACATTGCTCCTAAAGTATGCTTGCCAACTCATATCATGATACCCATCTTCTTTGAGTAGAGGCTAATACACGACCAGATTCTCGGCAAAGCCGATAAGGCAGGTCGTCCCCTTGCCGGCCTCGGGATCACGCTCCTCATCGGCGGTGGTCTCGCGTATCTCAACGTCAACAACAGCGGCGCTGAAGTCTTCACCTGGTTCTCCAACCTCACCTCCCTTTTCACGCTCTTCGGCTGGGGTATGATCTGCCTCTCCCACATTCGGATGCGGTACGCCTGGAGGCTCCAAGGCCGCCACCCATCCGAGCTCCCTTGGAAATCATGGACGTATCCATACGGCGCATACTGGGGTCTGTTGTGGTGTATTCTGCTCATTATTGCGGAATTCTATCTTAGCTTGTGGCCGTTGGGTGGTAATCCGAACGCAAAGGACTTCTTTGCCAACTATGTTAGTGTGGTTGCAATCGTTGTGATTTATCTTGGGGCGAGAATTTATTATCGGGGATCTTGGTGGATCGATGCCAGTACGATTGACCTTGACGGGTTGAGGCGGTTCTACTCGGATAGAGATTTAGAGGCGAAGGGGGAGAAAAGGGGTGGGATACTGGGAAAGGTGGTTGGTGCTATTACGGACTAGCAGTGGTCAGTCATGTATGTGTGCCTAATGATAATTCTGTACGCTGGAGCTCCGTCTGGCGATGCTTCCGAATCTGGACTCGTGAATTGAATTGCGCGTACACCCACATAGTCGACAGAGAACGGGACTTGAGATGGCAAATTGATGCGGCATTGCTTAGTGTCTTCCCTTAACGGGATATGTTTATTGCTGACTCTCGATACGTAAGGAACGCCCTGGTGTTCTACCTTAAACACCCAGAGCTCTTGTTGAACGTGGAGTGGCTCAGACCCAGCTCCATGGGCCACCAGCACCAAGTTCATCAATCGATGGACTGAACCAAGAACGACGAAGAACCAGCAGGGAGTAGTAATCTCGGCGATCATGTGGCAAATCTCGCGGGGGTAACTGGACGAGCAAGTCTGGCTGAACCGATCGAGGAAACACTTCCTGGTATGTTTGACGTCGTCGCTGCTTCGTCAACGTCTGTGACTTGAAGCTGACCAATGGGCATCTTCGATATCCCCATTGCGCGACCACAAATCAGGCATTTCATGCAGCTACTGTGAGGAAAAAACATATTGGACAGCAGAGTTGTATTGCGATGTCGATATTATGTAGGCAATATATATATGCCAATGAATTAAGCTGGAGAATGCCCACGTTCTATCGCCTGGTAGATACAAATTCTATCAACTGTCACCAACATAACATTCCCTTTGGCGCATCTCCAACTGACCCAGGCAGGCAGGCAACGAACCTTTCCCGGACTATGTATCAGAAAACAAAAGTATTAGTATGAGTTCAGACTGAAGGCTGCTCACCGATGAATAGAATCATAGTCAAAGATCAAAGTCTCAGGAAGGAGAGGTAAGAGAGAGAACTCACCCGTTGGCTGGCCAAACATGACAATCATATCGTCATGTTCAGTCGGATATTCCATCTCTTCCAAACAGACAAATCCGTACCAGGAAACCCCCGAGTCTGCCGCTGGCGGCGCATACTTCGCTTCCTTGATCCGCACTCCCCATTCACCCTTTCGATCGACCCTTTCGAACTCGTCCATGTTCTTCACGGCGAAGTTTATGCATTTCCAGAGTTTGAATTGATGGAAGAAAGCAACTATTTGTATCTTTGTGCCACGTTGCACGACTTGAATGCGAGTTATATTGGCGTCCCAGTGTTTCAGGGTCGAGAGGAGTTTCCGACGTCGTGTAATAAAGAAGCGGGTCGCGACGCTAGACGAGAGAGGTGAAAGTCAGTGTAATGCCCTGGAAGATATATGAGGGGATATACACACGTGTCAAAGATGACTTTGTATCCAGTGATGGCTTCTTGGAATTGATGCAAATCTGTTGATTGGCTTGTGGTTAGATTGTGCGCAATGGTATGTACCTAGTACGTGGAGGACTCTCACCCTTTTCCGTTTCAAATTTGATTCTTCGTATAGTGGGTCCTGATTGAACTGCTTGAAGCACGTCGGCGACCTTGCTCTGAAGATCATCGCTGGCCAGGCCCTGAGCAACTGTGATGGTGAGGTCTTGCTGTGGGTGTCGATGCAGATGGAGGACAGTATTGTCGAGGACCGATAGACCGATCGTTAATTCACCAGGCCCTGTGTGTCAATTGACGGTCAGAAGAGTCCATGGATTATACATTGTTCGTATTTCTGCTCACCGATGTTGATGCGGTCCGTAATAGATCCCCAGTCCGATTCAACGATGACTCGCAAGGTCTCCGACAGAGTTGTTTTCCCATACGGGTTGGAGGTAAACTCAGGCTCCTGCGCCTGTTCAATCACTGACGCTAGGCTTTCACCGAACTCAAGATTACGAGCGCCCTGGGCTCCCGGCTCCCGCGTTTGGCATTCGAGGATAAAATATGAGCCAACGGGAAACGTTCGGAGAGCAGTCTCGCCGGGACCGGGAACTAGGTCGATAAGAAGCGAGTGTGTCAAAGTGCGCGATTCAGCATCATGAAAGTAGAGGAACACGGAGCGCTTTTGACCGTCCTCAACTATTTGCAATAACAGACCAGGAGTGCCGTCATCAGCATCCAACAGGCTATACACCACGGGAGATGCATTGTCCAAGACATGAGATACTTGGTGCATTGTCTTCATGTGTGGAGGAGTCGAGATGAACAGGCGATAACCACGGTGTGCTCGACGGTTGTTGGGTCCTGAAGACACTGTAGCGGTTCTTTTGAAAAGACGCGCACGACATTCCTTTACAGGCTTGGCAGGAAACTCGATGGGCTTGTCGTGGTTGATATAATGACAACACTTAAGAGCCTCATCGAAGAGAATCTCTTCATCCTGCCCGGCAACCATGTCTATCTCGGCCAACACGGTCTGATGAGCTGCCTCCCAGAACTGTTTGAAATTTTCCTCCGTGAATTTGACGTCAAGGAAAAGACCATGGCGAAGCTTGACGAGCATCGAAAGTTTCCCCACGTCCCATTCAATCTCGTTCCATTTTGGCCCTTGTTTTCCATTTGATTGAATCGTGATGTGCACAAGGTGTGTTTGGCTTGCTATCACACCCAGGGTCTGCCAGCTGGAGCGGGTTCGGATAATTGAGAACATGCAGTGAAATGAGTGTGCCAGTGAGTATTCCTCCTGCGCAAACAAGGTCACCATAACAAACTCACTTGCGTAGTGAAAGAAGTCATCTGTGTCGCCAAAGGCGAGGGGTATGCTCCAGGCGGCGAGTCGTTGGTCATTGAGAATGGCAGCATCGTAAGACGTGGCGGGCGCATAGAAGACCCAAATGGATTTCTCAAGATCCAACATTTGACCCAAGTCTGTGCGCCCTAGGAAGGTGGTTTCCAACTGTCTATCGTACGGTCGCAGATATTTGAGGACACAGCGGTACTGATCGAGAAGGGCGCCCCGAGGAGTGCTTTTGATTCGAGGGTCGGTAGTAATGATTCGAAAGTCATCTTGGGCAATGACCTGGTGACATATCCACCATGCCTTGCCTAGGTCAATCAGACCTTGTGCTATCTCCGTTGATGAAATGACATCCTCTTCGTCAGTGAAGAAGTTTGAGTCACTCGAGGTTTGTGCACGCGTTAGGATGACCTTTCCACGAACAGCCCACCAGATCGCTGCTCTCAGCCAGTCGTCGATTGTGATTTCTTGTGCTGGCTTGGTTGTTTCGACATATGGCTGGAATAAGTCACTGAGACACTCATGCAATCCAGTATTGACAGCCACCTTGCTAACACTGGATCCTCTCTCCCAGTGCCGGAATGGGGAAGTAGTGCTCGGTCGTGATTCCTTCCAAAGGGGATGGCCGACAGAACTCGGAGAGGGAAGCATAGGAGGCTGTGAAGCGGATCGAAGGGGAGGAGGGAGGGCTTTATACACGATTTCGGGCTCGTCATGGCGTTCTGGAGAGAAAGGGCTCGTTAGTATCACACAGCGGGGGGTATGTATGGTGTTTATGGAAGAGAGAATAAAAGCTCACGGCGTATGTGAATGCTGTCCGCTTGGTGTGGCATGGCCAATTTCCCTGGTCCATACGCAGGTGGTTGCTCATAGGCCTCGCTAGAGATTTCATGTCTAGAGCCTGCCCCTAGAAAATCCATGATTTGCTGTTCCGCGTTCAGCGGCTCGGAACTCGTCTGGCTGGAAGATCGGCGCAGCCAGTCAGTAAACCGCGGCTTGATTGAATTGCCATCCATGTTGCTTTTCTTTGAGTCAGGCAGTAGGAACTTATTATCAATCGTGATAAAAATCACAGAAATGGCATCTTCTGAATTCTTAGTAGGACGATGAATTTATATCATCTGGCATACATGCGAGTCAGAATATCGGATAACGCTAGTCACTTTTGTGTCTCAATTTGAAGGATTCTTATGGTTGTGGCCCACCAGACCAATTTTGTCTCACTCCGCATGACAGGGATGTAGTTCTAGAGCCATATCTATGCGACAGGTGAACGTGAACTAGTCAAGTAACCGAAACACTGTCTGCATCTAAGTAGGTTCATCAAAAGGCTTCGTTGGTAGGTGGGATAATATACATCCAATTGACTATGTTGGAGGGTATCATAACGCTTTCTTGACACGGTATGCTGTCATGCGCTGAGAAAGCCGGATATAACCATGTAAGTGACCCAATACTTTGATCTGAATTGCTTCTTCTTAGCCTAGAGGACGAATCCTACCGGACTCATGTTCTCCGATATTCACCCACTCTTAAAAGTGAATGAGGAGTAGTCCAGGCCGACGATACCCAATTATACCATGTTAAGTCTGAGGACCGAGAAATCAAGCCACTAACTAGGAACGTTGGACACCGTGAGAGTTGGCCAACAAGTAGTCATGACAAAATTGGGCGTATTGAATACATCCTATGCCATGTGTCCACGACGCCTGGTCAATGCCTTACAACCATCTGTCAGTGCTGTCATCCTGTTCTCGAAAATACGCGAGTCTGACGGACATAGTAAAGATAGTCGCTGCTAAGCCGGAGGCAATCTAAATATAGTAGAGATGGTAGTATCCTCGGTAGAGCACACCAAGGGATAGAAATACCGTAGATGGCAAGCCAATGACGCGGAACGGACACCGGCAAAATGGCTCGACTTGATTTCCCGAACCATGTCAATCCCAGATCTTGTTCACTCGTTCGAGACGTAAAGCGCTACAAGCACGTTAAGGTGACATCAACGAGGTCCTATCCACAATGAATGTTTCATGCTGGAACCTTTGTCAAGAATACCGAACCATTGGCGGATGTTGGTTGTATCTCCACCAAGTCAGCCAGCCATCGGCCTGATTGATCCACTTTCGACATCCTACGGCTTTAGCCGACCCTGTAACCTGCCCAGTAAGATAGGGCACACTTACGAGATTGGATAGATTACTATTATTAGAATTCTGGTCCATGTGTGCAAGGTATATATAATGTCACAATTCCATGTGGAGATTATAGGAAATGTAGCTGTTCAAAGTGCACTTGGAACCAAGTTCAGTCTGCAGGCCCAGAGGGGGGGCTTGTCTTGTGGCACGTTGAGTCTATGACTACCTTCATTCCACATCATTAGATGCTCAAGTACAGCGCTAGAAGAATTATCTATCGAAGATCTGCGGCTATTCCATTTTCCATGTCTAATCTCTAAGCCTTCAGCCCATCTGGTTTGATGCTACGGCTCAAATTGGTTATTGGTTGAAGAAACCTATGATACACACTGACAGACGGATAATTCTAGGCCTTTGCTGTAGACACCGCGCTGCTGACCGACCTCAGGCTTCTTTACAGGTGGTGGAGGAGCAGTGATCGAAAGTCTGAGGATGTCTACCTAGCTATTCCTTGGCAAAAAAAAAAAAAAGCGGTAGTTGATCATCCACGGTTCAAGGCTGTTGGGCCCACAGATTAGTGTTTGTCCTATTTTTCTTAGTCCAAGAATGGAACTCTCTCCTTTTCACTACCCTACTAACTAGAATTAAATGAATTGCCCTCCTCTCAGTAACTGTTCCCTATCAGTCCATCACTCTCGCGGCTTTAATTGAACGACCATGTTTAAGCCCAGGACGACAGCCGAGTGGTTGTTCTGTGGCGCTCTCACAATACAAGCGGTGACCATCTTGATTTTAGAGATGTAAGTGTAATCTCCGGGGACCATGGGTGATTTACCTAACGAATAGCTACTTTAGTTTCACTCTAGCACAGTGGGCATCATGGGTACATCCCAATATCATCCAGATCACTATCTCGTATATCACACCTCTGAACTTAGGGATTCTACTGTTCGCTTGCCTTTATCTATCGATCCTTGGAATCGACGCAGTCTATCATAAGAACGAGATTCTTCTTTTCGCGATCTGTGCTAGTAATACCTGCGGGTTGGCTTACTCGATAATGCAATACAAGCACATTCGGGCAGCAATCCACCACCTCCCTCTCATCTATGACGGGCAATTCCGGCCATTCGTGGATTTGGATCGAGACATTTGGCCCCAAGTTAAGCCGGCTCAGCTTGCGGCCCCAGCAATTATCGGGCTATGTAGCTTGCTTTTATGGCCTTTGGCCTATCAGCTACATCACCAGTTCGTGTGGGAACTTTACAGATCTATCAATGGGGACGCAAAGACAAAAGTGCGGCATCGAGCCTATGAAGTAAAATGACACTTGGTAATTTCTGTATTTGTGTTGTAGCTAACTCTGAATGCCCAGATCTACGTCGTTCTTCTCAAGGTCGATTTCTATTTTATTATAGGCTTCATCCTGCAATATAACTTGATCGATGTTCACTTCGACGAACCCGAGTACTCTCTTACGATGGCTATCATACCAGCTACGCTGATGGTCATGTTTTCCGGACTATACTTTGTTCGATCCGAACGCAAAATCGCCATGATATGTGTCATTGTAAGTATCAAGGGCTTTCTCATTCACTGTTCAAGAAGCGTTCCAATAACCACCCTTCGCGGCTATAGGTCTGTTACGTTGCCATGATAGCCTATCTCCTAAGCCGAATTATCATTCTGTTCGGCAACAGTCACCGTGCGAAAACCGACGGCAAGGACATGATGTTGCTTTTCGCTTTCATGGCGCTGGCTCTTACAACCCTGATGGTCCTATCGGTGATCCGATGTATTCTGAATTTTGGTCAGGGGTTGAAGAATGTGCTCAAGCCGAATACTTCATCAGCTCGTGAATCCTATCGCGCGCGACCCCTGTCGGAACATCCATCTTCCCCGGTCCATTCGTTACATTCTCGAATGTCGATTGATTGATATGGTGCGATAATATTGCACTCGCTTGGTTCGAATCTATCTCCCCTTCTTTCAACTTTATTCTAGTATGGATATCTTAGACCTACATAATGATTGTAATGATTCAATCAGGAAGCCTCCTTCGGCTATTAGTTTGCTGCTATATTAAGATCGAACCTGTATTCTTACTGAACTCCGATTCTTCGCCCTAATCCATTTTTGGCAACAATTTCTATCAACCTTTCAATCACATCCCAAGTCATCTCTCAAATGTCTACCTGTATTAACTATAGTATCTCATTTCCCTTGCTGATGATTCCGCATGGCATCCCTACGGACAAACTTGCCGGAGACCCGCTGCCCCATTTCTATCAGGGCCTACCGTGGCAGTAGTAGCCCGGAAAGCAACGAATGATGCGGGGCGCTATTTTTATGCCGATTCTAAATGGTGGCTCTAAATCCGACCTTATCCACCAGCCCACACAGGCCTTGGATTGTCAAGACAGCTCAGCAGGGTCCAACCCGGTCAGGAACGGTGGCTAGTAGAAGCAAGATGGATATAGAAATGACCACGGAGCCTTGGCCAAACGGTGCAGTACACACCTGCCACAATCGTCCAAGAAAAGTCTCCCTCGCCCACCCGGCCTTGTGTTAACACCGTACTTGTGGAGTCCGTGTCTCTCCCTGAGGTCTTGTACATACCTGAGGCAGACATCTGTCTATGGTAACGGCCATACTACGGTATCTTAAAGGCCGCCATGTCATTGGTTCGGTTAGCCTGCGCTAGTGTGCGGGACCCACTCCTGACAATACCATTTCACTGTTCCTGTCACATAGTGAATTGTATGAGAATCCAAAAGTTGAGCTTCAGGAAGGAACAATCCTCTCAGGCAGGCAGGCATTTTAAACCTTCGCTTAGGGCTCTGGCCACGGGACCTCGCCTAAGTCCAGCGGGAGATCGAGCTTCCCTTTTCATCTCTCATCATGTGGGAATTCGACTTTCTGGGTGAGCTACCCTCGGAGACTCCCCGAGTCATTGCAAGTACAGTGAAAGCCATCCAGTCCGCCGTACGTCGCAATAGTCATCATCCTTACATCGTCATTGAGCACATCGGCCCACAGATTGTGGAAAGACTGGTCGACTCTCCCCACCTACGTGTCGCGAAATCGTCCAAGATCTTTTACGACGAGAATCTGAGAAAGTTGATCATCAAGGCACCATCCGTCATCCATGAGACAGCCAGCAGGGCCTTTAACCGAATACTTGACGGCCATCTCCGTTTCCATGGCCTGACTGAAGAGGTGAGGTTCATTGGGTCGGGGAAGGTGAGAGATGGCGGCTACGCAAAGGAGCCTGATGAGTCTTATTACCCCCTCCGGGTGATACCAGTCCGTGACATGAAGTGGCCTACGGTCGTATTGGAGGTTGGATACTCTGAGTGTTTCAGTCGGCTCAGACTCGATGGTCGGTGGTGGCTAGGCCGTTCGGGTGGTCTTGTCAAGGTTGTCATCCTTCTCTCTATTGACCGGTCTCGCCCCCGCATAGTTATCGAAAAATGGGAAACCGTGGCTCCGGCCCACAGCTATCATCTTCGTTCTCAATCACCATCGCCACAATTAACAGCGGAAGTAACTGTGACTCTCGTGAACGATGACCATGTCACTACAGGAGCGCCGCTTGCCATCTGTGTCGATGATTTATTGATGTACCCTGTTCCCATCGGTGTCACTTTTCAATTCGATGACCGCGATCTTATAAGTTTGGCAAGGGCCATCTGGATGGAGCAGCAGTTTGTTCAGAGGCCTCAACTGAGATGCTTACTGTGCTTTCGTGGGCAGCCAAACAGGGTCATCGTGAAATGATACAGCTTCTTTCCAACATGGGTGGAGAGTCCTTACTGCACGAGGTCGATAATAGTAGGAAAACGTCACTACACGGGGCCGCCAAGAATGGGCATGCCCACGCCCTGCAGCTTTTGATTTCAAGGGATAGATTCGGCCTCCTTCCAGAGCAAGATGACAGCGGCATGACCACCCTTGCATGGACCTGTAAAAATGGCCATCAAGCAGCAGCAGAAGACACAAAGATGCTAGAACAGCTTTATGATGAAAATGAGATCACTCCTTTCAGGCTTACCTTGGTAGTCCTAGTATACATGATGTGCTGTATCATTTGGGTATGCTCCTATCACTCATACTACTGCACCTTGGTATTTACATCCACCAAGCCGGGAATCTTCCTTTCGTCTTATATATCCCACGATAGATTGAATCAAGACTTCGACCTCGGCAACCCCAACCAGAAAATCAAAATTCCGACCGAAACCGCAAAGATGAACGGTAACAAAGACTTGACATCCGATCCCTGCGCAATGCCACCGGCCACAAAAGGCAGCACAGCGGCACCAGCACCCCCAAAAGCAGCGACGAACCCAATAGATGTAACATGCAGATGCTTCGGTAGCAGCTTGGTCATGACAACGACAACAGCGGGGAATAATGGGCCGAGGAAGAAGCCCTGTATAGAGACAGCCACGGCAGATGCGTAGAAGTTCGGCACGAGCCAGACAACTAGCGAGAAAGCGATAGAGCAGGTGATGTAGATCTACTTCACAGTTAGCAAACGCAATGATGAGTTAGACACGGACATAAAAAAAGCCCCGGATGAAGTCAACCATACTGAAGTAGCAATCCTCTCCCCAATCTTCGCCGTAACGAACCCCAACACCATTCTCCCAACTGTAATACCCAACCAAAAGCCCGTGGCTGTCATTCCACTTGGGAACGCGGCTGCCTTTCGCACGTCAATCATAATGGTGACGATCCAACCCCCGATGGACACTTCAACACCAACGTAGAGCAGTAGCAAAACGGCGCAGAGCCAGGAAACGCGAGCTGCAGGGCGTTTGAAAAGCGCATCTTTCAACCCGGCACCGTTGGCGTCTCCTGCGTCTGCATGGGCTTTCTTGAATGCCACGCCGGTAAATTGCCAGAACATTGTTGGCGAGATGATCCCTTCAATCACGGAAATACCAATCTGTCTTGCTTTAGCATGTCATCGCAATTGGTGTCAAAAGGGATCAGGGAGGTACCATGAAGAAATAAAAGTAATACCAAGGTGCATTTGCCTTCGTGATCAAATTGGTCGCGATAAGCGGGCTGATCACTGCCCCGAGACCATAGACACCATGCAAGAGACCTAAGATCTCATTTGATTTATCCATATTCCCGAGATAGGTGTTCCACGCTGCCTCTGCCAGTCCATTTGCTATTCCTGCGAAAATATATGCAACCACAAGAACTGGGTATGGCGGATGAACGCAACTAAGAACATATGCAACTAGTCGGAACGGAGGAACGATGAGGGAAATTCCGCGCTGACCGATAGTTTCGTGAAGCTTGTTGTTCACGAGTGCGGCGAGGACGTAGCCGACGAGAGGTGAAAGGAAAACGCAAGAGACGACCATGTAGCTAATGTCGTAGTATTCTTCGAGCTGCATATCGTTAGAGGTTGTTAATGTAGAGGAACGGTGAACGGACATATGGGATCAGAGCCTATTTTTGTCAGTTTTGCAGTCCGTTCTGTTCAAAATCAAATGGGCTCTCACTCCGTAAGCGGCATCGTTTGCTCCCATGACCAGAAATGACCAGAAGGTTGTCGCAATGCGTAAAACATTCGATCGAGGGTAATTCCATCGTTGAGATGCAGCCGTTGGGTCTATTACTTGTGTGTCTTGAGGTAACCGCTCATGGGATTCTCTTTCAGGTCCTTCTTCTCGGGCTCCAACTTCCATAGTGTTATTGATTTTGACACAAGCTCGTGTTGATTCATGGATTCAGGGGAAGCGCGCTAAGATTTATCTACCTTGCTTTCTTGCAAGCTCACAGATATTTTACTGACGAAAACATGATAAAAAATACTAAAAAATCATTTACGCAAAGCCAAGATAGAGCCATGTTGCCATAAGATTGGACTAGACCCAGAGACCAGAACGAAAAGTTATATCCAGCGATAATCCGCGACAGGATGATGCCATGCTATGGACATCGCAGTGGATATCAACACCAATACTAGTCGCAGACCCACCGAGCCTAGCGCTTTATCCGGGGGTTTAACCGACGCACTAAACCCGATACGGCCAGTTAACAGCCGCGCTGTTGCCATCTGCATTCGCCATCTTCTCTTCGTTGATCGTTCCTACAATTCCATCAGCTTCTCATCTCACCCAGTATCCCGCACAATCCGTCCCCAGCATGCCGCCACAGCCACGTGCACCTATCTCAACTTCCGGGCTCCCCTCCCGCTCCAAGACAGGCTGCGGCTCTTGCCGCCGGCGCAAGAAGAAATGCGACGAGACGCACCCCGTCTGTAATGGCTGCCAGCGCAACAATCTGACCTGCACATGGCCCGAACAATCCCCCGACAGCAGCCAAGCCCCACAGACACGACGGCCCCGACGACGACAGAATCTCGCAGACGGTGGCAATCGTCTATCGCCCGAGCTAGCCGCCATGGTGACCGTATTCGCGACGCCAAGTGATCAGCTGGTGCGTCGGCTACTGACTCATTTCTCGCATTTCGGGCCAACCTGGCTGACGAGCCGGATTGGGAACGGACGTACGCGCATCCTGGGTCATTTGTTTCCCGAGACGATGGAGAGCCCGTTGATTTCGAACTGTGTGTTGATGGTTGCGGCCGGGGATTTGGTCAAGTACGACCCATTCGATGTGCGGGTTCAGGCGGCCGCGGTGGAGTTCTATGGGGCAGCGGTTGAAGGGCTCAGAGGGGCTGTTGGAATACAGGGATCGAGAGAGGATGTCTCCGGTAGGTTGTGCCTTTGCTTCCATTCCTTTGTTTCTGTTAGGGCTCGTCGGGGTCGTGACTTTCGTACATGTGACGAGGGCACGTACTAATCGTATGCCCTCACTCGAACAGATCACAACCTTCTGGCTGTCCTATTGTTCTGTTTACATGAGGTATGGGAAGTAACGTTTTATTCATATGTGATGCACATTATAACTTACCTAACCAGACTCAAAATTACACCTCCTCAGAGCGCCTCATTCCGCACATCAATGCCGCTGCAACACTTATCACGCAACGCCTACACACGGTACCAGCTAATTCCGAACTACGCAAATTCCTACTAGAAATGTTCTGCTACCTCTTCTCCCTAACAGCCTTCTCACACGCCTCATCCCTCTCACTGCACCAAGGCAACCAAATCTTCGAAACCCCGGGTCTAATGGAGTACCTGCAAGGCGGGGCTATCCTAGGAACATCCCAGAAGGCATTATTCGTCGTCTTCCGAGTCAGCATTCTCCTATCTCAATTACCATCAGCACGAACTTCCCTTAACGGGGAACTCGATCCAAAAACAAAATCTAAACTTCTCGCAACAGAAACGCAACTCCAAACTACCCAGGCACCATTCATCCCAACCTCGGACATGAACACAGAAACCCTGAGCGACGGAATAACGTTCGAATGCTACCGTCTCGCCTGTGTCATCTATCTCCGATATACCATCGCCCCATCAACCTCCATTTCCGATCGATATATCCAATCCCTAGTCTCCCAATTCATCACATACCTATCCTATCTCCCTGAATCCCCGTCTGACGGGTTCATCTGCTGGCCTGTCGTTGTTGTGGGTTTATGTGCAATACAAAAAGAACACCGGGGTGCTATTGCGACCAAGTTGAAGAAGACGCATGAGAGATGGAGAAGCGATATATTTACTAAGAGTTTGAAGTTTCTGAAGGAGTGGTGGAGAGGAGAGGAGGGAGTGGACTCTGCAAAGAAGCGCGGGATTAACAGACAAGGGGGATGTGGGAGAGGAAGGCCGAGTCTAAGTTGTGGCATGAGGGAGGTGGAATTTCCAGTTCTCTTACTTTAACATCTTAGTTTCATACGAAATATTTCGGTGTTGATCAGGGGAGAGAGGCGTATTGGAGAGGTAGATATTTATGATTCATAAACGACAAGATGAGCATACAATGGCATAATTCGGAAATGATCATTTGAAGGAAGAGTCAAAGTGTAGTAGCAACGTAACATGTTCATTTAGCGAGTCTGGTTCTCGACAGTCTGATATGATATATGAGAATGAAATAGATAAAAAAGCCCTAACATCCATGCAATGCTGACCAGTACAAAAGAAAAACAAAGGAAAGGTTAATGTAATGAGTGAGGGTGGAATAATTCGATCAACAAATTTTCCAGACAAGAAACTTGAAACGCAATTTGGCCAAACAATGTAAACAGTCTGAAACGATAAATCCGGAATGCAAATAACATCAAGTAAAGCAGTATACAAAGGAAAGGTTGTCAAAGGAGTGACTGTGGTCAGGACGTAACACAAAACAAAAGAAAACAATCACACATCCACAACGCCATCATCAAGTCGTCATCAAAAAGCACACATAATCACAAATGAGCGAGTGATAAGGTGAGCATGTTAGTATACACCTTAGACAGGGAACCTGACACCACCTCTCTCCGTGCTTCTAGGCTGAGAGAGGATTCGAGGCAAGGTTCTGGCCTTAGGATCCTGATTGAATCGCAACCGGTCTCTTTTCAGATTAAACAATCTGATCATGCAAGACATGGCTTGCTCGTCGGTCAAGACCAACTTGACCTGTGCTGCACTGCTGCTGCTCTTCTCGTTGTTGGAATTATCAAGAGGCACGTCCTTGATACAGGCCGAGACCATCCATCGCACCAACACGTCCATGTCCCGTTCGTTGCTCCAACAAGGGAACATGGATAGGATCTGGACAGCGCGAGTGAACTCACGATGGGTAGGGTCCTTGGGGTCTGTCAAGAACGTTCTCGGGCCTCGGACGCCCTGCTCGTCGAGCTTTCTGTCTAGTAGACGAAGACACTCGCGGGGCGTCGGGTTCCGGAAGGCAATCTCTTCCTGGAAGAGGCTGGCGAGTCGAGGACGGTTGGCCAGCAGATGATCCATCTCGGCGGCTGGACCGGCGAGAATGACGACCGTCTGTCCGGCGTGCTTGGGGAGCAGATAGACTAGCTCGTCCATAGCTTGGAGGGTAGACTCGCTGTCACCGAGACGGTGGGCGTCTTCGATGAAGAGGACCTTGCCACGACTGAGGTCGAGTTGGGAGCGAGCTCGGGGCGATTGACCAACAAAGTGGGTAAGGTCGCTGATGGAGCATTCCACGAGGTCACTGGTTTCGAGGACGCCCATCTTGTAGTAGAGGATGGCAAGCTGCTGGGCGACGGTTCTTTTTCCGGTCCCTGGTCGCGGAATAGTCAGCGGCCATTCAGTGGAAGGAAAGGAAAATGAAGAATAGGAAAGATGATGTTAACTTACCAGGTGCACCCTTGAACACTAAGGCGTACGGAATACGCGCGCTGGGCTCAACACCCTGCATCCAAGCTGCCTTCATCTCGTTATGATATCTCTTCAGAACGGAGATGATATCATCCGGGACGATGGAATACCGCAACTCATCGCGGAACGCCAACGTGGTATGCCCGCCAACCAGATCGGGCTGGAAGTCCTCAGCTTGGAGGACTCGCTCGACTGGCTCGTTAGCCCTGGCGCGTCGGTCCTCAAAGTTATGATTTGCGACCGCGACAAGTCTTTCGATGGCGCGCGCGTTGTCAAAGTCGCGACGCATACGTGCGTTGTCGAGAATATCCATGGCCGCCTGGAAGGCCTCAGGTGTTGAGTCAATATCGTTATCTTGGACCTTGGACTGGAAGAGCTGTTCCATTTGCTCGCGCGTAAGACGATGGAATTGCACGACTTGGCCTTCGAATTTGCCTACCGTGGATTTGCTGAGCTGCGAGAGGAGCGATTTGACGGCGGATGTGGAACCGATGAGGACGGTACAAACTCGGGGCTTGGTCAACTCGGTCGTCAGAATGTCCAGCACGTCCTGGGGATAACGAGGAGGGATAGCGACGGTGGTGCCATCGAGGCTATCGACCTCGATGATGAGAGTGTCGGAGTGGGTGTTGTCGAGAGCGAAGAGAGATTTGACCGGTGCTGTGGTTGTCAGCTTGTTTTCATGGAAGCCAAAGGCGGAGAGAATACCTTCTCCATCACTCAGCAGTCCCAGATCAGCCAACACCTGCACGTAGAGCTTCGCGGCCGTGGACTTTCCAGTGCCCTGCGGACCGGTGAAGACGCGATTCAACCGCACGGGGAGTCGTCGCTGATTGCGCAGCTCCCGCGAGTAGTTTTCCTCGAGAGTGTCAAATACTTCTCGGACGGAGGCCTTGACAGCTTCCTGTCCGACAAGGCCCTGTAGTTGCTGCCAGGCCTCGCTCTGCATTCGAATATCCGCGGGACTAGGGCCCAAGAGATCCTGACGGGAAAAGAAAAAGTAGTCGACCTCATCCATGCCACCGGTCTGGTCAGTCAGATACTGAGCCTGACGGCGAGCGACATGGGCGACGAGGTCGCGAACAGCATGAGCGTTGGTGAAGCCCTTCTTGCCGCGTCCTCGAGCCAGCCGACGCGCAGCAACCTGCATATAGGGGCCTTCGAGACCACCTTCGACCTGCATGCGACCCTGGTATTCACCCGTAATGCGACGACCCAGCAGCTGCAAGAGATCGGGGCGTTCGAAGTCGGCAAAATTTAGCGTGCTGCAGGTCAGACGCTGGATGCGAGGGTGATCGCGCAGGAAGGCGGCAATCTGTTCGGGGTAACCAGTGAAGACAACGATGATGCGGTTTGTCGGGCGCTCCATGGCCTCCACCATGTAGGAGAGGGTCTGCTCGGCAGACGCACTGTCGGTCGAGTTGTCGAGCGTTTGAGGGTTGTCGACAATCATAACACCGGCAGTTTGAGTAGAAGGGGCGGCGTCGACAATATCCTGGATGAGACGCTGAGTTCCCTCTGGGCCCTTGGAAGCCAGCTCCGAGCCCGAGGTCTCCTTCACAGTCTCTGCGTCGGCGATGCCGATGGAATAGAGCATCTTGGCATATATCCGAGCGACAATGCTCTTGCCTGGTGCCGTTAGTATATGTGTCTCAATGAGATGAGAGGAATCATACCTGTGCCCGGGTTACCCTGCATTGCGATATTGTACCACTCACTGCGCGGATCACGACCATGTCGGCGACAGATCTGCACGTAGCTCTGCACACCGTTCAACTGTCTCTTCACATTGTCCAGACCGACAAGTCGCTCCATGCCATCGGTGACATCCTTTCTGGCAGCGTCACGACTTGAGCGCTCGCGCTCCGTCGAACGTCTCTGCAATGTCGAGGTGATCCCCATCTTGGGAACAGCTTGTTGTGTGGTTGGCGTCTGGGTCTGCGTTGACACCGAAACGGCGGATTCTGGCTGCGACCGTTTAGACGAAGACGACCAGATAGGAAAGAAGAATGGAAATCGGGATTGTCTGGCAATGGAGCAATCCATGCTCTGACAGCGACGACAAGGACAAAGTTGCGCAAGGAAATCAAGGAGAACAGAGAGCATAAGGTAGGAGGTGAACTGGCAGGTTGTTCTTGTCTTTCTTTCTCCGAAACGGGGGAAGAAAGAGAACGACAGACAGTAAAGAGCTCGAGCTTTCAAAGAGATGTTATGTACGTCCAAGTAAGGGAGAATAATAGATAGGAGAATTTCTATCCTCCCCCAAGTCGAGTTCCGACCATCCATTATTTATCGACGCGTATTCGCATCCAGCTGGCAATGACTGACAAAACCACCGATTGAGCCATGGCAGTCGCAAGGCCGGCAACAGCATCGTTTCCTTCGTGAGGCACAGAATGGGCGACCACCATGAGAGGGGGAATTTCGCCGGATTCAATTATGGTAGACCTATGATGAGGCGACAGGTAGGCGTGATGCTATTTCACCGCTACTTGTGGGCCGCCATGTCCGCCTAACCAAGCCATTTCGCACCGTTGGTGACTAGTTCACTAGGTCGAGAAGAGTGGGCAGATGATTCGATAGTCGAGCCAAAATTCACATGATTTTACTTGCCTAATCTGGGCAGCTAGTGAGGCCTCGAGTCTGAAACGCTGCCACGACTGACGAGACCCCGATGAAACTGGTCTGTGCGAGTCGTTTCAGATCCGGGCAGAGCAGGTGCCAGGACAGACCAGGGATCCTCTGTCAGGGATTTGCGAAGCGTGGATCTATTTTTACCCAGCGCATTAGGCGAGGAGTTAGTCAGGCACCGGATGCGCTGTTGTTCGTTGTGTGGTTGGGTATGGCTGCCCTATCATCGGCTGCAATGTGTTCGATAGGCTTCCTAGAATGCCCGGATATCATTGGATGTGACTACTAGGGCGTCTCTTGTGGCCTTGATTAATAAGGAAGGTCTATGAGGCATTAGGATCAGGCCTGATTTAATGCTGAACAATGCATTGTTCTGGGTGGTGGGACGATAGATGACATCACAGACCATCTCAACAGTCGGTGATCAGTCATCGCTTCGCTAGACCCAAATGCTTCTCGCTGGAATAGGATGTTTGCTCGTCGCTTTCTTCGGATATGCTATTCTCCTATTCCCCAGGTAAAAACAGAGCGATTCCCACTTCTCACCGCAATATGAGTCACAATCTGTTAGCATTCCCAGGAGCTCCCAGCCCCTCATTATTGCTGCCAACATAGCCCCGTCCACTACTCCGTACTATCCACTAGATGGAATTCACAGCTTCTTCTCCCTGTTTCCCTCTCTAAATCCGAACAGAGACCCCGCAATCTTTCTCATCTGGATTTCTTCCGACCCCTCCGTAATTCTATACCTTCTAAAATGCCGATAAATGTGCTCGAATGGATAATGGCGCGAGTATCCATCTCCCCCATGGATCTGCCCGCATTAGCACCGCCTTCTTCACCAGCTCGAATAATGAACAGAACAGAAAAAGTCTGCAAAATACCTGAATCGCCCTATCCGCCGCCTCGCAAACTAATCTGTTAGCCCAAAAATTGCACATTGCGACCTTATCGCTCAGTTTCTTCTCGATCTCCACCCAAGGCTTTCTCCCCTCGCTCTCCGCCTCCCCAGCTACCCGATCCATATCCACGCTAGTCTTCAGAATCAGCAGTCGGAGCATCTCAACCTGCGTCACCAACTCAACGACTGGAAACTGAATGCCCTGGTTCTCGGACAGGCTCTTTCCGCCCCAAATTTTCCTGTTCTTCGCGCGCTCAATGCTCCGATCCAGGCAGAACTTTGCCGCACCACACGAACTAGCCGCCTGTCGGAGTCGATTTTCATGCACGAATGTCTGCGCGATCGCCAATCCCTCGCCAACAGTTCCCAGCACAGCCTCGGGTGACACGAAAACCCGTTCTAAAGTTACGGTCGCATGATCGGTCGGCATATTCATCGTCCATTCGTAACTCACAATCCCCACCCCCTTCGTCTCGCGGGGAACAAGGAATGCCGTTATCCCCCGACTAGAACCCGGTGTGCCCGAAGTCCTCGCGAAGATGATGAAATGCGTGCTATTATGCGCGCCTGTCTGCCATTTTTTTGTACCGGAGATTTGAAACCCGTCCGGAACTTGACTTGCGACCGTGTTCATGAACGTAGCATCGCTGCCATGACAAGGTTCCGTGAGCCCGAACGTAGCTCGGAATTTGCCTTCAAGACGTAGAGGAATGAGTATGCGGCGCTGTTCCTCCGATCCGAAATGATGGATCATCAGAATATCGGGAAAATTCCCGACTACGCTGTGTTCGTTCTGTAGATCATTGGCTAATCCCAATCCGCCGCCGTAGACTGGGTGAGACGCAAGGTGGTACCGGATGACCGCCATCCAGAGGTTAGTTTGGGGGTGGGACTTTCCGCCATAGATGCTGGGAAGGGCGAAGCGATAGAAGCCCGCTTTGTCTGCGATGGACCGAGCTTTCGCTGGAGTTCAAAGTTAGACATTTCCACGTTTTGTAGAGCCATCTAATGGTAAACTACATACTGAGAAGAATCTCCCATTCTATCGCTGGAAGCCCGCCCTTTCTCCAATCCGTTCGAGAAAATTCACGCCGGTGGTCAAAGAAGCGGTTGTTATCATCTGAATGCTGAAGGGGAAGGATCTCTGTATTAATGACAGACTCAAGGCTTCCAAGGAACTGGGTCAGATCGAACGGGACGTCGAAGTTCATCGTGCCTTTCTTGAATCGATACTTAGGGTAGACGGTGACCCGCGACAGCCATCGTTTCAAATCCGATGGATATATAGTTTCCCCGCATTTCGGTTTCGGATCTCGGCTCGGGTCGATCGCGGCATCTGTTCAGTTCGTTCTTCAATTGACATTTATAGTGAAAGTTGTTACTTCAATGGTGTTCTATCTCACCTGATATCGTTCACGTTTCGTAGAGTTATCGTGTATACTCTGTGGATATGGTGTTCTCCCAAGTGTGAGTGCCTGAGGCAAGCAGCCAAGCCGTTTGCTTGCCCCTCCCAAGGCACCTTGAACGTAGGCAACATCGTGGTAGATCTCGCTTCCTCCATCAGTCAGTTCAATCACTTCAGTATTCATTTCTCAACGAGTTTACTTAGCACGTCATTTTTGATCACTGCGATGCACCCGGCCCCTGGAACGTCTGCATAATTCATCCACATTCATATTCGGTCAAATTAGCGACTACGTCCAACAATATAGCTGTACATAGCGCTTGGCGAAACATGATCGCTGAGAAAAAGGTACGACAAGAAAGCGCACAATCGATTTACAAGAATATGCCTTGGCGAAGGGAATGGCAGATTCCCTCAGGCATCCAGGCTTTCCACAGTACTCCAGGTACCGAAAGCGACCACGCTCAGAAGCGGCTATGGATAAAATACACAGTATGTGTAAGTTTGGGTGAGTGGGCTGGCGTAGGGGGATATGCTACTTGTCTGCTAGAAAGATCAACAACACGTCACTTCGGAAACCAACGAAAGCCGACGATTCGTGAGACTTTCAGCCACGCTTTCATACAAACCTAAGGAGGTGCCCATTTGATGTTTCTTCAACGGAAGCTGACGATCGATTGGACCGGAAAACTTCCCGTGGTGGCCCGGACCGACACTAAGTGGAAACACAACCCTGTCATCTAGGTTCATCCACTCGTCAGGAAACATTCAGATGTAACAGTTGAAAGCCACACAACCTAATACTAGGGCCTAAGAAACGATCTGTGCCATGAAACTACAGCTCATTGACTTATACCGTCATGTATCTCCTACATGTAAAGGAAATACATGTGATAGGTAAGCTGTCTCCATGTGACCGACATTATTCTTGCATGCAATCCCAAATTCCCTGGACTTGAGAACAGAAGTACATAAACCGCCGATCAAAGCTATTCGAGAAGTGTGTGGTATTCCACTAACGGGGGTAAGTTCAGGGACAGAACAGCAAGTCATCATCTAACTCATTCCTCAGACACTCGCCCACGGGACTATACCTTTCCTACAGGCTCTTGTTCTCCGTCGTGATGTCAGGATGCTGAGATAGTCCAACAAAAATATCAATCAAGCGTTAACCTCTGACGCGCATGTAGGAAAAGAGAGTTTGTGGCACGGTCTGGACTACTCTGAGTGCTACATTCATCACGCAATACCGTAATTATGCCCTACTCGTTGTGGTCCCTCAATCTTGTCTATAAAGTGCAGCTCATCAACCACAGTTTCCCTGGAGATTAGAAGATTGATTATTCCTCTGCACTCCTCAGTCGTAGCATATCGTTCTCCACTCAATTTAATCCGCCCGTCAAATTTGCAAATACCATCGTATCCGTACCACCTCCACCGGCCACTACAATGCGTTTCTTTATGCTCCTAGTCGCCACACTCTGGATAACTATGCAATCTTCCAGTCGAAGTTCATCTTCCCACACCTCGCGCTCTTCGCCCTCCTCGCACTCACAGATCCACCAGCCCACCGTTAAGGGACACCGTGGCTAATCCGTATAACTATGACAAGTGATATTTACACCCATCATGACCAAGTTGCTCCCACATTCCAATCTAATGATGTGCAGTTCTGCAAAATGGAGAAAGTGTCAGGGAAAGATTGGTGTCACTTTTAATTTAATCACAGGTGGCCAGGTTTGCTGGATTCGTTGCTTTTTCCGGTTGTCTTGTCAACAAGGTGTCCCAATGTTTACTATCAGTGATTTATGCTTTGAAGGATCTCAAATTCTACACTCGCTTTGGTTCAGTGTCTTTCTGTAGATCTCTTTCATGAACTTCCTGTTTCGCGTTGCAATTTGGCACAAGGCTGCCATTCGTATCAGCCTCTGCCCCCTGTCCCCTATATGACATGCCGGTCTAGTCATTCAAAGACGAATCCCTTAAGCTATTGGCAAATTCTATCTAAGTTCCTACTCCACGTATTATAGATGGGATTCGAATCTCTTAACGATTCATCGGGCCTGTCGCTGGCGTTAATGCGCGGCTTGTAGACCTTTCCTAACGCCTAAGTGCTCCAAACAGATGCTCGATTTCTTGCTTCCGCCATCTAGGAATAGGGTTCTTTGGCATGGCTAGGGATGTGGCATTTGCCAGTCTACAGGGAGCATCTTCTTCTTTCCAACGAATCGTATGACTTCTTACCGGACCTGTGATCCGGTTATAGCCCAGAAGTTTATTTTCTCGTGTTAAATGATGAGTTTCCAAAACTTGAGATTCTAGAACAACAACTAGGCAACTCTCTCAGGCTACGAAAATATTGAACTTTCTCTGTATACTGGGCTATGGAAGGCCTTTTTTCAAGACCATAACAAACTCGCGTGCACAAGGGTTATCGGCGGACGTCATTACACGGTGAATTACCTGTTGATGATGATGTTGTGACTCACCACCACCCTAAATTGAGATAACCTCCGATCGATACTCCCGACTTCATTCAAGCAACATCATCGACTATGCCTGACAACTTTCTTTCGGAGCTCCCTTCGGGGACCCCCAATTAGGTGGCCACGAACGTGAAAGCCATCCAATCTGTCGTTAAACGGAATATGGATAGCCCATATATTGTTATATCCGACGTCAGTCCCGAGATTGTCGAAAGGCTGGTGGAGCTTCCACACTTGCGGCCCTTAAGGCCAGCAGAATATTTTATAGTGCCGATCTGAAACAATCAATCCTGACACTCCCTTCTAACCATCACGAGATTGCAAGTCGGACCTTTGAAAGAATACTCTAACACCATCTGCTCAAAATAAACATTGACGAAGAAATCATATTTGGCGGCGCAGGGCGAGTCAAGGAAGGCCCTTATTCAAAAGAGCCAAATGGATCATTGTTTCCACAACGACAAATTCAAGGAAGAGACCGAAAATGGCCAATCCTGGTAATTGAAATCGGTCACTCGGAGTGTATCCGTCGTCTCAGACGACAAGAATCGCTTTCGTTTCTCAAAATCGCGGGGTGCGCTATATGGACAGGTTTTCTAGTTTTGTTCCATGTGCGATGTGTTTCCTGTTGCCCAAAAGGGCCTGTGCTTAAAGATCCTTGGGCGAAACACGCTATGTCTTACCTGTGGGTCACAGTGTGGGTATCCGGAAACAGTTGACGAACCTTTATAAGATAGACTGAACAATGCGCTCCTACCCATAAGATGGGAATAAATGTGGTTTTTTCTCACATGATACCTACTGTATTCGAAAGTACAAGGAAACCCCGGAAGGTGAGAGCGTGTTTTGGAGGCTTTTATTTCATCTGTATAGATAGTTAAATATATCTATTCAACTAAGCAAGTAATCAATCCTCTTTCCTCTATCTAGCAAGTAGATATACGACTTACAATCGTGCAGATCTGTCTACTGTCTCCGTTACATGTGTCTCGTCCCACTTCTCAGCGACCTGATGTCATAGTCAGTCTCAAGGTATCACCAATCACGGCCAGGCAAAATGAAGAACACTTACATCAGCAATATGATCATATCCCAGCAGCTTCGGCGCCAGACCCGGATCTCGCCACGCCAAAGCCTCGCCTTCCGGCGTCGGCACCATTTGCATCTTACGGTCCCGTTCTTCCTGCTCCGGTCCGTCATGAAGATGGTAGAGATACTGTTGCGTGTTTCCTCTCTCGACGACCATCTTTGTGCGCTGTTTGCGACACTTCTCGAACACTGATAGTGCGTAGCGTTTTGCCGATAGAAATTCAAGTGAGGACTTGGATGTTCCAGGGGCGTTGGGGAGTCTGGAAAGACATTCACCGAGGACGGCGCCGTCTTCAAAAGCCATTCCGGCTCTGTTGTGTATTAATGTTAGTTTGGCGTTCTCATAGTATAACACATTAGGATAGAGGGAAGATTGGTACCCGGATGCTAGATATGGTAGCGTAGCGTGAACAGAGTCGCCGAGCATTACCCATGCTCCGGAGGGATGGGTCCAGTCATGGTCGCCATAGCGGATGCAGAGTCGCCATTTATGGACGGATTGGCACAGCTTGAGGAGTTTTTGGATCCTAGCAACTTAGTAAATCAAGACTGGAGAGAACAGTGTCAGGCAGCGCTTACCGTGGATCCCATCCCTCGAATAACGCGCACATCTCCTCCACGTTCCCTGCAACTGTCGATGCGAGCGACTCCTCGGGAATATCGTCTGGTACGAGAAGAACCATGTTGAAGAGGTCGCCTCCGCGGAGGACGTAGTTCACTTTACTTGTTAGTTCTCCTCTTTCGGGTGTCAACGCAATGTACATACCAGCATGCGCATCCGGTCCGAGCCAATAATTTACCTGCGGGTCTGTCACGAAACCTTCCAGCTCTGGATCCTTCAGCATTTCCTCCGTCGACAATAGAAGTCTATATGCAAGATCCCCCGTCTTGACCGGTGGATCTTCCCGTCCCAGTAAAGCCTCTGTCAACTTGCCAAACACTCCATCCGCACCGATCACCAAATCGGCCGTCCATTCTCGCCCGTCCGCAGCGACAGCAGTCGCTGTTTCGCCTCCGGGCGACACTCTCACGTCTTCAATCCGCGTATTGCAAGTCATCCTGGCGCCGACTTCGAGCGCCCGCTCTACTAGACACCGGTGGAGATCCGCACGATGAAAATCACGATACCATGTCCCCGGGTATTGACTCTCCGACGCGTGGAAGTCTAGAGCAGAAATGTGGTTTCCTTTCCATCCGATAAAATTGCATACTCGAGGGTAGGTCATGTATGGTTTCAGCGTCTCGCCGAGACCCCAGTGTTGAAGAATGCGAGAGGAGTTGGGAAGGACTTGGATGCCAGCGCCGATTTCCTTGATTTCGGGGGCCGCTTCGAGGATGTGAACATCGTGACCGGCGAGGGAGCAGCTGATTGCGGCGCCGAGGCCGGCAAGGCCAGCTCCGACGATGATGGTCTATGATTCCGGCTCAGCTGTTGTCGTGAGGGGAATACGAGCGGTAGGGAGGGGATGGAAACGTACCTGTAACCGCGAAGACTCATCGCGGTGCTCTTTTTGCTTGACATGGATTGGTGGTGCCATTGTGCCCTCTCTTTTCGTGGATCGATTGAAATCTGAGTTTGATTCTGCCCAAGTTCAGCATCGCTGCTGCCTCTCAATTTATCTTCGGTATGGTACCTTGTGCCTGTCCTACGTGCCAAAGATGGGGGTTAGTCGCTTATCAGGATGGGGTGTACGGAGGCATCGTATATCTACCTCGAGAGGTCGGAGAGATGTCCAGAGTATCGTAAGATCAAGCTACACATTGTCTACCACCATGTCTCGAGTAAGTGGCCCCTTGCAGGACTATGACGATAGTGGTTGCTGACCGAGCAGTTCTCTCTAACCGGTCGCACTGCACTCGTCACTGGCGGTGCTCGAGGCTGTGGCCTGGCGTTCGCGAGAGGGCTCGCTGAAGCTGGGGCCAATGTAGCTGTGTTTGATATTATCGAGCCAAGCGAAGGGTTTCATTCTATGGAAAAGGACTATGGTATTCGCACAGCATTCTACAAGTCCGTTTCCCACCATCCTTCTCTACAAACCGACGTCGCCCACTAATAAATCTTTTGTGTACTGCAGAGTCGATGTTTCCTCTCAAGAGTCTCTCGAAAACGCCTTCAAAGCTTTCCAATCTGACTTCTCCAATGCCCTGGACATTTGCGTCCCCTGTGCTGGGATTAATCGCCACCTCCCGTTCCTTGAGTTCACCTTCAAAGACCACCAAGACCTATTATCAATCAATGTGATGGGTCTGTTTTTCACGGCCCAATTAGCAGCGAAGCAGATGATCGCCAACGGGACCAAACATGGCAGTATTGTCCTAGTGGCGAGCATGGCGAGCCACGTTGCCGTCAGAGATCAGCTTTGTAGCGCATACTGTGGATCCAAAGGGGCTGTGAGGGCGATGTGTCCGGCTATTGCGAAGGAGATGGCGCCTTATGTGAGTTGTCAATATGCTTGCTTCTTCGGATTTCTGGGACCAAAATATTAACAGAGGCTGTGACAGGGCATCCGAATGAATTCAATCTCTCCAGGATATGTCCGCACCGAGATGACGGCCGCGGTAAGTTTCTGCTTTCGGATGGCCATCATTCTATGTTCGGCTAACATATTTAGTTCCCCCATCTTGTGGAAAATTGGAAAGCCGACGCGATGAACGGCCGGATTGCCGAACCCGACGATATCATGGGGGCGTGCGTTTTCCTGGCCAGCGACGCAAGCGCATACATGACCGGGGCAGATATTGTCGTGGATGGGGGGGTGACGAAGTGGTAGGCTACTTTGACAGGGATCATATCGAGTGTTATCTATCGGGAGAGGATTATCAATCAACTCGATAGGGTCTATCTATGTGTGGGGTAGTTAGCGTGGGAGCTTGTGAGAGGGAAAGAGTCCATCCACTTATGCACGCAAGGGGGGCCAAGGGTGGGGGTGAGGGGAATCTCCCGGTCGATGTTCTCCAACTCTAGCTGGTTTAGCTGAAGTCACTTTACTCCAAATCTGGCTCGCTCGTATAGCTTCTTTGAAATAAAATCTTCCTCGCGTCTTTCAATCTCCTATCGCTACAGTCAATTTATGCTGAACCGAAAGACAAAGGAATAATGTCTCCCAGCTCAGAGAACGGCCTTCACGAGGAGTCCACGACGGTCGTTGTCGTCGGCGCAGGGCCCTCGGGGTTAATGCTAGCGTAAGTGTTCCGTCCGACACAGAATCATTGCACTCAAACTCGAAGGCAACAAAGAGGCAAGCGATCGTGAAGTTAACAAGAAAAGATGCAACCTGGTCCGCTACGGCATCAACACCGTCCTCTTCGACGACCGCCCCGACAAAACCTCTACAGGAAAAGCAGACGGCATGCAGCCAAAGACCATCGAAACATTTCGTCAATTGAGACTGGCAGACCCATTGCTCAAGAACGCAGCGAGAGTGCATGACATTGCCTTTTGGGTATCCCACCTCCATTTTATGTTCTGAAGTTACTTAGCGTAAGGGCCAGACTGATGCATGACATGGCAAACCCTAGGAATCAACTCCAGACTCCTCCCTTCATCGAACCGGTCGCAAAACGCATTATCCAGACCATCTCGTCGGCGCTGCGGATCCGTACATTCTACTAGCGCATCAGGGGATGATTGAGGATATTTTGATCCAGGATATGGAGGATAGAGGGGTGGGTGTACGACGGAGCAGTCCGTTTGTTGGATGCGAGCGGTTACCAGGCGGGAAGCTGCGCGTGGAATATGAGAATGCACCCAATGGAACGAAGAAGACAATTTTGACTGATTATCTGATTGGGTGTGACGGTGCGCGGTCGAAAGTGCGAGAGTTCATCCCCGACACGCAGTTGGAGGGAGATATGACGAATGCCTCGTGGGGTGTTCTTGATGGTATGTCCGGTCGATGTTCTACACACTGTTGGGTTTACTCTGACGATCGCTATGACTAAATAGGAGTGATTGAAACCGACTTCCCTGATCTCTGGAGCAAGGTCGCCGTCCGATCGCACACTGCAGGGTCGATCTTGTGGATTCCGCGAGAGCGCAACATGACCCGACTGTATGTGCAATTATCTTCGACCGATGGGGAGCGCGTCGACAGAAAGATGGCGACACCAGAGTATGTTATGAAGCGCGCAGCAGACGCCATGCACCCATTCTCTCTAAAGTGGAAGACGATCGAGTGGTTTGGTAACTACGTTGTTGGTCAGCGTGTCGCGAGACATTTTAGCGATGCAGAGGGGAGGATCTTCATCGCAGGTGATGTGAGTATCTTCAGCGTATACGATTCCATGGGTTGTATGATCTAACAGGGAGATAGGCTGGACACGTACATTCCGCCCTTGCGGCCCAAGGGGCGAACACGAGCATGCACGATGCCTTTAACCTGGCTTGGAAACTGAACCTGGTTGTTCGCGGCCTTGCATCCCCATCGCTACTCTCTACTTATGAGGAGGAAAGACGGAAGATCGCCTCTGACCTGATCAACTTCGACGCTGGGCACTGCGAGGCCTTCGCGCGGGGGGATGAAGCACTTGCCAAGAATTTCGACGACAACATCCGTTTCATTTCTGGCATTGGTGCGGAGTATAGTCCTGGAATGCTAACGGCGCAAGGGATAGGGAAGGGTAAATTAAAGCCCGGTGCCTCGATGATTCCAGCTAGGGTGACACGGTACATCGACGCGAATCCGGTGGATATCCAAATCGACATCCCGATGCTGGGACAGTTCAGACTATACTTTTTTGTTCCTGATGTGAGAGCGGGAATGGGGTTTCTGGAAACGGTTTGCCAAGGCGATACGACAGTGGGCAGTTTGGCATCAACAGCTGCACAATCCTATGCCGAGAAGCCCCGAGGATATGCGCCCTCTGATGAGTTCTTGCAACCGCAACGATATACCCCGATCTCGGACCTGGTCACATATGCCCTTGTCACGAAAACAGAGAAAGCCCAGTTCGAGATTGCTGATTTACCAGAGGCACTTCGGAAGAGTCGCTGGACCATGTATCTAGATAACGGCGATACAAGGGGCTGCACAGAGAGATGGATGGGAGAGCTAGACAGTGGGAAGGTTGGCGTTGTTGTTGTAAGACCAGATGGGTATGCCGGTGCTCTTGGATCTTGGACTGTTGAGGAAGGAAATCAGGCCAGACAGTGGGTCGATGAGTATTTTCAAGGATTTGTTTAAGTGGCGTGTTGCTACATCTGAGACGTTAGACATGAATACAATTACACTCTCATACGTCGCCAGCTAATTATTGTCTTGCCAGAATATATTTTCACGTTATCTTCATGTTGAAACAGTCACATAACCAGCCAAGCAAAATGCGCCCGGCAAAGTCCCATTGAGAATAAGTTTCTTGATGTTTGCGTAGAGGTTTCTATCAGTGAGAAAGCTGTTGTCATGTTTGAGCCAAATATTGTCATTCGCATGTATTAAAAGATTGAGTCTTGGTGGGCCTATTTCCACACGGGGCGTGTTTGCCACCACGGCAAAATTAACCTAGAGCAGCACTCCACTAACTTGCTTCGGAATAGTTAGTGCCTTAATGCCTTGTTGGTCTTTAAACACGCACCACTGTTTCATCAACAAATTCAGCGGAAGCGCTATATTCTCTCTGCAATAGCTGGGTTAACAACCAAAAGATGTTATGAGCATCTCCTAATTCGTATACAGTAAACAGAGAGCAAGTTAATTTTATTTTTGTCCAGAACAGATGGACCATTGAATATGTCTAATTAAAACTTGTCTTCTAGGAGAGAATGCACACCTCACACTGGAGGCTATATCTAAGCGCAAGATTCGGATCGTATCAACCAAAATAAGATGAATAGTAAGGCATACGGCTGTTTGACAACAAAGGCCAAGCCGTGTACGGAAGTAGGTCTCAATGTCATCGTCAACGTCGGAGGCCCACCCGCCACGTAATCTTGAATTACTGGCCATCGCTGAAGATGTCGTGCTGGGCGCCTAGAGAATTTCAATGCCGATTAGCAACCAAGCTCTCGTAAGTGTGAGGAGCAAAAGCGATCATTACATACCGGGCTGCCAGCCCCAGCTTTCACTATAGGTCGGGGTCACTCCATCAAGGGGTTTGACGTTATCGCCGGATTTTTCTGCAATCAAATAAGTTAGAGATGTGACGATCAGTATTCCATCTTGAATACTCACGGTTCCACGCAATCATCTGCTTTGCACCCTCAACACACTCGGATTCGTCGTCGGCACAGTACTTTGGAGGTTGTGCGGAGCTGAGGGTTTTCGATGAGGTCGCGCCGGTAACATGGCATTTGAAGCCCTGCATGTACATGTTTGGTTGGCCGCATCCGATGGGGACCTGGTTGAATTATTGTAGAATGTTAGGAGGGATTCCTTGAAAAGAGCGAGGGTCTGATATATAATCTTACCCAGAGCCATGCACAGGTGCATCCGTCCGATGGGCACTCAGAGAGGTCAGGGACCTCGTAGGTTGCCAGGCGCTTCCAGGGGGTGCTTCAGAGAGGAGGAGCGGTTAATACAAACAATATCTGGTTGGGAAGCAGAGTAAGGCAACCTACTGTTCGAGAACAGAGAAAACGACCAGGTTCTCCATAGTGACCTGAGCCATGTCAGATTCGTAGCTGATGGCAAAGGCAGTGCCACCAGCCATAGTCTGGTTGTTCGTGTGCATGGCGCCGTCATCCTGAATACAGTCAGATGGGTTACCGGGACCACTCCAGTCCTCTGGATGATCCTCGCCATCTGGCCAATTAGTTACGAACTGGCCATCAAACGACAGAGTCGTGAAGGCACGGTTGTGAGCCAGCTCAACCGTGAAGTTTCCGTTGGCTGGAAGCTCAAGACTGTCACCATCCGCTGGAGGAGCGTTGTCGCAGCCACGATCATGCTGGAACCACCACTCCGATTTTTCCAGCTGGAACAATGGAGCTACAGCGGTGTTGGTGTTCTGGTCCTCCTCGCCGGAAGTGCCGTTCAGGCAGTACATGCCTTTCGCCCAAGCAGCCACATGGGCGTTGGCTACGGCAGCCAGGGCCAGGAGAGCAATAGGTCGAGACATGATTGAGAAACAATAACAAATCAAACTTGAATAATTTCAATGAGCGACTAACGAGTTCCGGCTGACCAGCAGCAAAGGAGAGGATACGAAAAGAGACAGATAAAAGAGAGAAAGGAGCGAAAAATGAAATGAGCTGACGAGCTGGTATTGGTCGTGAGTTGACTCCTTTTTATATGGCATTGTGTGGATGAGTATCTGCGCCAATACGACCCTGCAGTCACTCGGCAGCCGGTAAGCCGTTAGCTAAACTCAAAAAATGCCGCCCGACATGCCTATATGAGAAAGTGGTCTCGTTCGCCGAGAGTAAGAGAAATTAGAGGACCCTTATTTCATCCTTCGTGTTCTCTGACAGCCAATCGATCATTTTCACCCCACAGGGTGGATCATCACAGGGCGATGTTGAGTAATCTCGGAATACCGTCCAAGCGCTTCCGATATGTTCTAGTGTTCTACACAGTGCAAATTATGTTGCATCGAATATGCAAAATGGAGGCCTTACTGGGCTCATGATAAATAGCTTTGCCTGCCCGGCTCAGGTACGAATTCGACATGGAAGACTGGTTCTACGTTTCTCGTCACTCCTTTGTTCCTTGACTTCCTGGCTTCCTTAATTTTATGCACTCGTTTCTCAACCATATTTCGTTTTTCGGAGACCTTTGATTAGGCAGCTGGCTGCTGAAAAACAAAACCCTGCAAATTCCTCGAAATGCGCGCGATATCGTTCCAAAGTGCCCCTCTGTGGCTTTCAGCTTTGCTGGTTGCCCCAGGGGAAGCGTTCTTTCGCATGCCTTGTCCGAGTCGCTTGGTCCAAGAGCGTGCTGATCCCATCGTGAACCCGGGAGCTGTGGCTGCCCATGTGCACACAATTTCAGGGGGCAGCGGTTTCTCGTTTGATATGGACTATGAGGATGCGCGAGCATCACAGTGCTCGTCTTGTCCAATCAAGCAGGATCTGTCTAATTACTGGACGCCTACGCTTTACTACCACGCCGAAAATGGGAGCTTCATCAGCGTTTCCCAGGCCGGTGATGGAGATGGGATGACCGGCGGGATGACGGTATATTATTTGTTGGTCATCCAGTTCTCCTGTATTTTTGTGTTCAACAGCGCAATGAAAGCAAACTGACACTGTGTGGCACTAGACAGAGACCTGGCCCGAATGATGACAAACTTCATGCCTTCCCCAAAGGATTCCGAATGCTCGCGGGCGACCCCATGAAGCGGAACAATACCGATGACTTCGAATCTCAGGCGGTTAGCTATGTCTGTCTGGACTATAATGGCCCTGCAAAGTCGGAGACAAACGCTTTCCCTGATTACAATTGTCCCGACGGCCTTCGTGTGCAACTGTTCTTCCCTTCCTGTTGGGATGGAAAGAATCTCGATTCTCCTGATCACCGCTCTCATATGGCCTATCCTGTCTCTGGCGCTTATAACAATGGTGCTTGTCCCAAAACCCACCCGGTACATATGGTGTCGCTTTTCTATGAGGTTATTTGGCAAACAAATAAATTCTCCGATCAATGGTATGGAGAAAATCAGCCATTCGTCTTTGCTCACGGTGATCCAACGGGATATGGAATGCATGCCGACTTTGTACGTATCGTGATCCCATTACTACAGCATTTTCCTTCAAACTGACATATGGCTCTAGGTGAATGGGTGGGATGTGGATGTCTTGCAGAAGGCGGTGGATGTCTGTCTGAACGACAGTGGGCGCATTGAGGACTGTCTCACCCCCGACGGAGAATCAGTTTTCGAATTCTTCACCGGCGAGGAGTGCCAAGCCTGTAGTGTACCCTCCTATGTCGACGAGCAGATTGACGGCATCCTCGAGAAGCTCCCCGGTTGTAATCCGGTGACTCATGGACCGGAGCGGGCTGAGCATGTTTCCTGCACCACAACTCCCATAGGCAAGGCGGCTCCATACTTCACTGACCTCACTGAGAAGGCATGGGAATACGTGGGCTGTGGAATAGACAAGTATGACAATCGCACGTTCGCAGGGGAATCAACTCGCGACGACAAAATGACTGTGGAGCGCTGCGTGGAATTCTGCACTAGCAAAGGCTTCGATTACGCTGGCCTGGAATATTCATCTGAGTAGGTTACTCCTGGTACGCGGAAAAGACTTTGCAGTCGCTGATGCTTAATAGGTGCTACTGCGATAATTCGATCCCGGCTGATCGGCGTCCGAAAAAGGGTTTTATGGGAAATTGCCAGATGGCATGCTCGGGCGATAAAGCCCAGTTCTGTGGCGGTGGTAGCTCCATGTCCATCTACCATAAATGCAATGGTGAGGGCAAATGCGAGAATAACGAGGGTGGCTCGCCTGGGAAGCTGAAGAACAACACGGAGACGGCTAGGATCAAGCAGCACTTGCACCGGCATGCCGAAAGCAATCTTCATCGGCTTTCCATTTAAGTAGGGCAGGTACGGACCAGTAAGCGATTTGGTAAACTGGTGTCAATCCTGGTGGTGGGGACACCATTCAGTATCAACTTCGGTCTCTGCAGGTTGATCTGAGAAGCAAACACTTCGAGTGGTAGCGCGGCAGGTTAGGTCGTTTAATCGTGTCTTATTAAGAAGTATATATCGTCTCAACAAGTATGTAAGAAGTAGAACCGAAAGAAGTCAAGAACAAAGAGGCACACTCCTGCCTATCTACCCTTTCGCAGTCTCCCAATACATCTCCGGAATCTCAGGCCACTCATCCACCCCGTCCAGCATTGCCAAACCCATGCCCCCACTCAAATGCACCTGAATATGACAATGCAACAAAAACGCGCCCGGATTAATAACGTGGTACCGGATCGCGAGCCACGTCGGCCCCGTTGCTGCCGGCGGCGTCACAAACGTGTCTCGGATCTGCGGGTTCACGAAATTGAAGCTCTCGGGTATGTGCTGTGCTGCTTCGGCGACGGTCGAGTAGTTCCATACCCCATTGCCCTGGCCAAGCACGAAGAACTTGTTTGAGTGTTTATGGAACGGGTGAGGCGGTTGGATGGGCCCTGTGACGGCGAAGACGATATCGACCCAGGTGTTGTTCTTCGTGGAGATGGTAAGGTCCTTTTGCTCGCTTGCGGTGAGCGGGTAGAAGAGGAGTGGCGAGGCGTCCTCGAGGGAGAGAGGGTAGCTGGAGTTAGAACCGCCTTGGATCCAGCGGTAGGAGGCGTTGTAGCGCGCGATGTTGAGGATGTGTGTCGCGACGACGTCTTGGGACGGCATGATGGCCGGGAAGGGGACGATAATAGATTCGTCCAGAACGGTGGCGCTCTTGGATAGCGGCGCACCGGTCATGTCGATTTGGGGGATGGAGGGGCCTTTCTTGGTCTTGAGAGGTGCTGTGTAAGACATGGTGGCAGTTGTGTTGAGGAGCTGGTTCACGCCTGTGTTGGCGACGCGCACCGTGTAGTCGCCCGCCGGCTTGTTCAGTTTCACGAGGACCGAGTAGCGGCCGCCGTTAGAGATGGTGATGGCGCTGACCTGGGTTGGAACAATGTAGCGGCCGTCAATTGCGTAGACGTACATGAGGTGCTCGTCGATCGAGAAGGTAATTGTGGACACGCCGGCTGAGCTGAGCAGGTCGAAGCTGGCGTACTTCTCGATGGGGTTGACCAAAAGACGTTCGTGTTGACCTTGCGAAGGGGTGCAGCCCGAGAAGACGGATGGCGGAATTGCGCTGTGATTGTGCGGGAAGTTGCCTTGCAAGCTCGTGAGGGTAGGGGGCATGCATCTGTTACGGTCAGAAGGTCTTTCTTGGTTGCCTAACTGACATGAATACCGCCTTACCCAATGTCCGTGAGCTTGCTGCTGTTACCCAGCACCTGTTTCATAGCGGCCGTGGCATGGGCATTCAAGAAATCCACCCCAGGACAGCCAATGTTGCCTTTGCCGTTCACGAGAAGAGCATTGGCGCAGAACGAGTCACGTCCCATGGCTTCCTCGGCATGCCACAGCTCCTCCGAGGTAAGCTGACGCCAGTCGGAGAGTAGGACCGGGCGGGTTTTCTCCTCTGCTGCTTTAATTGCTCGCAACTCGTTGGTGTTGTTGGTGATGAATTTAAAGGGCTTTTCCACCGTATCTTGGGGTTGGATATAGATCGCGCCGTACAGCCCATCCTCGACCTGTCCACGGCGGTGGGCGTGATAGAAGTAGCTGCCGTATTGCGTCGCCGTCCATTTGTAGAGGAATTGGTCGCCAGGCTGTATGGGCGTTTGCGAAAGACCGGGGACACCATCCGACCAGGGTGTGTCAGATTGCTCAATTCCTTAATTGGTATTAGCGAAGCATTTCGAAGTCAAGGAGGATGGGGCTACCGTGGAAGTGAACAGTTGTTGCGGTGGGAAGTTTGTTGATGACCAAAAACTCCACGTCGTCTCCTTGTCGCAATTCCAATGTCGGTGCCGGGAATTGGCCGTTCGTGAGGATGGTCTTCCTAGAGATACCGGCGGGCGCCCAATCCTCCCATGTCAAAACAACCTCGAAGCGCACTGTGTTACCGGTACGCTTGACCAGCTGGTCATGTCCACGCGCCTGAGACACGAGGCATACCAAGGACGCCAGCAGAGCCAGCAGAAATTGCAAACGCGCCATGCTGGACGTCTAAAAATTCAATGCAAAAACTTCCGACCGGCGCGGAAGGGAAGGGGGTCTCTCTGAGTCTTTAAAACTGTCTACAATGCAAACCCTAATGGGGGCGCCGAGACGATGGGTCGGCCACATCTTGAGTTTTCGACCGGTGGCGTCCGTAGAAAACAAACTATCAGGTCCATTTAGTGACTCGCAAGTGCCCGATCTAGAAGATCTTCGGCACTAGCGCCATGATAGCCTTGCGAGACTGTGGGCCCGAAGATCCAGCTGAGAAATGGCACACGCTGGTAGGTGAAGAATGGGAAGGGTACAGATCAGACCAACATTTGGGCTTGAAAGCAAGGTCTCCGTACTGTTGGGCCACGTATCTGTCATACAGTGGTAGTCTAAGGCTTTGTGCATCGTCACAAGCTGCTGGAACTGTTGTTGTGGTGAGAAAGGGGCAGGAATGATTACCGAACTATGAGTGCCGAGACGGAATTCCGCCCCACAACAAATCGCGATCGATCAGTCGCCCTAGCCGGCAAGTTCGATTCACGTCCCTAATTCGGAATGACTCTCTGAGGAATAAAATACACAAATAGCGAGAAGGTGCAGAGGCGCAAACCATATCCCGGATGTGCACGGCATGTGGAGTGTGGGATTGTCTCAATTTTCTCGCTTATATGCAGTTTTCGGCCAACAACCGACCATCCGCATGCCAGCAGTCGGTGGAGCATTCCCGGTGTCGTCCATCGATCAAAGCCCGAGCAAAGTCCGGGGGCCATGGCATACTTTTAGACTCGCAGATCGGGTCTTTATTTGACTTAACTAGTGGGCTTGGTCCGAGATGTTGCAGGGATAATTCAGACGTTCTGCACCACTGTCCTGCGTTCTTCGTGCCATATTTCGAAACGAGAGCTTCATCCTAATTGTATTTGACACCTTGGCCAGTCAAAGAAAGTCCCCGTAGGCTGCGGCTGCCCATATGAGATTAACCGATTTTATGAACCTGCGTCGTAGCTGTGCGAAATGTGCGAACCGCGCTCCTTTGTTTGCGTCTTTTCTGCTATCCTTGTCGCCAAGATATACACCAGACACCTTCACCACCTGAGCGGGCCATAGAGATATTACCATTGCTAAAATAAGTGAGGCACCGGCAGACGAGGCGTCTGAGGTCCTTCTGCTCCTCCAAAGGGATGTAATCCTCGGCCCCCTTCTCCAACTTATAATGTATACCTGAAAGACGGGTTTTGTCTGTCGGTACGATTCAAACTGTCCTCTGTCACGTAATCCTCTGCGGCTTCCTGATTAGGGGGGCCGTATTTCCTGTCGCGTCGTCGATTCTCGTACTCGTAGTAGATATATAAAAGGATGAGGAAGAAGATTGCTAGAGCGAATCCAGCTAGAACTCCTCTCAGTCCGGTCTATTTTATACATTGTTGGTTCGGTGAGTCATTCCAGGAGACAGAACGAAGGGGAATGGTGATGGGGCGACGAGCTCATGGGCAAATAACTAAACAAACAAACACACGCACATGCACAGCACACACAACAGCAAACTTACAGGATACTTTGGAGCCTCATCAGCAAAGAACAACTGAGGTCCAATGATATTCCCCGTACAATACGCGAGAAACACCATTGCCGAGACGGTTGCCTTTTTCGTGAAACCCCCGACATTCGACGTGATCAGACTCAAAGAGATGGGAATACTAGTGGCAAACGGGCCCAACAGGAAAATCCCCACCCAGCGTCCCCAGCGGTTGGAATCAGGTAAGGTGTTCATCAGAATCACGCCCACGAGCGCAAACACGATCACTACGATCATCGTGATGATCCGGCTTTTGGGGACGTAGGTGGCCGCGAGGCAGATGCCGCCGATGGCGAGGATCTGGAGAAGACCGCTGGGGGCTGAGAGGAGAAGGGAATTGAGCTCACTGAAGCCAAAGCCATTGATGATTATGCTGCTGAACTTTGGTTTGGGTTTGCAGTCAGCGGTGTCAGTCCTGCAAAGGTATGCACATGCGGGACAGAGAAGTAAGAGGTCTTGTATGTATGTTGTGCTGTACATACCGAACTGAACCCTCCATTCGGGATATTCTGAGTGAGACTATAACCAACCAGCAACCAGGCCTGTGGATCCGTCAGTGCATCCAGCATCTGGGAGACCTTGAAGTCCCCTTCATCCATCACACCAGTCCGGTTCTCCAAGGTCCGGTGCAGTGCGATCTTCTTTTCAGCGGCGGTCAAGAACCAGGCTTTCGAGGGCGAGTCGGGGAGAATGAGCCCCAGGAAAATGCCATACGCGACGGTAATCACACCGAGGATTATAAAGAGTAACTTCCACGCGGCGATATGCGAGTCAATCCGGCCAATTCCGTACGCGATGAGACCGGACACGACATTGGCGACGGCGTTGCCGAGAAACCACAGTGTCATACGTGACGGCTGCTCCGAGGTCTTGTAGAACATCCCCGTGATGAGCGAAAAGCCCGGCGCCACCGCTGCCTCGGTGACGCCTAGGAAGAAACGGGCGGTTAACAGGCCGCCGAAGTTGGTGCAGGCCGCGTGGGTGGTTAGCACCACGCCCCAGAGGGCCACGGAGGCCCCCAGGTACTTGCCCAGCGGGAAGCGAACGGAGATGTAGCTGCTCGGCCAGCTCCAGAAGAGATACCCAAAGTAGAAGACGGATGAGCACCAGCTATATTCGCTACCTCGGAGGTTCTAAAGGATAAAAGCTCATTAGAGGCAGGTCGTTTTGATACATTTTCAAAGGAATTGTTTTTGCACTTACAAGATCTGCTCTTATGTTTAACTGGGTGGCGTAACCCAAAGTAACCTTGTCCATGTACTGAAGCATGTAGCATACAGCCATAACTGGTATGATGCTAGCATATACTGTGAGTTATCACCAGAACGCCGTACGAGAAATCATGCTAGAAAGGCCGACATACTGCATATCAATTTTCCGAAGAATTGCCTTCTCTTCTTTTGGAGTGGCCTCTGCGTGGAGGACTTCGACGACTTGGGCGTCTAATTGGGTTACGGACGGATCATTGGTAGAGAGGGTGGCTCCTTTTTCCATAATCGCGGTACCGGTGTGATTGGTGTTTCAGCATTGAGTTACTGAAGCTGACCTACTTTGTCGCTCTCGGGACCTGATAACTGTTAATATATTCTTGACAAGAAAGCCGATGTCGCAAGAGCGTGTCAAAATTGCCTACAAACTAGTGATGGGTAGCAATATCGATCCTGAATCACAACATCGTATAGCCCTAATGCAGGAATGGCGCAATAGCTACTCCATATAAATCTCTGGCCATAACTTCCTTCCCCGCACGGCACGCCGTTATATGCTTTTCTCTTTCCTTTTGGTCAATGAATGAATGTGCTACTCGCGATTCGATTTTGACTCAATATCTTGGGTTCCCAAGGATACATCTCTAGCTACACCTTTTGTATTTATTTAGTTTGTTAATTACGATCTGCTATTCACTTGAAACCTTCGCCCTGTGTCGTGACCGGCCCGAAGTGCTATTCACGGCATGGCAAATGGCAGTAGTGTATTATACTTATTACCAGGGCTTTTAATAGTAGTCCTTGCTTATTATAACTGCTTTAGCGTGCGGAGATAAAAGGAAAGAACCAGTCGAAAGCATGCAATAACTGGTACGAGCCCATATGGTTTCTCTTTACCTTGTTCCTTCGTTGCCCTCCCATAACTAGGCGAGGTGAATGCAGAAATCTTGTAGCACAATACCAAAAAGGAAATGCATATAGGACATGTTTATCAATGAGCCCTCTCACCTGACATGACTGTTTTAGTATACCTTGTTAGGTATCCTCTCCAGTACAAATTTTATAGGTGATATTAGCATAGTTGAGTACTTTTGTCTTTACATTGTGTAGGACACGTCATGTTTTCACTGGGACTCAATGTTTTTGATAGTTTTCTATACCACCACTCGAGTGACACCGAATACATACGACCACAGGGTGTGGAGAACAGGGCTTCCCGTCCGCTCAGCCGTACTTAAGCCACACGCCGGCCGGTTAGTAGTTGGGTGGGTGACCACCAGCGAATCCCGGCTGTTGTATGTTTTTGCTTTCTATTTTCTTTTTGCCTCTGTCTGGTTGATTATGTAAACAAAAAAGGTTAACGTAATCAACAGGCGAGCAACGAATATGGGCGAGCAACGAGTTTTGCGTCGCACCCATTACTAAATGAAGCTATTCAATCATCAATTCCGTTAAATTGACTAGATAAATATATGAAAAGATAGCTATTTACTAAAGCAATTTCGAATTGTATATCCAACTATTCCACAATCACTACAACATTGCGAAACTCGTCAACAAGACATCAAAATTGTAAGACCCTCGCGATATATATCTAGCTACAAGACCATTCGCGGATGACTCAGCTGCGGGCTAAGTCATCGCACACATAGAACCCATCCTCGTGGAAGAACCACGTTGGCTTCTTCAGCGTTAATCTATCATATTGACCTTATTCTTGAAATGATACCTCGCGACATCTGTTTCTTAATCATTATTACCTTTCACACCTATCGCAAACCCCTTAGAGACCCAAGATCCTTATAATTTTAACGCTCAACTTCGCGATACGTCCGTTAGAGATAATGAAACCAAGAAAGACGACACGTCAGCATACGAAGTCTCGCGGGAACTCGCCGTAAGGCATTCATTACCTTCGCGAAGAGAGAGATAATCAAATCATCCTTAATCTTAGCGAAGGGACCGGCCATTCGCGATTACCAATATCGGCGACCGAAGCTGGCATCCCGATCGCGAGCCAGGACGACCAAGAGATGGTAAATTACGCGAATCTCTTTCTGGATGAGCTTCGCGAGAGAGCAGAAGCAATTGAAACTATCCGCAAGCGAGTCGAATACATCGAAATCATTGAGCGAGGTACCGTATCAGTTTCGCGAAAGCACGCGCGAGCAAAATCCCAGATTTACGCGACACTTCCGCCGAAACAATCTCTTCTTTCGCGACTATCTTCCAAGGAGGAACAGTACCGAATCTTAACCTATAAGAATTATTGCGAATTTACGCGAAAGATTAAACAATTCGAGGAGACAAATCAGCTCGTGAAAAGAGATTATTTTAATTTTGTGATAATGTATTTGGACACTACCCTACAAGGTCTATAGGAACTCGAGAAAGAAATCAACCCTTCGCAAAATTGGGAAAGTCTTTGCCAGTTCTTATTAAGGCAGTTAAAGGATCCTGCGGATAGGCAGCATGTAATATGGACAAAGGCCCTTCGCATGCGACCGCATGATGAAAAAGAGGAATTCGCATATCTTAATAGATGACGCGAGCAGTGAAGCGAACTAAGATCAAAAGGATTCTCCGCAAAGAATATCTTACTCCGTTTATTTTACGAGTCCTTTCTTTTCACGATTCGACAAAAGATTCGCGAGCAAAATCAATTCCCGAATACATCGACGGAATTGATATCTTTTATCGCAAAACTCCGACCGAGCCTGCCAGCGGCAAATCCGCGGATAATCACACATAAAGGAATCTTCGCGAGCCAAGGGAGCAAGCAGTATAGCAATTCACTGCGACCGATGCAGATTCGCGGAGGCAGCTCAAAAGGATTCACACAATAGAAGAGTACAAAAGGCTTCTCGCATATAATCAGCTATTAAGTAAGAAAAGTAAAGGGTCAACAGATAAATAAATCTTTCATCGAAGGCTGTTTCCACTGCGGAGAAGCCGGACATATTCGCGTGAATTGTCCGAGGCGCCTTAAGGAAGGAGGCGCGAAGACAACGTGAAGTGAAAAGCTCGCGACTATAGCATTTTTTCTTGCGAAGAGATTATTTTAAAACAAAAATCAACTTATCGCGGAACGCATGTTCTTGTCAATTAAGATAATGTTGCCTAATGAGATATCTATGGATCGCGAAACCTTGATTGATAACGGAAATCAAGTAAATGTGGTGCCGTCTTTACTCGCGAAGTAAACCGGATGGCGAATACTTCCGCATCAAATATTCACACGAACGATAAATAAGAAGAAATTACGAAATGAAAGTATCGCGGAGATCAAGGTTGACTTACAAGATTCGCAAGATAATCAAAAAAAGTTTTAAATACTCGCGGTGATATCTCTAGATGTAAAACAAGTGCTGTTAGAAATGTCTTGATTGAAGATTCATAATCCAGAAACGCGATAGGCGATTAAAGAATGCATCTTTCACGAGAAATCAATCGAAATCGACAAGATCTCCGTGGAAGACTTTATGAAAGCAATACGCGAAGATCCAAATTGACTATTTTGGGTCAACGTAGTCACCGCGGAGGAAGAAAACACTGGAGAAGATCTATTTGAATGATGCGAGGGATTCGCGAATGTTTTTTTAGAGAAAGAATCTCAGGAACTTCCGCTTCATTGTGAAGGGATAGACCTCAAAATCGACCTCGCGGAAAGAAAGGATCCTTTTTTTGAATCACTCTATCATCATTCTCCGCGGGAGATGGCAGCGATTCGCGAGTATGTTCAAACAATGCTCGTGAAAAGATGAATCCAACTGTCAAAGTTTTTCGCGAGTGCGTCACTCTTGTGTGTTCCCAAGAAGAACGAAGGAGTCCGCGTGTGCGTGGACTATCACGGATTAAATGAGATCTCGCGAAAGAACTGTTATTCACTCCCACTCATAAACAAGACTATCGCGAGATTGTTAGAAGCAATGATTTTCACGTAATTGGATCTTCGCGACGCGTATAACTGTATTCGCATCGCGAAAAAAAAGAAATGGAAAACAGCATTTCGCACGAAATATGGACTGTTCGAATACTTAATGATACTTTTTAATTTAACAAATGCCCCTGCAACATTCCAAAGATATGTGAATTGGGTATTTCGCGACTTATTAGATATTATAATGGTGATGTATATCGATAATATCATCATCTTTTCACAAAATAAAAATGTGTATCGCGAACACGTTCGCGAGGTGCTTGGCTGTTTACGCGAGATAGGACTTTACTGTAAACGGAGCAAGTGCATTTTCGCGACACAGAAGATCAACTTCCTAGAGTATATCATTACGCCTAACAGGATTGAGATGGAGCCCTCGCGAGTGACTATCATTCAAAACTGGCCGATATCAGAGACTATTCGCGATATCTTAGCATTCTTAAGATTCACGAACTGGTACCGTAGGTTCATTTACGCTTACGCGAGAATAACAATCACATTGACGGATCTCCTTTGCAAATCTGAAGGTGAAGCGATACGAACGGTCAAGGATTGAGGGAATATTATGACTCCGGAGACTCGCGAAGCCGTGAACCGACTAAAAGAATGATTCGCGGAAATGATTAGATTGAATCATTTCGTGGAAGAATTGATCTCGCGAGTCAAGACAGATACTTCGAAAAATGGGCTTTGCGGGATCTTGACGCAATTCCATCTCAGCGATCGAAGTTGGAGGCCGGTGACCTTTTTCTCGCGAAAGTTTATAGCCGCGGAGAGGAACTATATCGCGGGAGAGCAAGAGCTCCTCGTGATAATGGAAGCCTTTAGAAAATGGCGACACTATCTCCAAGGGGCATCGTAAAAGATGTAAATGATCATGGATCACAAAGCTCTCAGTGTTTTCCAAATGCCGATCAAGATACTTTCGTGAATGCAGATTTGCTGATTACAGTTCCTAGCTGGATTCCAATTCAAAATCATCTATCACGCAGAAAAGCTCAACTCTGCAAATGGTTTTTCGCGAAGAGTTGATTATCTGCGGAACGATCAACGCGAGAAGGACCGGGAAGAATATAACAAACGCGCGAAGCGCAAGTTGCTAGATCAACTGAGACTCGCGAACGAGCGTCCAGTTTCGGAGTATATTGCAGGCGAGGCCCGTGTTGCAAGCATTAAAGAAACGCGAGACAAGAAAGATCAATTGGGGCTCGCGAGCGAGCGTCCAGTCTCGGAGAATATCGCGGGTGAAATCTGAATTGCAAGCGTCAAAGAAACGCGAGGCAGGAATGACCAACTGGAATTTGCGAGCGAATATCTAGTCTCAGAGATTATTGCAAGCGTGAATTGTGCACGAGACAGAAGCGACGATGTCGCGAAAGCCCAATTAAAGAGAAAATGGCTCGCAATTGTGCATTCTATTGAAGGCAGAGGTCTCTTAAAAATGGAGCTTTCGCAGAAAGAGTTGCGCGAGGCTTGCGAGGAGGAAAGGCCATATCGTGTCGATCTCTCGCAAAGACTATTCGAAGAGCTTCTGAAGCTCTTTGCAAAAAATGAATTCGCACAGCAAGTCTGGAAGGCGATCAAGGAATTTGATGATTGCGGCAGAGACCCTTCGCAGACGAAGAGCATCCCGCGATCATGAAGAAGATGGCAATTGCGGAAGGATCTATTTTACCATTAAAGAAAACTGTACGTTCTAAATCACTACTGATTAAAGATAGAGATTCTCGCGAAGCTGCACAACGATTTCATCGCAGAACACTTTGCGGAAAAGAAGACCTATGAGCTAATGAGCCGAAAATTCTTTTGGCCAAAGCTCCGCGAGTTTGTTGTGGAATATACGAGAGCCTGCGGAGTCTGCCAGAACTCTCACGTACAAAAAAAAAAGAAATACGATTTGCTACAGTCTTTACCGATTCCAGCGAATCCTTGACAGGAAATCACGATGGATTTTATTACGGGACTTCCCGCGAATGTAAAACGCGAGAACTTGGAAAACTCGCGAAAACTATATGATACGGTGTTAGTGGTCGTGGACCGCTTGAACAAAATGATTTAGTTTATTCCAACGCGAAAGGCGTTGAAGGGAGAGAAACTCGCGTATATTTTTATTCACGAAATCTTCAGCCTTCACAGAGTGCCAGAAACGATAGTTACTGATCGCGAAAGCATATTCGCGAAAGGCTTTTGGTCAGACTTCATCTACTGTTTGTGAATCAAATATTTGATGAGCACTGCCTACCATTCGCAAACGGATGGGTAAACGGAGCGGTTGAATAATATATTAAAACAATATTTGCGAGAATATATTAACTTCTCGCAAGATGACTGAATAGACTATTTGCTTCTCGCGCAGTTCGCGTACAATAACGCGAAACAGGCGTCTATCAAAAGAACTCCGTTCCAGCTAGTCTACGGCACAGATCCTAAGGCGATCGCGATCGACTCGCTAATCCGCGAAAGGATTGAAGAAGATGTGCATACCCGCGTGTTGCGCATGAAAGAACTTCGCGAAGAAGCCCAAAAGGAAATTGCGAAGGCTCAAAACCAACAAGCGAAACATTACAATTCAAAATGAGTTGAAAAAGTGTTCGCGGTAGGAGATCATGTGTGGATTTCTAACACAAACTGATTGCGAGTGCGATCAAACAAGAAGCTAAATCAGCTGCGAATCGGTTCGCGAAGAATAGTTGAAAAAATAGACAAAAACGTCTATCGCGTGAACCTTCCGCCGGGCCTTCGCGTACACGACGTTTTTCATATATCAATGCTTCGCGAACATCGTGAAATGAAGAATGTGAACACTCGCGAACGGTATGAAACACGTCTCGCGAACAAGAGCGAAACGGAATACCAAATAAACAAGATTCTAAAGTCAGAAATAAAGGATCCCGCGAAGGTCAGAGTCAAGTGAACAAGCTATGCGAAAATCATTGAAGAATCTCATAAGAATCTACAACATTTACAAATCTACAAGGAATATTTTCGCGGCGGCAAAAACCCCAGTATTGAATTAATAAAAACGAAAAACATGGCCGTCGCGGGAAAAGAAACAAAAAGCACACTCGCGGTACAGGCCCAATATGATCCTCCGTTTCCGCCTCACGCGCGAGACACGGATCACCGCAGAAAGAAGTCCAGTACTATTCAATAGAAACAGAACAACTGCCGCAGCTAACGTTGGAGCGAACACGGCTTGTGACCGTTATAGATGCAGTTGTTGCATTTCTGTCCCAGTCCCTCAGAGATACACGCCGCAAACGTCACGGAATCAGACGAATTGCGACACAATTCACATTTCTGTTCATCAGAAGGCTGCTGTCCAGCGCGGGTGATCAAAAAGGCCTCTCGCATCTGCGCACGTTTTACCAACTGATCCAGGCTTGCGAAGCCGCACCAAAATACAGAACGCAAGACCGGCGCGTTTACCCAGCGGCACTCGCGGGACGACAGAGGCTGGCGTTTTGTCCATGGGGGGAGACCAGGGATCGCGACGGGATTGCGCCGCGTGGCCCGGCGAAACCAGGCTGCGGGAGGCAGTTCGACGAAATGGATCGAAGCCCACTTTTTGTGCGTCGCGACCGATAGAACCGGTCTGTCCCAAGCCTTTCTGGGAGTGCCCGGAAGAGCGGGAGGAGGTCCTGCGATGATCGCCCGTGGAATTGCGGGGCAGAGCGAGATGTTGCTCAGACGAAAACGACGACCCCGGGTCCGCACGAAGCGGACGGGGGCGGCGACCCAGGGGGCGGGGGGCACGATGGCGGAGGGTGCGGCGGGGGCGGCAGCAGCAGTGGCGGCGGGGGCGGCGGGGCCGGCGGCAGAAGGAACATTCTCCTCCGCGGAGGAGGTCTAAGCCAGGTCAGCCAAGAATCCCGCGAAAAGGAGGAAGCAAGCGAAAGGATCGGACGTTCAGAGCAGCCAAAGACCATCGCGTGTTATAGGAGGGTAGAGCCGGACGCTGCCTAGCAGTCAAAGGTTAAACTTCTATATAACTCCCTCGCGAAATCGCGAGACGCCGGCCACCTCTTCGCGAAGGTTGAATCAGACTGATGCACAGGAGATCGCGGAAAACAGTCGCAAAATCATAGACAATACCTTTTTCCTATCGCGAGGCCGCACATTTTTTCCCACCGGGTTTTTGGCGTTCGCGGGAGGTTTTTTAAGGGTTGCTGGCAGAGAGAAAGCTACGAAGCCTACAATTGCGAACTGGGGGTTCGCGAGCTGGCCTTGAGGGACCAAGGCCTTTGAAAGGGGGGGGCAGTTGTAAGACCCTCGCGATATATATCTAGCTACAAGACCATTCGCGGATGACTCAGCTGCGGGCTGAGTCATCGCACACATAGAACCCATCCTCGCGGAAGAACCACGTTGGCTTCTTCAGCGTTAATCTACCATATTGACCTTATTCTTGAAATGATACCTCGCGACACCTGTTTCTTAGTCATTATTACCTTTCACACCTATCGCAAACCCCTTAGAGACCCAAGGTCCTTATACATAGGGGTCTTAGTCCCACTGGTGGGACTAACCTTTGGTCCCAATGCACTCCCATATAGTCCCGTGGGACTAGTCCCATGGGACCGGTCCCGTGGGAGTTGAAGAGGTCTAGTCTCGGGGACTTTCTTCAAAGCGTAGAGGTCCCGACGATGCAGCCGGTCTTCACTGACCAAGTGGAGCTTTCAATCCCATCGCCTTAGAAATGTGTTTCCAAGTATGGCAGATCTCAATGCATGTACGCCATGCTAACTAATGAGTCGCTGAAGATACGAGTACGAATGGACAAACCCGAGTATTTAGGGCCAGACACCCAGTGACCAGTATCGGCTGATACCCTATCCATTTCGATTTCAACAAGGAAAAAGCTGAATCTCACTTGCAAATATTCTAGGGATGCGGGCCTATTCATTTTTGCCCCTGTGGCTACTAGTACACGGTGTGGCTACCGCCCGCCCACAATGCAAATGCGTACGTACCTTTGCCCAGTGTTGAGCAGCATGAAGTGCAAGCGAACAGAAAAATTAGGCTCCCTCAGACCCCTGCTGGCCCTCTGCTTCTGAATGGCCTGCATTGAATGCAACTGTGTCAGGTCGCCTCATCAAGACAATCCCACCCGGTTCCGTCTAGACTTCCGCACAACCCAACATAACCCGGACCCAACCCAGACCCAATCCGGGCTGGGTTGGGTTTTAGATCAAAGATTCTGATCTAGCGTTAGATCCGGATTAAAATTAAATAATCCAATCTGGATTTAAAATCTTAATTTGAATTATAAACATAATATATATGTCAAAGCCCGTAATTATATAAATTATATATTTTTTGTTAATAATATTACATATTTTTTTTATAATTAAATTGACAAAAAACAAAAACGAAACAAATTATAATATATCAAAAAATTAAAAAACAAAATATCATGTATTTTAATTTGTATTTAAAATCTAATTAATAATATTCAAAAATATTATTATCATAATTTTTATGTTTTTGTTTTGAAATTTATATTTGAATGTTGTTTTTAAATAACGATATTTAAATTTTATTTGTTTCATATATTTCATATATTTTATTTAATGTTGTTTTATCATTAATTATAATATTCTATTTTTCAATATCATTAATTAAATTTATTTCAATTTTGTTAGATTTTTTATTCTTTTTTTTATAAATTCTATTTTTTTATAAAAAAAAATTTTTCGAAAAATTTCAATTTTTGTTTTTTTATATTAAATCTTAATGTGGAAAAAAACATCATTAATTTTTTAATTATTTGCAATTTTATTTTTTTTCAATAATAATAATAAATATTTCCAATAATATTAAAAAATCATTTAATTTTTGTATTTGTTACAAAGAAAGAAAATGCATTTTATGCAAAAATAATAATCATTAAAAAATGAATTTAATGTTTTTTTTAAAACGCAAAAAATGCAATAAAAATAATATTTATTAATTAATTAATATATTTTAACAAAAATTTAATTTAAATATATCATTATTAAAATATTAAATTATTTCATTAATTGTTATGTTTAATTGTATTTTATTTTTATTTAATATTTTATCAAATTTTGAATTTAGTCAAATTATTGAATGAAATCTGTTTAAAGGTTGATTAAAAATTAAAAATTGTTTTTAATATAGAATAAGAATTTATTAAAAAAATTTGCAATAGATATTATATCATTTATGATTTCAAGTCTTTATAAAAAAAATTTGAATTTGTTTATTAATATCAACATTGTATTAATTATATAAATATATTTTTGAATATAATTAATTTAAAAATAATACTTATTTAATTTCATTTAATTAATTTTTAATATATAAAATATTTATTATTCTTATTAAAACATGTTTTCATGATCTCATCATAATTGTTTTATTGATTGCTCAAAATGTTTAAAGAATTTATTACAAATTTTAAATACATAATGCATTATAATGTTTTGAATTTTTAATAATTAAATTGTATAATCAAAAAATGATTTAATAATATCAAAAAAATAATTAATCTAATATTCTTTTTTATTTTAAAATAATATTTCTTTGCAATTATATTTTGCACAAAATGATGCAAAGATATTACATAAATATTTTGTTTAATAAAATATTAAAAAAATTGAATTTCACTAAATTTTTATATTTTAAATAAATATTAATTTCATGTTTAATATTTAAAGATTATAAAATGTTTTTTGATGTTAAAAATTTGTGTTTATATAAATTGTGAAATAATAAATCTTATTTAAAATATAATATATTTCTTATTTTTGATACTATACGTTTGTTTAAATTAATCTTGATTGTTTTTTTGTTTATTTTGTTAATTGTTATAACAAAATTATTAAATAAAATTATTTTAATATGATCAAGAAGTTGATTGAGATATAATTGAATAATATAAACAAAATATAAAATTTGAATAATAATAATATTATTTAATAAAATTTATTAAAGAAAATTTATCAAAATTTTATTATTAAATATATTATCTATTATTAATTTAAATATTTATAATTCAAAATTATATTTCATAAACATTTAGAAAATAACATTATTTAAATTTATATTAATATATGTTTTGTACAAAAACTTAAATTTAAATAAAATTTTGTGATAGATCCAATTAATATCAATAAAATAATTTATAATTGTTATAAAGATTTGCAAAAATAGAGATATCTAATAATTTAATACGATTGATATTTTTGAATTAACAAATAATGTTTAAAAAATATGTTTTTGTCAATTTTAAATAAGATTTTCTAATTGATAACAGATTATATCAATAAAAAAATTATTGATAATAATAAAATACAATAAATCTAAATAATAAATTATTAAAATGTTAGATATTTGATAAAATAAAATAAAAGTCGATTAAATACAAAAAACTATAAAATATTTTTTTTTAAATTTTTTACAAAAAAAATATATCAACAAACAATTTTTTTGATATTAATATATAAAATAAATTAACAAAATAAATATAATTAAAAATAGATTTTCATAAAAGAATCCGCAAATATAAAAAAACATATATCATTTTTAAAAATTTAATTATTTCTATTCTTTTTTCTCGTTTATTTTTTAAATATATAATTGTTTTTAAATACTTTTATATTATTAATATGTTATAATATTGTATTCTGTTTTTTGTTTTTAAACTAATAATATATAAATGTTTAAAAATAGTTTTACAATGTTGATATATAATCTTTAACACATTATTTACATTATAAATAATTTGATAATAATCATTTCAAATTTTTGTATATTGTGTTAATTTTCAATTAATTTTATTTTTTTTTTCAAAATCAATTTAAAATTATTATTTCATTCAATCATTGTATATCATTTTATTATAAAAAAAAGACCTTTTTTCAATTAAATTCAACGCGTGTAAAAAAAAAAATATTAAAAAAATATTAAAAAAATATTTAATCAAAAAAAATCTTGATCAAAGATATTAAATATGTGTTAATTAATAAATAAAATAATTGAATGATTTGATAATATTAATAATTGAAATTATGTATTTTTTATTATAAAAAAAATGCAAAATCAAAATATTGATTTTGCGATATGATCAATTAGTTTAGTAAATAATTGAAAAAATAAGAAAAAAAATAAATATTTATTAAATAATAATTTTTAAAAATAAATTGATTTTAGAAGTAAGAAATAGATTAAAACAAAAATCATATATTAATTTTAAAAAGATAATATATAAATATAATAAAATTTAATTAATTTATAAGATTTATCCTTTTATAAATCTAATCTAAAAAATCTAAAAAATTTAACAATAATTCAACAATAATCCAAAACATCCAAAAAAATCCAATTCCCATCTCAATTTTTTTTCAGATTTTTAAAAAATTTTAATTTATCTCTAAATCTCGATAAAATCCATATATAAATTATTTGAAATTGTTTATCAACATCAATATTTTAATAATCAACAATAATTAACAATAATCAACAATAGTTAGTAATAATTAGCAATAGAAGAATATAATAAAAAAAAGGATAATTATTTTTAATTAGATGAAATATTATAGACTGAAACAGTTTTTATTTAGTTAAAAATATATAAATGTGAATTTTGAAAAAAATATAATATTTATTTTGTCACGGTGCAGATCTTGATGCCTGAGGCATCTTCTAACTATGGCCCGGAAGACCATATTATCCGTTCCGAGATCTGCATATCTTCCCGCTTGCTTGAAGATCCTGTTGTAGCTCTTCGAGCTATATCTTGTCTATCAGCCTGTATATAACTTGATTCTATAGCAATTCAGAGATACTGTGAGCTATTAGCCTATCTACCTGCCTGTCATCAACTCTATTATCCCCGCCAGCCCGCACCTTGACATTACGTAGCTCTCATTCTTAGAACTAGTGTCCGCCCGAAAATGACAGC